ACCTCTCAATATATAGGAGAATTTCTCGAAATTTTAAATAATTAACAAGACCTACAAAGCGGAGTATCCAAAAAAGCATGCCAAACCAATGCCCAACAAGAATAATCCAAAACCATGAACGAAATGTTGCAGCAAACATTGCAAGTGCCAATACTCGTGGTGTTATTAAAAATAAATACCAAAACTAAATAGAAACATTTATTTTCAAAAAAAAACTTCGAAATTCTTTGAATTAAACATACCCATTGAATAATTGTACTCCACCATGAAACTAATCGTGGAGGTGGTTTACCTTTTGGCCAACCATGTGGTGAATGTGTTAATTGCATATGTCTCCAACATCTTGAATAACCACTTAATGCATATGCTAATGAACCAAGTGATGAAATAATTGATAAACATTGTTTGGCAAATAAAGTATCAACTTAAAAAAAACAAAAATAATAATTATTAATTAATCAAAAGAATTGTATATACATTTCATTGATGTTGAACCAAGTCTTAACATAATATATAATTGTAATATAACTTGAGAACCAGAATCCATAAAACAATCAAATACACGTAATAATGCAATATCAGCATCAATTAATATTTGTTTCGTCAAATAAAATCGTGCCCATTTTGGATTATTACGTTTTTGAAAACCTTTCCATGTATAATATAAACCACGAATATATCTAAACAAGAATTTTTTTGTCAAATTTATCAATGTATTCTTTTAATATTTACTTAAGACATAAATCAAGTTGAAGTACAAGTATAATTATTCGAATAATCCATGTAAAACCTTTGAGAGTTGCTGATGATAATTGAAAAGGTTTCTCTTTATTTTTTTCTTCGGGTACTTGTGGTTGTTGTCTTATGCGTGACATATGAGCATCAACTTGATCTTCATTCATCTCTCTTTCAATTAAATCATCTGTTTGACAAGATGTTGTTTGACGTGTTGTTTCATATTCATCATTTGTTTGATTATTAGCAGCTGCTTTTAATTGATTACTATCCATATACCAAACAAGTGAAAATACGGATAATGTTATATTGGGTAAAATAACACACATTAATGTTAAAATAAATAACCAATATGCACCTTCTTGATAATATGCATGTGCTAAAACAATATCGGTTACCATATCAAAAAAGAATGCAAATACACCCCAAGCATAAATAAATACTTCAAATACATTTATAGACATTGTATCAGGAATGAAATCTGCAACCATAGTACCTGATGATGGTTGAGAAAAAAGATGTGTTTGTAAATTTTCATCATTATCTGATGGGATGTATTCAGCTGGACATGGTGGTAATGTTGTATCAGTTATATTTGCTAATGTTGAACGACGACGTTGCATATGCATTTTTTCTTCTTCATTTAAAGGAAAATGTAATTGTTGAGGTTCATTATCATTGATAGGTGATATTGAAGAAGTTGATGATGATGTTCGACTATTTGTTATATTATTTTCATCCGATTCTTTAGGTGGAATTGGTTCGGGACAATGAGTTGTTCCTGTTGCCGATATAACTTCTTTACCAAGAAGACCTAATGGATTAGCACGATTTAATTCTTGATGTGTTAAATCTTTAATTGATTGAAGAATATTAAAACCAGTTGATTGTATCGTTGCATTTTCATGTTCTGGTGTAGCAGCACTACCTGTTGAAGCAGTCTTTGAACGTGGCCGATTAGTTTCGGACATGGAAGAATTTGATTGTCGAATAGATGATGATGATGATTGAGGAGTTTGATCAGATCGAAATATAACTGTCGTGTGACTCTCTTAAATTACAAAAAAATGTTGAATCTATTCGAATGATATGTACAATGTCAATTCAGAAGTCTATTTCAAATTGACACCGATGTGACCTAGTTTTTTTCGGTCACGGTCATATCATGGTCGTTTTCTTGAGTTTTCAATTCTATCGAAATAAGCTAACAGTATGTTTCTATTCTAGTAACCATAATCATCGACCTTGAGAATTAGTCATGGTTATGACCATGAGTTTTCCTTAGACATCTTTCTGGAAGATTTTTGAAACATATATACCTGAGTTTGATGGTGTTGTTGCATGTTGTTCATCATCACCTTCTCGTTTTAGACCATTATTTTGTTCATGTTCGTTTAATGGTGATGATCGACGAATAGATGTCGATGATCCATTCGATTTTCGTTCTGACATTTATAATTAATAATTCAACCTTTTGTCAACATTGTATAATAAATCCATGGATAGACTATATTCTAAATTTACATTTTATGTAATAAATAGAAAATCTAGAATATAAACACAAATATACATTTATTTATCTACATGACAATATATATATTCATTTTTTTTCTACAATCCTTCTAATGTCTCATGTTTAAGTAATGTTTGTAAATTACTCAATTTTTGTTTAAGAACATTTAGACTAGACAACACAATCTAATAAATAACAAAAAAATAATGAATGATTTTTTAAATTATAAAATTAAAACATACAGTTTCTGGTTTAAGTGCACCAGTTGATTCAACGTTAAAGAAGAATTTATTTGGAGCTTTATTTGGCTCGAATGAAGCTTCATATTCATATTCAGCTAATTCTAAATTTAAGAATAAAAATCAATAAATTTTCTTTTGAATAAAAAAGTTTCTATTTACCAGTATGTTCTGAATGTGGCCATTCTTCTGGTATTGGATAAACCGTATGACGAAGAGCATTATCTGGATCATATTCAAATGAAACACCCTATTAGAGAAAAATAAATAATTTTATAAATTAGAAAAAAAATCTTACACAAGTTGGAATCCATTTCGCATGTTCTTTACCAAAACCTTTTCTTGCATGAGCTTTTAAACGAAGTTCTTGATTTTGTCGAAGTTTAACAATAAGTATATCTACACAGATAAAAAAAACATGATTTACATTATTTTGTATATGCTTTTCTGTCACCCTCGATTGTCTCTATCATATGCTTATCGTCATTTCGGTCTCTCTCTCATTTGGAATATATACTAATTCAATGAGACATCTGGAAGTACTTCTATCTATTGTTTAGTGAAATCATTGCTTATAAATAGAATCTTCTGTTGTAATACGCTCCTTTCTTTTTTTTATTATAAAATTTCTACTAATCTAACATTACCTTTTTTTCTTGAATATCTACTGCTTTACTATCATTAATACAAAATGTTATATTATCCTAATACCCTATGACGTCATTAATACTTTCTTTCTACTTAACACTATTTGAATATATAATTCTTTTTTTCTGTTGAAATTAAATATCAAACACAAAATCTTAATCTTTAGAAAAATGTCTTACGTTCAATAAAATGATCTTGTCCTTCATCATCATTTTTTGCTTTTGATGTGACTGGTACTATATGTGGATTACTTGATATTAAATCAGCTGATGTAACCTAAAGAGAAAAAACAAAAATATAATAATATTGAATTTATTTATTAATCAATCATACATTTCTTGTTTGTTCTTCTCTATTTCGTACATCAAGTGTAAATTCAACTGAACAATTTGGACAAAAACCTTCGCATGAACAATCTCGATGATAAGTCATTTTATCAACAAGTTCTTCGCTATACAATGGAATTAAACCAATACGATGTGCAAGAAATTCATCGAATAAAACTGTTGTATTCGAATCAATTTGTACTGAATCAATTGCTATTGTTGGTGTTTCAGCTATCATACAACGACGTATAGCATTAGCTACACTTAAATCCGTATTGTCAATAATAAATTTAATATTATCATCTGTTAAATCAGTCACTTGAACATTTGGTTGATTAGCATACGGCATTTTATTAGATCTTTTGTGAAATAAAAAGAACTTACATAAAGATTAATTTATATACATTTGTCAATGAATATTTACCAATAAGAATAAGTCTTTATGTGTCGCTAGGAGACATTTTAATTTCGTTCACATGTCGCTAGTTGTTGAAAAACAATTATAATATTGTAAGCCTTTAAGGATTATTCAATTAATGTGTATGAAATATAATCTATATTGATAAAGCATAGAAGAAAAAATCTAGATAATGATTACTATCGACATTATGAAAAGAAAGAAAGAAAGAAAGAGACTGTTACTAGATGAAATGTGTATTCAATTTGCATTTCACTTGAGTGATGCTTGAGATATCTGATGAGATTTCCGAAGATTTATGAATGAATATCACGTTCCATCATGCGTATTTTTTTCATTTCTTTGTATTAATTTTTATTGATTTGATTATTATTATTATTAAAAAGTAAAATAATATTCGATATAAATTTTATTATTATCATCAATTAAAAAATTATTAGTACAAAATGAAATCAACCGAATTGTATAATTGAAAATAAATATGAAATTATAAATTAATAATGAATGCTGACTGTATGCAAAGAAAGATCGAAATAACAGAAAATAAATAACTTAGTTATAAAACTAGCTAATATAATATTATAACTCATGATTGTCTATTTTTATATATATGTAGCCTGTAGATTAACAGCTAAAAGCAAGATCTTATTAAATTTCAGTGAACGTCATAGATATACGTCGTAGAAATATTGGACTTTTGCGTATTAAAGTTAATATAATAGAATCAGACGAAGAAGTGACTTTTATCGAGTAATAGATGATTCATTAATATATTTATATTGGTATTACTCATATCGGTATTTTATTATTATAGTTACATCACTAATATTCTTAGTCAAAAAAAAGCTTATCAGCGCAGCCTCGTTGGGGCTAAAAATGTGGAACTCACGTATGTTTGCATCAAAATATCTGATCACGTTTAAGTGCATTGTTTTCTTTTTTTGCTCAAATTTAATTCATTTATAGCTAATTTTAACAATTTTTGGTTATTTTTATTCAATTTGGAGGGAGGGGGAGGGGGAGAGGAGCTGGAAAACTTAAACTTAAAACTTACACTCACGATTTTCTTCGAAAATCTACGTGAGTTCCACAAAAATGAGAGATCTACTATATGATATATTAAGAGAACAAGTTTTTTTTGTCTTTATAGATTCTTCATAGGTAAAACAGGTTTCTGAGCTTTGCAGTATTTAGTTTTTCCTAATTAAGAAATTTGTGCGAAAATAAAAACAAAATATAGCACTCGATAGATAATTTGATCGTATCATTACATATTTATTTTTGTTTACTTCAACGGAAAGAATTTCTTATAACTTTTGGATCTATTGTTAGATATGGGAGCTTTTGTACTAAGACACTGTCCTTCTGTTCAGCCTATATTTATGTAGAATTAAATTTGCTATAAAATTAGATATTCTCCTATTATAAAGTCTCTAATTATGTTCGCGCAAAGCAGTTTGAAACAAATTAATAGCCATAAATATAAGGAAGAGCTTGAAAAAATAAATATCCGATAAAATCGTATTCGCTGAAACTTTCGTCATAGACAGTATATCCTTTTACGTTTTGTTTTATGAAATTCTTGTTCTATGTTGATATTAACTGATATGATTACCTTTTACGATTAGAGAATAAAAAATAACCAACCATTTTTATTGTTGTCATATACTTGAAACATTTCTTCCTGATATTCATCTACGAATATGGGCCAAGGAGAGTCAGTTTTTCAGGGTAATGATTTAGAAGATTATAAGGTAGGATGATATTAAAATTTAAAAATTAAGAATATTTTAATTTTAAAATAGGCATTAACTTTTTTAACTGGTCCTGAAATTACACAGTAAGAAATAAATTTTAAAATGATTTTCATCATGTTTATTTTTTTTGTTTTTGTTTAAAGAGTTCTAAAAAGATTTCGTGAACTTGTAGCAATAAATAAGCCGCATCAAAGTTATACTAAATGGCGTCTATCGAAAAAACAAGCTGTTAATATAAATGAACTTTATGTAAAATAATTTCGAAAAAATATATTTACTTATAGAAAAGAATTTGTATTTATTTGTTTAGCAAAATCCATTTCGTGAACGAATTGTTGAGGTATTTTCTTCACAAAATGATGGTTCAATTTCATTTGAAGATTTTCTTGATATGATGAGTGTTTTTTCAGAAAAAGCACCAAAATCTGTTAAAGTTTCTTATGCATTCAAAATTTATCGTAAATAATTGAATATTTTATCTTTTTTTATTTATCTATTTACTTTTTTTAGAAGGAATTTATAAAGGTGAACGACCAGGTAAGTTAATATTCTATTTAGTTTGATTATATAAATAATTGTTTGATTTTAGGGGGCGCTGCGGCGACTCCAAATGCTATTGATTTGTATGATATCAGAGAAATTGTTCATCGTTTATCAGGAGAAAATTTTGCTGATGAAGAATTAACCAAAATTGCCGAAGCGGTAAATTAGATAGTTAAAAAATTTGATTTGTTTCTTATTTGTTCAATTTTAGGTTATAAATGAAGTTGATCTTCGCGATGATAAAACAATTACTTCTGAAATTTTTGAATATTTTCTTTCTAATGTACCAGATTTTCCATCGTAAGTTATTGAACAAACCATATGTATATGAATGAATACCGTTTTTTTTAGATCGTTTGTAATTCCATTGAGTGATGGAAAAGAAGATCGACATGTAACATCAACAGTTTCTGTTCAACCTGATGCAACAGTACCATCAGTAAAACATCGAAGACATAGACAAAATGTATAAGATTTTTTTTATTGTTATTATTTTATTATCAAAGAAAAAATAATAATGGAGTTAATCAATTCTTTTGATTTTGGTATATGATATTCTAAATAAAACTGTTTACTATTCTGTAAAATCTTGAGATTGTAGGTATGATACTGTCACACATTAGCATTCTTGTTTGAGTAGCATATATTTGAATCTTCTGCATCATTTATCCCCAACCGTTTACACTATTACGATGAAGTAGATGGTAAACCTGTCTTTGATCGAAGAGTTAAAATGTCGAAAACAATAATATCACATATATACCCATTAGTTTCATTAATAAGAATCTACGCAAAGAAATGCACAAGTCAAAGACAAGATGGGTGTGGATATTCTTTTCATTTAACATCCACACCTACATCTTTGTAATCGATAGATATCGTACCATTGTATGTACGTATTTAAAATCAATTAGATAGTAATAATCTAGGCTATTTCTTTCTTTTTTTATATTCAATGAATCAATTACTACGACGTAGATATAAGATATTTCATTTGTAATCGTGTGTTCTTATTTGTGTATTTCTTCAAATGGTTTTGTCCAGTCTGCTCATAAATTGAACAAAATAAAATATTAGATAACGCTTGAAATCGGTATATCGTAGAGTAAAAATATGAGTAAAAGATATTTATATAAACAAGACAAAATGAATCTATTCCATTATTTGCCAGTGAAGAGAGAGGAATATTTCAAAAATATAAAATATAATAATAAAAGAAAATAATTCCAATTTTATTAATCTACGATAAATAATACAACAAGAAATTGTAAAAATTATTTGCATATACGATAAAATTAAAATAGTCAAAAAAAAGAATGCATTGGTTCTTAATAATTTGAAACTCAGGAAAAAACAATTGACTTATCATCTATGTGTTAATAATATGATTTCTAAATAAGAAATTCTATGGTACAATTAATTTCATTTTTAATGTTATAAAATAAGATTCCGAGATACAAATGCAAAAATTTCTAAATAAATGGAATCTTACATAATAATTCACTTAGAGTCTTTTCTTTCAGGACATATTACATCAATTAGTTTTTGTATTCGTGCTTTTAATTCATCAGTTGATTGATTTACTTTTGTTTCCAGTTCTGTTTTCAATTCATCAATTGATTGATTTAATTTTGCTAAATCATCGGGTACAAGTCGAATATCATTATTTGAATTATTTGAATCATTTTCATTATCATTTGTATCATCTCTATTTTTGTTACTAGCAGAATCTGATCTACTTGTTGCTCTATATAAAATAGAAATTTAATCAGAAATTTTCTTAGCTTTTTACTCTCTTTAACTTACACTGTCGATGTTGGTTTTAATGATTTTGCTACTACATGTGCATATTCATATGTTGATGCACCTTCAAATTCATACCATTCTTTCATACGATTTTTATTGACTGGAATCATTTCTTAATTAGAATAAAAAATTTTCGAAAAATAAAATTCATTGGTTTCAACTTACTAAATACTGTTGCTTTACCATCTGCTGATTTTTCAAAAAATCGTCGTCTTATATAATAAAATGCTATACGACATAAATGATAAATATCATAAATAAGACTTATAGGTGGTAAAAATGGTGAACGTGTATAATATTCTCGTGTAAATAAATATTGTTGAGAATGCCAAATATTTTTTGTGTCATCATAAACTTGATCAAAGCGTTTACTTAAAAATATGAATAGATTGATAAAAATATTTTTATTAGATAAAACACTTACCTAAACATGGCAATTAGAAGATTAGTAAGTAATATGTTCACAAAAATCATATGAATAGCAAGTAATACTTGCGTCGCAATTGACCATGCAGCATCAGGATAGGCTATTTGAAAAAGATATTATATATTCGAAAATCTCAAACTAAATCAATCGATTAGTGAGTAAATGAAACAAGTGATTAGCTTAAATTATTTCGAATACTTTTGTAGAAATAATATTTAAGATTTTGATTGCGTAAGCTCTTCATTTTTGTTTTGTTATAATAAATCATTCGAAATTTGAGAATATTTTATACATCACAGTTTTGAAGATATGTTTTCTTTTCAAATGATAAAATCCATTAAGTTTAATTAAATGCAACTCTTTATAAATTTGAATTCAGTTTTATATAAAACATTTCATATGCAAGACTAAAATACACATATGATTTACTTACTGTCAAGATCAGTGAGTTCATTGCCCATTTGTCCATACATTAAATAATATACTGGATATATAATTTGACGAAAAATACTTCTACCATCAAACGATGTATATGTAGTAGTATCACTGAATAAAGTTGGATTTGAATAATAAACCATTGAACGAGAAGCAACACCATAACCAGTCATAACAATAGCAATTATACACATAAAGAATAAAAGATCTTTGAGCTAGACAAAATAAAATGATGTTATTTATGTTTAAAACAAAATGATATGTATACCATCTTTCCGATAGCCACCAAATGAGGTCCAAGAGATGGTATAACAATAATAAATGCTAAAGAACGAAGCCACCAAAGTTCAACATCAATCGCCCATACTACCCTGAATAAATGTAATTAAATAACTATATATATATATAAATCAAAAGTATATGTTATAAAGTTTATTTTTTATACAGATAAAATATTGAAAGAGAAACTCATAAGTTTAGAGTAAATTGAATGTGATAACAGCGTTCGTATTCAACTACTTCTCTTTTGTTAGCTTTGATAGACTTCCTGTGAATCTGAAAACGTTTAACTGTTTCCTTCGTTTAGAGATAAACAGAAGAGAAGAGTTTATGAAGATCATTGAATGCTTTCTCATCTGCTTATCTCTGAACTTTCGATTACGATGATTCTGATCCAATATTATTATCAAACAATACTGAGCTTATTATTGTCTGTCACTTGGATACTCAAAGTATACTTCGTATATTCTAAATAACAACAAATATTATGCAATAGTCAAAAAGATTAAAGATGCGTTAAAACAGCATAACGATCAACGAAGAACTTCTCTTCTATCGTTTGTCCTTTTGAGCAGTACTACCGAATAAATATTCTGCCATCGTTATGTTCTCAAAAAAAACAATCCATTTACGGCAAAACGTTTGACGTATATTTTCTTTTAATAAATAATATTCGATTTATTAGAAAAACCATTTTACCTAGCTGCGACAAATTCATTCTCATCATCTGCATGAGTAAATCGTAGAATTAATCCAATATAAAAAAGTATAAATCCAATCAGAGTCATAATTTTAAATAAATCCCTAAAATAACTTTTAAACTTCCCAGATAATGTTATACTGTCCAGACTAAAAAACTATAGCGATAATAAAAGAAAATTGTAAACATGTTTTTGTATAGATTTGCTTTTCTTACATAGTGAATTTCTTCGATTAACATAATGGAAACAAGTATAATTGTTAGAATTTCAGTCCAATGAATAGATGGTATTGAAGAAGTTGGTGGTTGAAAGTTAAATAAAAGTACGTAAGAGAAAAGTAGTAGAAAAAAACAGTAATTTAACTAAAAAGAAATGATATAGATTTTATTTCGAATGATAATATATGTATATGCATACACAGTGATAGCAATATTTCATGAGTAAAGCTTGATGAAAATGTTTTATACGATGCATATAATCATTTATTGGAAGATATTTAGTATATCGAGGAAATGCAATGGGATATGGATCTGAATAATGTATGCCATAAGGTTGTAAACTAAATATAGTATAATATTTTTATATTGAATTTTTAATCAGGAATACGTACGATCGTTCAGGATCTTCGTTGTTTACTATCTAATTAAAATGAAAATAAAATCTTGTTAATTAATAGATAGTGATCATACGTTCTGTTCGTTTATAGTTTTTAGAATTTAAATCAAAAACATGATCAATATCTGTAGAGAGCAAAAGGTTGCGTTTTGTTGAAAATTGTGTTAATATCACTAATGATAGTCGGTGATAAATTTTTGCTTTTGCTCAGGACGAGTAGATTTTCTTCTTATTCGCGCAAGATTTAGTCGTAAATACTTTCTTACATTCTTTTTCTCTAATCTTAAATTTTTCGTACACTCATTAACTAAAGCGTGTCATTCTATTGTTCTATATATGATGTGAAATCGATTTCTGTATAATATGCATACTATAGTTTGTTCTTAATGAACGTACTGTAAATTAATTATGTATTAACTTTAATTTATCTTGTTCATATCTTTGTGCTAATCTCCATGAATGAACTTTTCTGTGAATATTAGAATAAATATCTGTCATGAGTACTTATATAAAAACAAACTTGGTTTCAAATATTTTAATCTGTAAAGTAACAAAAGAGACTAGAGACTGTTCTCTGTGATTTCAATTCAGTTACCACATCAAATATCAATCTATTTTAGACGAAAGTTATAATTGTGTACAATGATTACTGATTCTCATCTCAATAAAAACAATGTCATGTTAATATTGAGATATATTAATAAGAAATTCCGAATGACTAAAAAGATAAATGCAATCGGCTTAAACTAATATAAATCGTCATTTTTAATATTTCTATCTTTCGATAATTATACTTTCAGTCAATCCTTATCAAACATCATCTACTATATCCTAAAGCTGTAGCTAAAATTCATTTTATATCTATTATTGTAAAGATTGAATTAATAATAAATTCTAACCGTTGGAGGATCTCGATAAGTGACACAAAATGGTGCCAGAAGACCAAGTGAAAAGAGTCCAACAACCATAGCTATTTTATTTCGTTTATTTGATTGTTTAAAATAAATATTATTATACCATATATTATTCATAGCTTGAACACAACATGGTGTTGCAATAAATAGTTTATCTTTTGCATCAGCAGCAACCTTAAATAGATAAATTTCAAGAAAAATCAGTTTTTTTCAAAGAGAAACAAAACTAATTAATATACTTGAAGGCAAGTAACATTTCCATATAGTTCTATTCGTTGTAAAACAATTTCACATGCTTGATCTGTATTATTTTTTTCACATTGTTTGATACATGCAATAGCATATTCTTCAAAATATTGTGCATTTTTCTCATAACTATCTTTTAAATCACCATATGGAGCTTTTTGAAAATATTGTTTTAATATTTTTGTTGCAATCAATGCAGCACATATTCGATATTTCATGTGACTTAACAAGACTTGAGCCATTTCAGTATGATTCATAAGTATTGCCCATATAAATAAATCTCGCTTTATATAATCTATATCTTTATTTTGTTTATCGTGTTGATCAGGATTTTGAGCATTTATTTGAGTTTGTTCTATATTTTGTTCTAATAAACCCCATGATGATCGATATTCAATCTCCTCTTTATTGGAACCAAAGTATAATTTATGCATATAATCACCAATCAGTGTAGCAAGAACATCATTCAGCTTATCAGTTGTACGAATATGTTTTCCAACAACATCGTCCGATTCGATAAATGCACTTAATTGAGTTTTATCACTATTCTATAAATATATAGCACACATATATATATATATGTAAACATGAAAGTTAGAAATATCTTCTTTTATCTGTAAATATATATTACCACAGCATCATTGCTGTACAAACATTCAAAAAATTTGTCATATCGAGTTTTTGAGCCAAAGAATGCATCATTTTTAAAGAATATTTTACTTGGATCAATACCCAGTTTAAGAAATTCATAAACAAATTCTGGTAAATCTTTTGTTAAAGCATTCACAAAAGCGTCTTCCTTGTTCTAAACAAAAGAAAAGACAATATCGATACAATATTATTCGAACATAAGAAAGAGTAAGAAAATTCAATAGAGAAAATGACTGGAACAAGAATACAAAAGATCTTATGCGTAAAACTTAGTTATCTGGCTAATAAAATAAAATTAATCATCATCTGAATATGTTACATTTTTTTAACTTATTTTCTAATAACAGTCGCATATGTTTATAAGTCAAAATATCGTTGAATCCTACTTGATCGAACAACTATCTAAATTTTATACTTATCAAGTTCATGGAAACATAGGATGTGTTCATGTAATGAATCGAACAGAACAGTACCTATGATCAATTTCGAAATTGTCGATAAAACTTAATTTGATATATCCTTACTAACAAAGCAGTTCTTAAATGATCAAAATTGATCAAATCTCATAAGATTGAATACGTTAATTCAAGTTTTTCATCAAACTTATGTACTGGATTCTAATAAGATTCTTTTTTCACATAATTTGTGCTGAGCTCTTAATCTAGAATATTTTTATATTAGTACTGATGTGAAAAAAACTATTCTAAAATTTATTTTACTTATCTGTCAAAGAAAATATTTAGTCTAAAAATGATACTTGTTGGAATAGATCATAAAGAAGCGAATCGATCAATCTGTTATTCGATCTGACATCTATACTAGTATTAGTTATATCTCTAAACGGTAGTCTTGCCTTCGACAATCTCTAAGTAATACTACTACACAGTCGGACAAAATCGGTGAAAAAACACGTTTTGAACGCGTTTAGTTCGATTGATATCAAGGAAGAAAGGGCGGATTCTATAGAAGTTTAAGAATCCTAGGGAATATCAGAGAATCTTCAGATCCTCACTCTAAATGCTTTTATATATATATATATATTATTATTTTTAGAAACCCTGTTATAACACATCGACAACTAGTAAAAAATCTGATAATATCTTTTGTCATTTTATTATCGAGAATCCTTTTTTGCAAATCTTAAAGTTGCAAATTAACTTTTAACAATATTATTTTAGTTAAAATCAGTAAACATTGTGATATACAGAGTTTAATTCATAAATATCAAACAGGAAACAAGTAAGAAATTAATAAAAACATTTAGAAAAAATTTCAGTAAGTGAGAGACGATCGACGACAGGGTCACTCCTACTTAGACATAAAGTCATATATGTAAAAAGCAGTTAGATGGAAAAGATACAGAACATAAAGCCGTTAAAAAACGTTCGTCACTTAAATATAAATATTAAAAAGGTACACGTTGAATGTATAGAAGAAAAATAACGAGATATATGAGGGTGTGGTTCTGGAGATTGAACAAGATCCGCATCCACACCCATACCCTCAAAATCGTTAATATCGAATGTATCAAATTTTATTCATTAATAAGAGAACCACCGTGATACAATTATGTAGTTAAATTTCTAATAAGATAACATTATCGAAATTTACCGATAGGTAAAGGAGAAGAATGGAGCGATCTTAACGCTTCTAGTAGAGTAATGTAATCGTACGAACTACAAATCAGCAAACGCAAATAACTAGTCATTGGTAGACACATATAGCAATAACTATAGCGGAATACAACAGAAAAAGGACAAAGAAATACCAACAGAAAACCTGTTATGATACAGTTGATGTCCTCGGATAGTTTCAGAAACTCATTAAAACTTTCAAATAGTTCTAGGAAATATGAAACAGTCTTTATAGATTTCGGACGAATACTGGTTACTTCTGGAGAATCATAAAGAACCCCTGGAATTCATGATAATTCGGGATTTTGCATTTTCCCCCTTGTTTTAAACTAAACCACATGAAATAAAAATCAAGGTTATTCTTAGAGTTATGTCACTATCGTCAGCTTTTCTATAGTATCCAGAGTAATTTAACATACATATAGCACAGAAGAATTAATTCTAGAAATATTTTAACATCTTAATATATATGTTTTAATTTTACGAAGTTATGTTACTAACAAATGACTTTATCTATGCATGCTCTAGAAATTAATCATTCTTACTAGAATATTATCTAATGAATTTTGAAGAATTAATTCTTTTGCAACATTAATGCAATCCCAATCCATTGCTAATTGTAATAATTGTGATCGTTGTGCATTTTGATCTCTTTTATTAACATTTTGTCGTGAATCTGCATGATGACGTTTAGCATCAGCAGTTGGTGGTGGTTTAGAGTTTCGTTCATACTTTTCGCTCAGATCATTTTGATCATTCTCTTTTCTTTCAAAATATTTTTGACGTGCTAAAACAAATCAAATTAACGAAAAGAAATCTTGTATCATATAATTAACTTACATTTACAAACAGTACGAAAAATTGTTTCAGATAAATTATCATCTGAATTTAAATCAAATACAGCTACATTAGAACGAACAGCAGGCTGAAGACAATACATAACTTGTCGAAGCGTTGCATCTAATTGAATTGATCTTGCACTGCTTGGATTATCATCTGGTGCATGACTAGACTTCTTTCCTTTACTAGAATCATCAGCATGTGGTATAAGAAGATCTAGATCTTTTCTAAGTCGTTCTTTATATGGTTGAAATAATTCTACAAGCCTTTAAAAAAAATTATACAAATAATTATAGAAAATGAAATAAACGTTGGTTTCCTTACGTTTTGCAAGATGAATTAAGATGAACTTTACGAAGTGTACGAGTACTAAAAAGATTATATAAGTAAAATACAAAAACATCTAGTTTAATATTAAATTTTTACTCTTTTTTTGAGCTATTTGTATCATCAGCTGTTGGTGTACTGTGTGGTTCTGAAATTACGGTAACAATTTCATCAATTCCAATTGGAAATTCATAATCTTTGCTCGCTTCATCGAAATCTTTTGTATATAATAACCAACGTTTGAAAAAATCAGCAACACGGCCACTGCCCTGTTTAGATTATATTATAACTGTACAAAAGACTTTTGTTTGTTTTACTTACATCAATAATAACAACAGGGATATTATCACGTAAATCATAATATATATTTGTTATAGTATCTTTGCCACCTTCAACCACAATAGTAACAATAGGAACTATAAATAGAGACAAAATGATGAAGAATTGCATATCAGTACTAAACAATGTCAGTTATTGTTATAGATTTTAATTAATTTCCAAGTATTAGATTATGTCGAGTAAAATTCAAATTCTAATTAAGAGTAAAAGCGAACCATAATTTAATTAATATATGATTACTATGAAGATTATCTAACAAGTGCTTCAAACATCATTATAAATTACAGAAAACACGAATCACATATTTGTGCGAATAACAATCAGTTTCAGATCGGACACAGCTTCATGAAAGGTATTGAGCAAGCTCTTCTAATGTAGAATATTTATTTCTTAAAAGATGTAAGTCCGACATTAAAAACTAATGATAAGAACAACCTTTTTGAGAATATTGTTTCAGTCAAATATATGAAGATCTGGAAGTCGTCAATATTTCATTCTAGGGTTATCATCGTGGGAAAATCTAAAACTCTTTATTAAAATCGAAAATTTTAAATATGCAAAATCAAAGTAATATGATTAAGTCGTTTATACTATCTGATACAGTAAATATCTACTTCTCCAATAACTACGGACTGATTCATTTTGTTGTGATTGAATTTTTTCGCTAGTCAGGCATTCATTATAGTATAAAAAATTATCTATTTTTATACTTGTCTATATAAAAACTGAGATTAATATGATGATTTGTAAATTTCATCAATTAACTATTTCCCGTTGTCTATTCAAAAAATACCGTACTCCTTTACAGAGAAATGGTGCCATATAGCAACATCCGACTGGAAAGAGTTAAGCACGACAATTATACCTATCAGTTGTTATAATTTCACATTAAAATACTACAGAAACAACATTTTTCAATCTTCTAGATGCTCTATCGAGAGATGTCGTATACTCCATTAGTCTTTGATAGATGTTTGTTTAAAAGATCTTTTCAAGCACTCAGTTTTGAGAATAAAAGTAGTAGCGCACATCTTACAAAAAATCTTTCAGTGAAATTCTTCTCCGCTAACTGTTAGATTAAAATTCATATATTATTATATAACTATATCGTTATTGAATAAGATTTAAATATTCATAAACTACTAAAACTTACTAGGGAAATCGATTTCATGTTGTAATTTTGCTAAGTGAGCACATAATCGTGTTCGGTAATCTTTTGTATCATAAAATCGAGATCTTCCATCATCTAACATTAAAAAATGACTATGATTCATTTCCAGATCACGTTGACCACTTTGGCGTTTTTTTTCTGTACTACCATTCTGCTTTTTATCAGGGTTCTCCGTTTCTTCCTTAATAAAAATTAAATTTTCAAAATCATGAATTATTTCTCAAGATAAACCAAACTTAATCATTTACCTTATCTTGCTTTATAAGTGTTTCTACATCTTTTATACTTCCCCATTTACAAAGTCCAATAGCTGTAATATGTTGATCTAATTTTGTTAATTTGGCTTTATTGATTGCTTGTCCAACAAGTTGAACAATACCAACATTATATCCATTTGTTATTAACCATGCATCTATGTTCAAAACAAAAAAAGAAAAGAAATAAAAAAAAGTAAACTTTGTATTGCTTTTTTTACCGGACTTGAGTGCAACTTCAATAATACCATTAATAAAATTTGATTCAAGTCGATCACTTAATACAAAATATTTTGCACCTCCAATAACTGACATAATTAATCGAGGTTGTGGGATCTCCCATACTTCAGAAAGAAGTTTTCCAACTTTTGCTACCGGTGTATCCAAAGCAAGTCGTAAGAACTATACATGTGTAAATGATTATTAATTTAATAAATAAAAAGTATAAAGTTTTTAATCATACCAATGCACCATTTGGAAGTATACCATTAGCAGGCTCTATTATTTCTTTAGTATTTTGCTCCAGTGTCCACACAGCCTCTTTTGTTTTAGAATCACTCTTATCTTCATGATTTTTTAGTGGCTTATTACATATACAAATATTTTTATCTTTTTCCTCTTCACTAGTAGTTAACAAAACAATAAAATAGAATTTTCATTATTTTCTAAATGGAAAAAAAATACCTTTTTCGGGCAAATTTGAAACAAACACGATAACGAATATTTAGTTCATTAAAGATATCTGCTGGAGATTTTTCTTTATATATCTAAATAAAACAATAGATTCCATTGAATTTTTGAACTTAAATAAAAAGAATTTTCATTATACCGGATCTAATTTAAGTGATCGATTCTTAGTCATCACCAATTAAAATAATGTCGTATTTATTATAAAGAATAATTACCAATTAAAACGCCAGTATTAGGCATGCACTAGTCCTATAGAGTGGATGACAAAAATGAATAATTTTTTCTATGTAAAACATTCAGTCTTTACCAGTCCTTCAAGTCATTTAAACTCACCATCGAGCAGACTATACAATGCTATTGTCAAACTTGAAAGAATTAGGCGGAAAGAAAAAAGGACGGAGGATGAGTGGCAAAAAACCCGAACATTTCCGAATTTTTACCGGTCACCCCCAGTCCTTTTTTCTCGTCTAATTCTTCAGAGTTTGACAATAGCATTGTATAGTCTGATCGATAGTGAATTTAAATGACTTGAAGGAGTGGTAAAGACTGAGTGTTTTACATAGCAAAAATTATTCATATTTATCATGGACTTTATATGACTAGTACATGCCTAGAAACTATTCTCATTTCTTCGGTGACTGTTTTCTTGTAGCTTTACAATCTTAGTTTTATGAATTTCAAGTTATGTTATTTTGAAATGTATTGTATAATCGATAGCTTATATGAATAACAATCGTGTGATAAATAAATATATATTTATTTTTTATTTATAAATTATCTCCTAAAAAAAATACAATCTGTTTATGATATCTACAAAACTTTTTAATGTTCATTTTTGTCATTGAAAACAAATAAATTACCAATCGTTTAAATCTACTGCTTCTTTTGTCCATTTATATTCTCCACCACGTTGAAAGAACATTGCTTCATCAAAACCACTTCGATCTAATGCTGCTTCTACTCCAACATCAAGAATAGATGGTGATGGATCTTTTCGACCTTTTGTACAATCAAGAAATCTCATATTTTCATCAAGTATTAAATATGAATTTCTCATAGCTAAATTCGATTCAGGTACAAAACATTTTAAATGTTTATGACGTTGACAAAATTCTTGAAATTGTTCATCACTAATTACTAATTGTCGAGCATCACGTAAATTATTGTCACCACCCATATTTTCACCTTCAATAAGTAAACATTGAAAAACTTTCCATCGTACTGGGTCAAGTTCTTCAATTGCATCTGTCATATCTTCTTCATAATTATACTTATGAATAACAGAATTTATTTTAAATATAACATTGTATTGTTCACATAAATGTCTTACACGACGTACATGTCCAATTTGTGAATGTGTTTCATAACCATTTGTTCTTCCAGCTTGTCGATTACATTCATCATCAAATGAATCACATGATATAGCAAGTATATCTAAATAGTTTGAATATTTTTCAAACCATTTTTCCGATATTAAACTTCCATTTGAAACAATACTTGTTGCCATTTGACATTCTTCTTTAGCAAAACGTGTTAATTCACCAACATAACGTCCTTGTTCGATTAAAAATGGTTCACCACCAGAAAAATTTATCTTTTTTGTTCCAGCTTGTTGTAATAAACGTATACCACGTTTAGCTTCATCTAATGGAAGACGATCGTTAGTCAATGATGTATGAAAACAAAATTTGCATCGGTAATTGCATGCACGGGTTAAATGATAATTTACGCTGAGAGGAATTGGTTGTTTGGTGTGTGATTGTTGGAGAAAATGTTGTATAATAATACTCCAAATATGCTGAAAAAATTGAAGTACAACCTTAATTAATATCATTTGTATTGTATATAACTGAATAGGAAAATGTTGAAAAGTAAAGAATGCTAATCGAGTGATCGTTATTTATACAAGACGCCCAGAACTGTGTAACAGGGAAAATACCCAGTAAACCGCAAAAATACACACTGTCGCAAGAAAAAAAGCATTTAATGAGTCATGTCATCATTAAGATGTGTTTGTCTATACAGCAAAAGAGTCATGTTTTATTTTAAAGTATCGTCTATGACTCAATATACTTTTCAGAGACTGATATTTCCCACTGTGGGAAAAGTGTAGATAAGACTATAGTGCGTACACAGTATTACTGAAACAGAAAATAATATCAAATGAAATGTTCAGGTCAACATTTGAATAGTGAATATATTTATGCATATTTATAAGACCATTTTAGACAGATATTCTTGAGATATTTGAAAAAAACTATGGCGCCCTCTATCTATAATAATTATGATTCATATCTTAAGAACTGATTGCAGTTAGTCAGATACTGTATCTCACACTTCTAAAGTCATGAAAATAACTTGAGTTTTTTGTAAAAAGTTTCATCGAATGATCTCATATATTATATTACATATCCAATTCGAAACAATTTTCTTGTAGTTGTTAAAATATTTATTATTAATTACATAAATTGCAAATTTTGTAAAATAAAAACATGTCGTTAAGCGTTGTATATGGAAATAATAATAATAAATGTTGTTTACGATAGCCTCAAGAAAAATGCCTTTATATAATATTAAATATTTTCTAATATAGATAAAGCAGTGACCTACTTTGGATACACTTGTATATTTCCAATGCTCATCTCTATATGATTCTTAATCTTAGTAGGGGTGCAAATAAGTCATTTTTTGATCCAGTCTCACAAAGATTTTCTTGGAATGCTTCGATATCTGATTTGAACGAACATGAAATGATGATATTGATATACTAACAAGTCTAAATTGCGGTAACTAACGCCATCCAAAAAGAAAATGACAAAAAAAAGAACAATTTATCCAATAGAAAAAGAATGAGTGGTGAATATACAGTTCAATGACTATTTGTTCACAATGATTGGTTGATGTCAAGCGTCCTTTATTTCTCGTGAGCGTGTAAGTAAATGTTGGTTCCTTGAAAATCTCGAGATTATTTTATTTGAATGATGTAAGTCATTTCTTTTCTTTCTCTATATTTATTTAGTCGAAAGAATGCTTCTAGATCATATATATAAAGGTAAATGAAATCAATGTAATTCGAGAATGAACATTTACTTATGTTTTGGCTATGAAATTTATTATTTTAGTTGAGGAAATCCAGATATAACAAAACCAGACGTGAGTATAGAATAGAGAGAAGAAAAAAAGTGTAATAACAACATTCTATATATTTTTTTTCATGATACACACATATATTCTTTTCTTTTTGATTAATGATCTTTGAAAAAAAAATACGTTTATATCGCTTGAAACCATATATATATATATAAAGGCAATTTTTTAATCAAAATAAGAGTAAAATAGAATGATAATATGATTTTATCTTTTGCTCTTTCACTTCTTTATTTTCGTATATCACGCAAACATGAGAAATTTCATTTGTATGAATAATCATCGTCTTATCTATTCTTTGTCTCGTCTCCTCGTGCATGCCTTCGATTTTTTATTCTCTTACATTTCTTTTGGCATAGCATGAATAGATTTAAGATGTATCAACTTTTTCTTCTTTTTATATTCACAATGTGTTAAACGATTTTTTTTGTTGTTATCGATCTTAACATTAATTGACGATAGTAGTAACTGTTCTCTTTCTTTTTCTTCTTCTTCTTCTTTTCGCCATGACCTGTTGTATTATTCTTCTTCTTCTTATTGTCCATCGATATATGTGAGCTGTCTTCTTTTTATACACATATACATATACATAAATCTGACAGGATAGTTGAGATTTAACAAACAAAAGTAAAGATATATGCATTATATTATCATGATATTAGTAATTTTTCCTTCTAATCGATTATTGACAAAAACGTTAAAGTCACATATAAGCACACGCGTCGAGTCCCGCCTTCATACTCTTCATTGCATTTAACATTAATGTTTATTTAAAGCTTAAAGATATTCTCGTCGTTTTTGTATTATACAATGTGCCATAGCGTTCTCTCTTTTTTTTCATTTAAGATTGTGTGTGTATATATGTGAAAAGTTCATTTGTATTTATGACCTCGTAAACTAAACAAAAAGAAGTGACGATTAAATAGATTTTTATTTAAATAATAAGTATGTGTATTAACATTTTAATCGATTGAAAAAAAAATTTTTTTTTTTTCTTAAAATATAGATGAACGTTTATTTGGTGATTATATACAATGATTGTAGAATCTTGTTCATGTTCAACAACTTCTAATAATCATCGTCAACAGAAATCTTTTCATATGCATATGAATAAAACAATTTCAAAACAAAATAATCATTTAAATACGAATGAAAATCGTACGGATGATGATTATGGTGGTGGTGGAAATACAGAAATTTGTTCGTAAGTATATCGAGATAATTACAATGTAATCATACTTTCGAATATAATATGCGCTGTTATAAATATTTGAGAACATGTCATAGTTTGTATCACATTTCATAGTCGAATATTATCTCTTTTTTTTCTATCTTGATTTTAAAGAATATATAATCCGATTCAGATTTATAACTCTTTGTTCATTAGGTGCAAATAACAGATCAGATTTCAAAATACTATTTATTATTTCTTGTCACGAATGACTAAATCAATATTATTATTATTATTCTTTTAATTAACATCTGTCATTATATAAGTTTTTTTTCTTCTCTTCTAGTAAAATAACAAATGGTAACAATCATAAATCTCGTTTAAATAATCGAGAGAATGATGTAAATATTTTATTTACAAAAAAAATATATGAATATTTGTTTTCTTCTAGTCAACTCGTTGGTGGCTTGTTCATTTTATTCAACGATTTATTGTTGATCCAAAACGTACATTAACTCGAAGTCGTAGTGCAACTGATGCAACACGTTTTCTTCGTCATATTCAAACTCGTTTTTCACCAGCATTTAACTGTGAATCAATTTATGAAGAATCATCAACAAATAATAAACGACGAAATAATGATCGTGATCAAAATCATTTATCTGTGTATACGCGACCACGTTCTCAATCACTTCCAACTAATAGTATTTGCAGGTAAATTAACAAAAAATCATTAGAATAATCTAGTGAAATATTTTTAGTACAAATAATCAAATGTTACATATACAACGTCAATCACAACCACTTATACGTTCATCATCAGTGCATGATCTTCAGCGATATGAAGTCTATCGTGCAAATGAATTAGATTTTGGTCCTATTATTGGACAAGGTTTTTATGGTATTGCACGAACCGTAAGTTTATTATATGATAAAGGAAGAAAAAATTGTTCTATTTTTAATATTTTTATTTTCGAAGGTTACACTCAGGAAAACTGGTCAGATAATGGTTATGAAAGAAACAAAAACAGTGGATAAAGAAGCACAAAAAATATTCGTTAAAGAAGTAAATAAATAGAATTATATCTCAAATATGAAATGCAGTGCTGTCGCGAATTAGGGTGATGGGGAGGGTCAAAAAAAGTGAGCTCGAAGTTGGTAGTTTACGGATGTCTAGTTTTCGCCGAAAACCTCAGCTGAGAACTTCAACCGTCTATTTCTGACTGTTCATATAGATACTCTTGGCTACTCTGAGTCGACCGATGTCATTCAAGAAAAAAAACACGAAGTTAAACGTTGGAATATTACAAAGCCGTAAACTCCAAACTTCGAGCTCACCTTTTTTGACCGATGGGGAGAGATCCCTCCAAAGTTTGAGTCCTGATTGAGTATTTAACTCTACCCCATCTCCGATCCTAAAAGGTTCGCGATAGTGCCGATGAAATGTAGTTTATGAGTAATCAAATCGTCATAATTATTGAAGAAATCTATTCATAACGACTATTTTACTCGATTGCGTAATCTTTATCGAGATACTATAAAACACGTCTCTAGTATATCAATCATATTTTATTAAAAAATCATCTTTTAGGTGCAAGTTCTGAAACGTTTAAAACATCCCAATGTTCTTAATTTTATGGGACTTCTACTTGATAAAGATAATCAAATGTGTTTTCTTGTTGGTATGGTATTCGTATTAATCGATTTGAAAAAAAAGTATTCTTTTAATAATTTTATTTAAATAGATTATATTGCTGGTGGTACATTAAAAAATATAATTCATGATTTATCTATTGAGCTAACTTGGTTACAACGTTTACGTTATGCTAAAGATATAGCAGCTGGAATGGTAAATATATAAATATATATTCATCATTTTATTTTATTATATTTATTATTTAAAGGAATATCTTCATTCATGTAATATAATTCATCGTGATTTGAATAGTTCAAATTGTTTAGTTAAATCCAATGGACAAGTTGTTGTAGCAGATTTTGGTTTATCAAGAATAAATCTTGATGATGATGATGATAATGTATTAACACAAACAAATGATGGATCATTTAGACGAGAACAACGAAGTACAAGTACAACAATAACATCTAATGGAAATATTGTTGTAGTTAGACCGAAAACTCGTCGACAATTGATACGAGATCGACAACGGTATGATAAATTCATAGGTAGATAGATATTCATACATAAATTAATTTGCTATTTTAGATATACTGTTGTTGGATCTCCATATTGGGTATATTTCAAATATATTTAAAAAATATTTTGAAATTTTAATAGTTTATTTTAGATGGCACCTGAAATGTTAAAAGGTCAATGTTATGATGAACGTGTAGATATATTTTCATTTGGTATTATGTTATGTGAAGTAAATGAAAATAGTTAATTAGTTGTTTTTGAAATAAAACTAATTTTTCTTAATAATTAGATCATTGGCCGTGTACAGGCTGATCCGGATTATTTACCACGAACACAAGATTTTGGTTTGAATGTACATTTATTTAATCAGAAATATTGTAGTAGAGATTGTCCAAAACAGTTTATTGCTATTGCTATTGCTTGTTGTGACATTGAACCTGATTCAAGGTAAGAGATTTCAATAAGAAAAATATTATTTTTCTTTTTTTTTTGAATTATTTATATAGGCCTGCGTTTTGTGTATCGCATCCATGGCTTGAAGTACTTGCGTTAAGCGTTGAAACAGGCATTTGTCTCTCTTCAACTTCGAATGGAGATAATTCTTCTTCTTAATTCTTTGTTTTCGTTTTTTTGCTTTTTAAATATCTCTTTTTTACGATTTATCCCGGTGCGATAATTTTCTTTTCTTTCGATTCTGTTTTTCTTCTACTTGTTTTCTCTCGATAATGCCGTCCAGTGGCATAGATGAAATCCACATTGTTGCTTGAAACTAAACCCAAACATCTTTGAAATGTTGACTTGCTTCGTTTTTTTTTCTTTTGTCATATTTATGTATATAGTGTCTTTACTCGCATTCCTTTTTATTTGTATATGTACGATCAATCTACTAACTTAAAGATAAAAGAAATCTGTTTTTTTGTTTGGATATAAACAAGTTATGATATATGACGAGACAATAGAACGAGTTTCATTTGTTTTAAGGCTGTATTTAGTCTAATTTATATCAAATAATCGTTTCAGGTGAATGAATAACGATATAATAAAGAAAAAGAAAAAAGAAAAAAGAAAAAGAAGGGTTGTCAACCCTTAGAAATAAAAGAGAAAGTATAGTTGTATAGGAAAAAAAGAAGAAATGAGAAACAGCGCTTTTATTTTTTTTCTCTTTTCTTTTTTTTTTACTTCCTACCCATTGCTTTCTCTTTTTCTTTGTTTATTTTTAGATCCCATATATATATACATGCTAGATAAACATTAATTTCGGTACGTAATCATTGGACTGTATTATTTTCATTGTGCATATATAAAAGCATACATTTCGTGTACTAACTGACAATAACAGAAAAAAAAATCTTTTCGATTATCTTCTATAAAAATTTATTAACATGTCGTGCGCTAAAATCCAATCAAATAATCAACCGTAAGTTTATTTAAAATAATCTTATCGAAGATAATATTGTTTGTTCATTTTATCTTTTAGTATCAATCCTTTTTGTTATATGAACGCGGCAGAAATAATGTGGTGTTCCTGATGTGGCCAACGGTTAGTTTTTATAATATTCAATTGTTTTCTTTATATGTATAGAATATTATTATTTTTAGCTGCTGTAGTCTTAACATCAAGTATAAGCGCAGAGGGCGGCAGCGTTGGACGACGAGTATTAGCCTCGCGCCACAGTGAATCTAGTAGTAAATCTACAGAATCTTCTAAAGTTAGTGTAGAATTTATTTTTTATATGAAAAATTTAAAAAAAAATTTGTTTCTATTAATTTAGATATATGATGACCCAGACAATGGTGATGAAAATATGAAAATAAAACATAAAAAAATCCTTGAATTTACAGATGAACATAACCTTTCATGGTCGATTAAACTACGTCGGGATTCACTTTACGTAGAAATTCCTCAACAATTATGTGAAGGATCAAAAGAAAAGTAAGAAAATCTTTTTGAATTCATTAACGTTATTTTTCTTCTTCTTCTAAATAGATTTATTAATCTTCTTGAATTTGCTGATGATACATTGAAATGTAAAAATGTGATTGTATATTTTGATAAAACACGTTCTGATCGTGCATCTTTAGTAAGAACATTTATGTTTTTGGGTTTTCATATTTTATCACCTGACAATACATTAATGTTAGCTAATGATAAAAATCCCGATCAATTATTCATGATTTATATAAACGATAATGATGAATAACCTTTTCTCTTGTATTAAATATTCTTCTTATTTCATTTTCCTTATCTATCGTTGTACAAAATCGTTTAGGTAGTATTTTGCCTGTGTATATATTGTGATTCATAACAATAATTAGACTTTTTGCTACAGCTTTTGGCATAGTCAAAATGCATTTTATTGTAATATACTGTACATTGTATTTGTTTTGTATTCATAGAAATATCTATATGTTATTAATATTAATCGTAATAAACTAAATGTTTCAATAGACTTATACAAATATTTCAATAATTTAATCTATAGATTTTCTTTTTCTCGTGTCTCAATGTTGCATACGCATAATTCTTGATTATGACGTTGCTTTTCCCTCTATTTATTATTTATTAATCTAACAGCATATGTTTTTAAACGTTAATAGACGTCTCTAGTAGTAAAAAGCATTAGCCTTTATTTATAAGAAAAGAAAAATCATCAATTCATTCAATTACTAAAGAAAACATTGAAGGAAGCATGATAGTTTATAGAAATTGATGTATTTCAGTAAATGAATGTATAAAGTCATGTTTTAATTTCTTTGAACAGCAATTAATTATAAATGAAACATTTAGTCTGAAACAAAAATATAAAAACATTAGAATAATGCACAGTAACCTATTTAGCTACATTGCAATTCATATTGGAAAACTATCAGCTTTAGAATGATAGACAATTGACGTATGTCAAAACAAACTGTTGTCTCATATATTTAACCTTTATATAAATATATATATGTATATCGAGGCTTTATGTTTTCTTCTCTTTTTCGTACTATATTATAAGATAATTTGAGATTAATCATCTCATGCTACATTGAAAACTCATCTCTTTTATGCCCTACAAGGGCAAACTAACACATCTAAAGAATAAAAAAAGTAAATGGCACGATATTATTTTTTCAAATACTTGACACTTTTTTTCCTATGTCTTCAGGTGAATAAAGCACAATTAATCAAGACATACTAAAGAAAATAGAAAAAGAATTCTTTTCCGTTTTTTTTGCTCTCTATTATTAAAAAATGTAATGATAAACACATTACATCGGACTATGCATTTTGACCTACAAATCTTTTCTTTTGCTTTGTATTATTGAAAGACTATTCGCATTTCTTTCTGATATCACAAAATATATATTACTAATTGTTATTTGTTATGACATATTGTCAGAAAATATTCGTATAATATAAATATACTTTATTTTATTCAATTAACGCATATATTATCAATATGAATCATGTCTTCGAAGAAAAAAGTAAAATAATCATGTTATTTTTAAGTCGTAAAATTCCGACTAGACTGATGATTCCTGAATTTTGCTAAAAGAATTAAAGTCGTTTATTCAAGGGGGGAAAATCCGATTGCGGGATCCTGCAGATCCTCTGGATTGTGACCGTATCCCAGAATAGACAGAATCCGCTTTTTCCCGCTTGCGTTTATTTCATTATAAACTAATCTATTTTTACAAGTTATTAAAAAGTTTTTAAGTATATAAAATGTAATGAAGTTCACACCTCCATAAGGTATCATTATACTTCACATTTATTTGCGATCTATTTTTATATTACTCATTAAATTACGAATATTATTTCTTCAACTAAACGTAAATCATTTCCTCTTGAGTATCACATAGATTACTGAGTTTTATTATACAAAATCTATTTTTAGCAATGAAACGGTTCATGTAGTAACCTCCATAAGTATTTTAATCCTTATTTAATTTGCAATTAAGCCAACAATGGATTGCTTATCCAATCGTAAAATATTCACGGATCAATATTTTATTTTTCTTGATTTCAAATGATTCTATTATCAATATGATCTTAGTTAATATTTATTCAAAAAAAAAACCAGAACTCTTATTTACATATAAATGTCTTGAGATCTTGAACTATTTTTTTTCTCTCTCTCTCTTGTTTTTCATAGAATTATAAATAATAAACAGTGAGAAGAAATTCATTGAGACTGAAATTCTAACGCACATCATTAATAAGATCACTGTGTGTGAACATAATTACAAAGAAAAAAAAAACGACAAGACAACAATAAACAGAAGAAAAACTTTTTATTGTTTTTTTTTCTTTGTTTCTTTAAAGAAATTGCCATTCAAGTGCATGAACTAATGCTGTGAGATTCTGATGTTCATTAACACGCCAAAATGGCCAACTCTGCTAAATAAAAATACATATGATCAAAAGAAAGAAATTTTTATTCAACTTACTTGTTTAGCCGCTAATTCTTCATCACGTCCATCTCCAATAACAACATATGTTGGTTTTCGACCAAATCTTGTATGTATACGTTCAAAACAACTTTCTCGACCAACTTTTGTTGCACTATAGATATTTTCAATATCAAATACATCACCAAGACCATATAAAAGTACTTTTGATAAAGTTACAACTAATGGATTTGTTGTTACAAGTACATTAATACAATTTTTTCTAAAAATTCAATAATATAAAAATTCAATCTCGATAAATATACTTTTTGATCTTTTTTTAGTATGTATGACTATTTCTATTATTAGACACGTAGGCTTGCTTCATAGTAAACTGAAATAGTTATTTAACTTTGTTTTTTCTTTTCTCTTGTATGTATTACGCAGTAAAAACGAGATAAAGAAATTCCATTTTACATTTGATTTCTTTTTACTGCATTATCTTTGACTGTTTCTCTTACAAGCAACATCTCCTGTAAATGCAATCATAAAATCCGTTCTTTTTATCTCTACTACTGAGAATTCTCAAATAGAAAAAAATAAGATAGAACATGAATCTGATTAACTATCAGCAAACTATACATATTTTAGACAATCTATGATACTGACAGTTGAAACGGCAATAGTTAATACCTATATGATTTACAAGGAAAACTATGTAGTTTCGTGAGACTTCTTTTATTCGAGAAATTGAAGTAGCAGTTAAGAAGTAATTCGAGCGGAGATTAGTTAATCGAAAGACCTAGGAAAAGGAAGGATTTGTATGGAATATCCGTAGACATTGTACCGATTGCTATATTAAGCAACGAGAACAATAATTAAGAGAAGCGAACTATACGACAACAAAGAACGCAAAAAACCGTCTGTCCTGATTTTGAGAACATTTTTTAAGTTGATTGCTTTAATCAAAAATATCATACTACGGAACAAAGAACTCAAAAATATACTGAAGGCAAACCGTATGACATTCTGCTAAACAAAATGGTGATATATGTATATATCATAGTTTTCAGATAATTAAATTCTATTAGATTTTTATTTGTAAATGGAAGAAATGCATTACCTTTGTTTGATAATATTTAAAGCTTTTAATGCGGTTGTAAGCCATGATGCTGTTAATGTTTCTGTATCTAAACGTAATTGAAGTAATTCCTCGTATTTTTGTGGACCAAGTAAATCTAAATAAAATTAAGATTTAGTTTTATCAATTAATTTATTGTATTATTTACTTTGAATATCTGTTCGATAAGTATTATAAAGATCTTTTATACGTCGATAACGAAATGCTAATTTTCTCATCCAATCAACTCCACCACGAACTGTATTATTTCCATTTGATGATGTTGAATGAAAACCATCAATTGAAAAATTATAATTACTAAATAAATATTTTTGAAATAAAAAATAATTTCAATTTTTGATTTATACCTTAAGTCTTGTCCATTATCATCTGATGAAATATCATCAATATGAGCTTGATCACATTCTTCCAAATCATTATAAAATAAATTTGCATCAGCTAAATTAAATATGATGTCTTCCATACGTAAACCAAGATTTAATGATGTTTGATTATCCTTTAAAGAAAAGAAAGCTCAATAAAAAGAAAAGTATATATATGTTTTATTTACTTTTTGATAGCTTTGAGCATAAGTTCCAGTTAATAATGAATGTGAGATAATGATTGTTTCATCTAAATCCCAAATAAATATTCGTTCTATATTATTATCTGGATCTGGTGATAGTTGTTGAGGTTTAGGTCGATTTCGATTTATTTTTGTTTTTGATGTTGAGCAAGTTTTGCCTTCAATTTTGATTGTTGGTGATGGAGAATTTGATGCACTTGGATTTGAATGATCTTGATATAGAAAAAAAACAGAAAAATTTTATATTATTATTATAGATTTTTGATTTCTATTTCATACCAAAACTTGATGATGGAATTGACTCATTTTGATATCCTTGAGATATTTTTATTGAAGATGCTATTTGATTCGTTGGAGTAAGATTATATGCTGATGGATATGCAGATGATGGATAACATGGATAACTAAGTGTCGGTTGAAATTGATGATAATATGCTGGATCAAGAGTCTAAAGATAGTTACACTAAGAATATTCAAATTTGTTTCTTTCAAATCATACCGCTTGTGTATGATAAGGCGATGCACTAGTCGCTGATGAAGTACCAGTTGTTGAATAACCTAATAGAAGAATCGAATAAAGAGTATACATATTTAAATGAATCTTACTGTCAGATAATGGATATTGAAAATTTAAGCCCGAATAACCATTGGGTGTTGTATTGTAATACGGAGGAATATTGACATAACCTGGCGATGAAAATGAATAGCTCGCCATTGATGGTTGACTAAAAAAAGAATAGAAACGTTTTTAGCAAATATATTTCTCATGAATATTTAAAAGATTAAAAACTGAAGGTTAGATGACTCAATCTTTTTGTATTCATGAATCTTTATTAAAAGGATGTGAATAAAAAATTTCTCTATAAATCACTTGTGATAAATGAATCGATAAACCATAAGACGGAAAAAACTTCTCGGTATCAAATTATCTTCAATCTTGAAAATTGGTTTTTGTCTATAATTATTATTCTTACCGTTTCTAACATCATACATGCGTGCATGTATGATTTTCTTTAATCATAATAAAAAGTTTAAGTTTTAACATGATATATCATTCTAGACGTGACTATGTTCTTTTTTTTTATATTAAAAAATGAAGGAGAGAGAGAGAGAAAAACACTATCTGTTTAGGATCTGATTACTTCTACACAAGTGAAATCTTACCTCTATTCCTTCTGTAAGGTAAAGCAAGCAAGCAAGCAGGCAAACACTCCGGCTTGAAAAAAATAGAAAGGTGATGCCTTTTAATCAGGTATGAAAGCGACAAGAGAGGAAGAGAGAGAGAGAGAGAGAGAGAGCGATAGAGAGAAAATGATTGTTCTCTTATAAACGAATCGAAAGCGAGTAGAAGAAGAAGAAGAGAAAAAAACCCACCTGTTGTGTTTAATATTCGTCGTTATTAAAAGGAATTTTTCTAAAATTTATTGTCTCATCTATAAAAGAATATTTTTGTTAAATGAAAAGGTCAAATGAAAATATGTGTCCTAGATATATGTATATATTCTAAACGATTATCGACCACTTGTCTATCTATCTGTTTGATTTATTATTAATTTTATTATTCACGCGTTACTCACACGAATCTGTCAATTTAACAATTAAAAATCAGACACATGTTCGACAAGTTTCAAATTTCTAATTAACTCCTATTTTTTTCTTCTCCTCTACCGTTCTACATTTTGATGATCAGAGAATTAAAATCTCCGTTTACGGAATAGTTCTAATGAATTTAATTATATAGAATAGACATAATGTGAGAAAATCATCATTCTGATGTTATCCGGTCACACTTTTCTCTCTTTGATACTTCTATCAAAACTCTACATGATATTTTCTTTATCAAATTACATCTTGATTGTGAACATTTCTTTTTCTTTTGCTCTTTTTAGGCATTAATAAAAGAGATACACTCAATCAATTAACACTCGTTTATGCAAATGAGTAATTGATAAACAATTTTGTCGATTTACATTCCTTTAAGCGATAATTTTTCTACTCTCTTCTTACTAGATTGGTAAAGTGTCAGATAGATATATAATCCCTTCATTTCTTTTCTTGTGTTTGAGTAAGCATTAAGAAAATATTCATCGTCTCTCCCGCCCCTGCTGGTGCGAAAACATTATTTCCGCTCAATTATATATTTGTACACACAAAACACTTCGACTTCAACATCATCATGTCCTTGATTCGATTCAGAGCTAAGATTACGTCGTTTGTGTAACCTGTACTTTTTTATTCTCTCTCTATGATATATATAAAAATATGTGCTCTGCTTAATGGACTCTCGGTATGCGAGAAAGAATCAAAAGGACAACGCACAAAATATGCCATCAACGAACTATCCTATTGACATAACTGAATCATGTTTGCATTGTTTTGATGTTCAAAAAAAAAAGAGACGAAGTATTTAATATATTAAAATAACAATTCAACTGTCATTTATAGTTCCACTTTTTTTTTCCTGTATTAAAATAGAAAAACCTCATACAGTTTTAACCATTATGCATACATATATATATATAACTCGATTAAAATTACATGACAGACTACAATATTGTATTGGCTCTCACCTTCTATAGCAATTAGTACATGCATATCAAATTCTGTGTACATCGATATCATCAATCTTTCTCTCTTTTCATTTACATACCTATCTTTTTTCTCTTGCAAATTTCGATGTGTCAATACTAATCAAGTGACAACGACGATAAGTATTAAGGAAGAAAAGAGACGAGAAAAGAAGAAGAAAAAAAAAAAGTAGACAGATCCTTTTGTATCCTGATTGGTTGTCAACTTCATCTTTATAGATTCCAATTGGTTCGTCATATTTTTCTTCTTATCCTTTTACTAATTATTTAGTACACAATTTTTTTTGTCTATTACATATACATCAGATTTCTCATGACGACCAACGACGTCGAAGATCAAATTTCAAACATATAAGCAAGAAGATATTTGATCCGGTTATTGCTAGGATAAGACAACGACGACGTGTGTACATCATAATTAAAACGTCACCCACTCGTGTAAGCATTCATGCTTGCAATTTATGATTAATCATAGAGCGGTATTTATAACAGGTGTATGCACATCATTTAAAAATCAATTGCAAATTTTCTTCTTTTTTGTTTCTATGAAATGAAAATGAAATTTCCTTTTTGAAAGAAATTTGATCTAGTTTAAATAGACAGAAGGAGTTTAACAAAAAAAAAATGCAAAAGTTTATTTCGCGTGACAAGTGCCATGAGAAAGAGAGCACTTTTATCGATCGTATGTTTGTTAAATATTGTCGACAAAGCATACTTCTTTCTTTCCATTGTTTTGTTTGGATTTATCAACATTTGATATGTCTTTATAATATATATATATGTATGTAGGTAAAGAATGATAGCAACAATGATTTATTTAAAATAAACTTTGTTTGACTATCAAATATACATATATTTGATTAGTTCAATGGATTAACAAAGAAAATGAAATGAATTATATTTTTTTTCTATTTCCATCATTCATAAACATAGAAGAAAAAAAACCACTTACGATATATGTGTTAAGTTTTAAATTCTATCCATCAGTTATTATTATTCTCATAGTGATGATTATCAATACGCTCGCGTGGAATATACATATGCAACTTGTTTGTATAACTCTATTTCTAGCAACATGCCATTTGAATATAGACTGACATGATTATATATAGATCTATGATGGTATAAGAAAAAGTATATATACATAGATAATCATAAATAATATAGAATAGAAAAGAAAAAGAGTGAACCGCTAATCATCGATAGTATTGTCAATGATAATATGTCTGTATATTTTTATGATGTATGATGCCATCCACCGATTGCTAGAAGAAAATAATAACAATCTTCATCGATGATGAGAATATACTCTTTTGTTTATACAAGATAGATTAAGAATAGATGCATATGTGCATGTGTCAAAAATTTGTTTTATTCATATATATATATATAAGAAAAATAATATAATCGATGGATTTCTACACTTACATGTTAGATTTACTAATCGATATAACAAATTGAAAAAAAGAAAAGTTATTACTATTTATTGAAATTATATATATATGTATGCGTGGGCGGATTAAGATAAGTACGATGATAGAAGTAGTTCGAACGAAGCATTTGCAATCATGCCAAATATTATCTTGGGTCTTGTTTTATTCATCATTTTTTCGGTCTGTTTCTTATTCAAAAATCTATCATTGTACTATATTTTGTAATATTTTCTATAAAGACATGTTCATCAACTTTACTTTGGCGTATTGAAACAACACCTCCATCATATATTTTCGGTACAATTCATATTCCTTATAATCTTGTATGGCCACATATATCAAATAAGACTCGCGAAGCATTTTTCTCAAGTACTCATTTTTATGCAGAAATTGATGCTAAAGATGATATGTATTGGGATGATTTTTATCAATGTTTATTGAATAGATCAATACGAACACGACGAACAAGTTATTATATAACTAAATTATAAAATAAAAACTATTTTTTATTTGATTTTATTATTTAGATCTACTAATTACTCAAGAAGATCTACTTGATATACATTTAGCTGTAGAAGCTCGTCGTTTAAACAAGACTGTAGGAAGTTTAGAACCAGCTGAATATCATTGTATGGTAATCTAGAAATATATTTTATTATAGATTTATAAAAGAAAAAGAGAAAATCTTTCTTTATTTTAAGAAAGAAGGTTGGCGTTATAATCTAACAACATGGTATCTTATTTTAAATCTTGTTAAAAAAGAAATGAAAAATCGGACATATAGTATTATTGATGCAAATGATTATTTTCAAGATTTAACAATAAAAAAATATATTTGTGGAGAAATGAATAGGGAATATATTCAAACTTTATTTAAATCAGCGGATGAAATTCAACAAATGGAACATCGCGATGAACAAATATCAAACCATATTCATACATTATTAGATCCTCCGAATAATAATCGATACTTTTTTGGTATTGGCGCTGGTATTTATATTTGATAGAATTATTTTTGTTATTACTTATTTTTTGTTTTTAAAGCACATATGCTTGGTAAATATAAGAATATCTTGGTTCGATTAAAAACATTTGGATATAAAATTACTCGACTTTGTACTAATCGAAAAGGTATTAGGTATGTTTTATGATTATACAAGTTAAACTTTTATCTATACTTTATTTTTCTAGCAAAAAATTCGGTTGTAAAAACAATGGAATCATGAAACATTGTATTACGAGAAAATCATTATTAAATAAAATATCTTGATTTTTTCTAAATCAATAGATTAGATATAGAATAATGAAAGAAATGGTTGAATAATATTTTGCTTGAATACAAACCATTTAAATAGATTATTCTCTTCTTGTTTTTCTTACTTAAGGCAATTGGAGTTTTATATTTCTCCCGATAATCAATATCTATATATATATCAAGAAAGAGCAAATTCCACTAAAAATCACGAATTGAATCGAATATCATATACATAAGAGAATAAGATTAATCGTGAAAAGATTCGATCGAAATTTTAATTCAATCTATAGAAAATTCATAAAAATTAATTTTTCAATATTTAAATGGAAATTGCAATTATAGGTATCAATAAGTACAAATATATAAAGAAATCAACTTGATTTTTTCTTCCAGTACATCGTAGTAAAAAAACACATGTATCAACTTATTTTCTAATGTATTTTTGATACTTGTAAATTTACTTGTTATTCATGTTTAATATAGTATACGATACAATAGAATATACTCTTTCGCTATGTATATCGATGATCGAGAAATAAAAAGGCAAATTACAATAGTCTCGAATAAGAAATGAATTTCGATTGTACCTCAAACTGGAAATCCAAGGACGAAATATAAACATGTGGTAAATGTTTGATAAATCTTATGATATAGCTTTTATATATTCGAAAAAAAATTTTTAATTTATAGTTTAGTTGTTATTCAAATATAAATGACCTGTTGTAAATATACTTTTTAAATTATATATTCTGCTTCTGAAGTTTATGTGACCATTATGATGTTATGTAACGTATTTTTTATACTTTAACTTCTTTTAAAATGTTCAAAATTTTTTTTCCATTTGTATTACATGATAAATAAAACATTGTGAAACTCGAATTCAAGTGTCACAAAATTAAACTTCGTGCCAATATTCGATCAGATATAATATTTTTTACATCTGTTCTTTTTAATTATTATATAAAGTAACATCTTGTACGGAGTTCGAACATCGGAAGCCGGATCTTATTCACAGCGTAAATCGAATTAAAATTCACCGGAAATTCATTTGATACTCAAAGACATCATAATGTTAGCATACATAAAAATTAAACCTTAATGTGTTTCTATAATCTACTTAACATCTCAAAAAATTCATAGACAATTATCTGAATCAGTTGAGTTATTCTGAAATCAAAGTTTGAGTACAATGAACGATTATATAAATTTACATTTATCATATTTAGATCTAAATTTTGTTTGTATAAGAAAAGAATTATTTATAGCCTTACCTTTTCTAAAATTTATTTTAAATCAATATAAATATCTTCATATAAATAATAAATAATATTCAACCATGTATTCAGTCTTTTGATCAAGAACAAAAGTCATTCTATAATATATATATATATATAAATCGTATTGACGTTATGTATCATAATCCGATATTCATACGAAACGTGCTTTTTTTACATGCCCCATAATTTAACTTTGACCACTACATTATTATGATTGTATGATGCAGTTTGATCATTCATTTTCAAAGTTTGTGTATTATTAGCATACGAATACTGTAGTTTACCTTCTTCAATATACATTTTCATTCATTGACATACAAATATATATGTAAAAAGAGAGTCACAATGACGAGTGCTACACATATATATATATTTGATTATCGACGCGCAAAGTGACATTTTTTTCTCTCTCTCAATACTATGTTGTAATAATAATAGTAATAATAATAATAATCATCTTGTATTTGCACAATCATACATAGTCTTTATTGGACATTGATCAAACGTGTATGTCACAGAGATAAAAGATCGATGTATATAGTTTTCTTTCTTTTTATTCTTGTACAACTCAGTGTAATAATATGATTAAGTATAAAGAGCTTTTATCACTATCACAAAAAAAGAGACAGCAGGCACTTGAATGATTTTTTTTTCAACAATGTCAGAGTGTATGAAAAATGTTCTCTATCTCTTAATATGATTAATATACGTATATGCGGAACTAACTTTACTCAACAACAAAAAAAACAATTCTTGCCCATTGTGACACGTTGACACTAACAAGCAATACAATATGTTCATGATATGTAACTCGTGTGGATTGCTCACATCATCAAACCAACATCGATCAGGTGCTATTATTGTTTGAAAAGAGAAAAAAAAAAATCTTTTTCACATAACACGTTTTTTCTTTTCTACTACTTATTACCGCTGCTGCTCATTCATCCTTTTCTACCGACGGTAGTATACTCCTGGCGTATGAAAAGAAAAAAAGAAGAGAATACTCTTTGTTGATTAACTATTAAAACTTCTTGCCAGTGTGTTTGTTCTGTTTATATTTTGACATACTATGCCTTTGATTCTCTCTTTCTTTCTACTTTTATGTTTTTCTCTTCAACTAAAATTTCAATCGCATACTATTAGGTAAGAAAATAAACAATGATATAAATATAAATATAAATAATATATATATATATAGTTTAATAAATCATCTATTGTATTAGATGCAAAGAAAAATAAGCTTGAGAAATATACATAATACATGACGTAAGAATTACATCGATCTTTTTTTCCTGTGTTGTCTTTTCCTCTTTTTTTTTCTTCATTGTGCATCAGTCTCTTGTCTTTATTGAAGCTTACCGTATCGTTGCCACTTATTGTTGTCTTCCAGCACTTGACGCATGAATAGAAGTAGGTAAGTAAGTAAGAAAGAAAGTGAATTAGATAGAATTTGTTATGATTTTGCAATGATCAATTAAGTTTCATTTTTCTCTTTTTTTTCAGTTAGAAAATTTATTAACCAGAGAAGTTGTGCAGTCGTTTCATTTTATTGTTTTTCGATTAAAAAAAAAAGGTGAGAGAAACCTAATAATGTCATTGTTTGTTCTCAAGAGAATATTCGATCATTAGTATTCATCATGTACTATACATTGATGAATAATGATTAAAATTTTGGAGTGCGAAGAACAAAACTAACAATAGTACTCTTATCGAAGTTTTTTTTGAGAAATTATGCCTTTGACATGAGAAGTTATATATCTTAATACGATCAATTGTCTTGATCGACATTTAGTCGGAAATTATTTATTTATAGATATTAACTAATAATAACGACGGAAGTGAAACAGTAGGCTAGACTAATTAAAAAGAAACGTCTGTCACACATTGTGATTAAGAATTATTGTTAAACAATGTCTACCTATTCATTTTAATTTGATCTCTCCTGCTGTGTATGTATGTATTGTACCATTTGCATGTAATGTTCTATTTATTTTCTTCTATTTAAGTTAAATAGTATACAATAATGTCAACATAATAGGACCACATACAATGCGTGAATTCTAATACTATTAACGAGAGTTTATTTATCTTTTTTTTCTTGTGAATTTTAAAATTATGATCTATCTTCCTTCTGACATGCTAAGCATCAATATTACGATTAGGATAAAGAGGGTTTTTTTTTATATATTAAGGGAATAGGAGAACATGAGATCTGTATTATGTTATACTGTGCGTGTCGTACCTGTTCAAAGATCGGATATATATGAAGGACAGTAGGAACAAAAAAAAAAAAAGAAAGAATGGCTGTTATAATAATTATACCACTAACGATAGAAATGGGTGGCAAAAGTTCAATTCAACCCTGAAGAAGTGAACACGAGAGATAGATAACAATTGACTGTATTTTATGTTCTCTTTCTTCTTTGTGTAAAGAAATCAATTGCCTTTGATTTTATTCTTTCTGCTTACTTATTCAATATATATATATACATATGAGTACTGTATGGTCTTTAATATAAATAACTATTTTTAGGTTGCATAGCGGTAATTAATCTTCGAATAATATCAATGGCTGAATCATCAACAAATCCGGAAAATGGTTTATTTAATATTCGTTCAACACCTTCAAATGAACATTTGTGTTTTGCTGAAACACTTCGAGATTGGCGTGATCCATTATTACAAGGACATGAACGAATATCAGCTCCTGTTTGTCCACGTTGTGCTACATGTAGATGTGAATCATTAAAAAATTTTCCTAGTACACCAATTACTTCTGTTCATCATCATAAACATGATCCATCTTGTCCAAATTTTCGTCATCAACATGATCATTCAAAATCATTAACTAGACAACCTATTTTAAATAAACGACGTGCTATATCACATGATCCATCAGTATCAATATTAAATACTACAAAACCGATTGAAAATTCTATGTTAATACATCCAATTAAACAAAACAGTCTTACATCAAAAATACCTATAAGAATTTCAATACCAATCAATAAATCTTCATTTTCAACATCAACTATTAAACATCGTTCATCAAATAAAAAAACTAAAATTCCACGTTTAATAGCATCTCCAAATTTATCATCATCTACAACAACAACAACAACGACGACGACAACGACAAATGATCAATGTGAAATGGATAGGTAAGAATTTTTTGAAAATTGAAAAAAATCTTTATATCTAATGAAAACATAGAAAGTTATCGTATTACATAGGTTTCATTTATATGAATTAGTATAATAAGTAAACATTCAAAGATTTACATGACTTGTATCCTATAAAGATTCTTTACGAGTTTTACAAATTTCTATTTTTAATTCAATAACTTTTTATAGATTGTTTAATTTATTCTATCGCTTGAATAAATTTTGAGAATATATACTTCAAATATAATAGTTAATTATTCTTTCACGAAGATGAATAAATTTTTAATTATTATTTTTCACAGACAAAGGAAACCTAGAATTAAATACACGATATATAAAGTTTTTTTAGCTTGATATATTTAGATAGTATTCTCTAATCTTATGAAATTCTATTGTCCATGTTCAATAGTGTTATAATAGTTCTGAACCGATTTTCTTTTTCATTCATCATTTTTTATATAATAGAATCAAACATTGAGAAAGTATTGTGCTGATTTCTTATAAAAACATAATCAGGTTTCCAACCGATCGCTCATTGTATAAAGAAAGAAATCTTTACAAGATGATCATAATCCAGCTTTATTATTTAATAGATGCATATTAAGATATAAATAGCCATGACAAGTCCAACATCATAGTCAGCTTGGTGCGTGTAGTATTTTAAAACCATCTACTAGTTCTGTAATTCCAGATTAAATTCATTATAAAAATTTTATCGAAATATATTCGATACCATATCCATCATCTGTTTATTTAAGTGATAAGTCATCGTGCAAATATTTATTTATGCGACATGACAATTCGTCTTACCAATTCTGTATCTTATTTTCAATTTGAAAGTAGAATAAAACCATTTTGTAACACTCTCTTTATCATAGTATAAACTATCAACCTTAAACTTTATTATTGTTTAGTTATAAGTCAGTCAAATGACGCATCGAAGTTTATTCTAGTTAAATTCAAAACTATTGAATTTTGAAAATTGTTTAACAATTTCTATAGTTCTTTAAATGTCATAACAATTTCTGTTTTTTTTTCTTTCTATATTATAAGATGATTATTGATAGACTAAAATTTGAAAGATTTTTTATTTATATTTTCAAAATAAACAAAGACTTCTTTTGTCAATTTACTTCATGGAAATTTTTATAGGTACAATTATTTCAAAAAAAAAAAAGAGAAGCAGTCTCGGTTGTGAGCAAATAACCTCACTTGTAACAATATAAACTACTCTAACATTCATTATAAAGGTGTATTGCTTCAAGGATTTTCTCTTTTCTGAGAGAAATATAAGTAAAGATAAACTTACGATCTTGTATTTCAATTCACAACTTGTCTGTGAAATGAAGAGAACTCTAAAACAAATAATTTCATATGCACGATTCTCTTTCACGGCTTCATCTTCTTCGTTGATACAGATGGAAGACGAAGAAAACAGAATTACACACGTCAGTTAAAATTTATACTATTACTTTCTAATAACTATTAGTAAATAAGATTCATATTCATAGTAGTTACTATTCGTATTTTACAATATTACAAGGTCAATATTACGTTCGACACTTGAAAATTCTTCTCTGTTAAGAGAGTAAAAAGAAGTAATATATACATATATATACATATACAATAAAGAAAAATTTCACTTCACTCTTTTTTTTTTATACTGATTCTTATATTTCATATGTAGATGATTCTTATAAGAATATGTTCATATTGATAGGTAATTTAAACTTTTCTTTCTTTTTTCTTTTTTGATTGATTGATATGAAAAAACATTTGTTATTAATAATAGAACAGATGTTCAATTGATTGTTTATAATCTTTGAGATTTTTTTTTTTGTTTTTATTTAGTTTAAATGATGATATATATCCAACGTCGTTGACAATGTCTGATAATGAGAACATGTCATCTACGAAAATGAATCAATTAAATAATAATCATGTGAATACGCAAATATTAGTTAAGAAAAAACGACGATATAAACGTAGTACATCAACAACATCAGATAAACGACAACGACGATGTCGACAAAAAGAAGGTATAGAATAGCTTTGTATTGTTTTATTTGAAATGATTCTTCTTTTATTTGCTATGATGGTGGAGTATGGATTATGAATAGTAAAGAACTATATATGAATATAAATATACTTCGTAAATGAGAATGTTTAAGTAGAATATCTTCTCGAATTTCTTCGTTCTTTTTTCAATTGAAAGAAATCAAGATTAGACTATTTTCTTTTGTTCATTCATTATTATATTAGAAACTAAAGCTCATTGATGGTAGTAAATACATTTACTTGCTTCCATTAATAATAATCTTTACAGACACGCAGTGTATCATCATCATTAATATTACGTGAGAAAAAAAAGAAATAAGAATTGAAATTAGTATAAGTAGATTGAATTCTTTTAATTCTCAAACATGTCTACAGACAGTATTATCATGAATAATCGACAATAGAATGATTGATTATTGCAAAAAAAAAGAAAGAAAGTATTCGATAGAAGTGTTCATAGTGGTAACTAACAAAGAGTGTAAAGTGATTTCTTTTTTTTTTTTGCATATTATTCATCTCTAATACACACACACACACATATATGTATATACCATAGACGACGATACGAATAATTACAGAACGAAGAATGTTACAATGGATAAAGATTTTTTTTCGATAGAATAATCTTTGAATATTTTAACGATTATTATCAAACAAATCACCGTCCTACTAACTGAATCTTTGTATATGTGTATGGTGTAAATTCATTTATGATTACGTCTAAGAAATAAATGTACATATATTTCATATTCAAACGGATCGATACTTTTTTTTTGTATACTTATTTCATCATCTGCATATTTACACATAAAGAATAAGTAGAAAAATTGGTTAAAAAAACGTATAGAAATCAGACACTTGATAAGTATATAGACATTCGCTGTTTTTTTCTCACTAATAGTCGTTTCCGATCAGACAGATTCTGTTTGCTAATATGTTGGTGTAATCTGATCAAAGTACATTAATAAATGTATGACAATAGTAGGATGGCATAAGGTATATACAATTACACACACAATGGCTATTTGCAGGTCATTGGTTATTTTTTTTTGTGAATGCATAAAGTTCTCGAGACAATCAATAAATTACAAGTTGAATTCATTTGAGGAAATTAGAATTATTCATAGAAAGTCAATATGATAAAACTAGTAAGGGTTGACTTAGTTTCTTCTTTTTTTTTGTGCAATGTATGACCACGAATAGAATAAAAACAAAAAAAAATCCGCGTTGATAGAAAAGTACTATTTGTAATTATTAATCATAAGTACGCGTTTGTGGACATAGGTCTTTTTCTCTTGATGACTAAAGAAGAGAAAGAAGAGAAAGAGAAAAAGAAACATAGGATGAACAATGATCAAGTCATTTTCTCCTTTTCTTAATGTTATTACTTAGTAGGCGGTGTCGACAATAAAACGAAATACTATTAATATTATATATTACATTTTTTTTTGAACTATACGACTTAAAACGATTGAAATTAATGTTCACATTATTGTTGTTGTAATTTTGAACGTAAAATTATAACTGAGTGCCATTAAACAATATATAATTTACAGATTTTCATTATTTAAATATATATATTTATGTTTCCATCAATTGGTACATTCTTTAATAAAAAATTACTTACTCTACGAGGTAAGTTATTTACTATTCAATATAAAATTACATTATCTTAAATAAGACAAGAAAAAATTAATGATGATACACAAATATAGTATTTACTTAGGACAATTATACAATCATTTGTTATATTTAGATAGTAGTAATCGTATAAGAAAAGAAGTTATCTCTATATCCTCGAGTAAATATTATATATATATTTAATTACAAAATTTCGTAATTTTTGTTGATGAGCAACACAATGTTAAAAATATGTATATTCATATTAGTTGTCTTCTGTCAATTATTTAAAAAAATAGAAAATAGTAAACTATTTCTTCAAGTGTTTTTAATCATAATCTAATCGATAACGTAATCTGACTGATGACGAATTCAATTCTACTATTAAACAATTGAGAAATATGTGTGTTTTCTTAAAACACTTCAGATGTTGACAGTTAACTATATAATTCATCGTACTATTAAAAATTTCATGCATTTCAACATCTTCTATACTATGTTGTAATCCTAATTCACTGTAGAGAAGAGAAGTATGTCCAAACATAAACAATAGATCATAGTTTTATGTAGAAAGACTTGAATGTTTTTTTGATGAAATAAATACGGTTATCATCTCCTCTCGAAAAAGAGACGAATTCAGGATTTAATAACTCGATAGTCAGAATTGAAAACGGACAGAGGACATTCATTCGTATATGTAGTAAAATTTTCAGCTCAATAAAATAGAAATTATAGTTGAACCATGCTGAGACAAGTCATATAAATGTCATTATGTTTATTCAACCGTATTTAACCAAGAAATATAATACTAGGAAAGTAATTATTTTATATTATTTGTGTATAGGTCGTCATTCTAAATCGAGATCTTCATCCAATGATTTATCTTCATCATCTTCACCATCATCAATTGTTCCATTAAGAAAAAAATCTCGTTCATATCGAGCATCATCACCAAATCAAATTCTTTCATCTTTATCGGATGATTCTCTATCCGAACCTAAACAAAATCGTCCACATTCAACATTTATTTCTATAACTGATCAATCAAATCATTCATCATCATCACCACCACCATCGCTTTATCTTATTCAATTAACAAATAAAACTAATAAAATTAATTCATTTGGTTTAACTAAAACAATTACATGTGTTTGGAAAAATACACAGACAAATACTGATGATGATGATCAAAATATTTCTTATCCACGTTATTCTATTGAACAAGTTCAACCAATATGTAATCAAAAAAAACATTCAATACCAATATCATCACGAAATATTATTTTACAATGTGGTCAAACTGATTATTGGCAAAATTTTGAATCGATCACAGATTCTACAATAACATCATCATGTATAAAATCAACTGGATCAGCATTTCATCTACTTTCAACATCATTCGATATAAAATCAAATAAAATTCATACAAATCCTAATGGACATATTATATCAATAACAACAACAAAACGTTGTCAACCATCTGTATTAAATCAAACAAAAGATGTACAATGGAATATTCAAGGAGATGGAAAACAAATTCGATATTCAATTATTAAATCACATAGTGATGATCAATTACAAAAATATCAACAATTAAAAAGACAATATCGAGCAAAATATGGAACAGATAGTAATACAGATAGTGGATCATCTAGTGAACAACAAAATCTATCGGCACCATCAAATTTACATCCAGAGAATGCAACAAATCAGATTCATAAAGGTATTTATATTCGATAAGAAGTTATATAAACTACTTTATATTATTATCGATGTTAGAATTAAATAGGAGTGTAGGGCGAATATTTGAGATTCCTAAATTTTACCAATAAGATTTTCGCCAATGTCATTCTGTGATTACATATGTATAAAAATAGCTCTTGGGAACTACATTGAGGGGTTTAGACTACAATATGCTTATTCTGATAATACTAGGGTAATTTGACACATGCATTTTACACTAATCTTGTGTTATTTTAGTTGGCAAAAACCCACTACACTTCCGCCAATGGCGAATGTCCTATTAGGAAAGAGACAGTAAGCTGAATATTCCAAGAAAGGCAGTAGCTATTGACTTGTAGTTTCCACTAATAGAAATATAAAATTTCATCTAGTTAATCGATTATTTTCAAAGATAATAAGTTTTATAAAGAATTCATCCTATGACAGTCCAACGCAGCTCGATAGCTATCCGTCCTACACTCACCTCTACTTAAGTCTAGCATTGACAAATAGTTCTCGCTTTGTTTTTACTGATATTAGAATATATTTCTTAATCGGGGTATAGTATTTAGAAATATTCTGTTTTGCCTACCTTTGAATATTACAAGAAGAGCTAATAAAATAATTATTTATTGATTTATTTTTTAAGATATATTGCTTTCTTTTCTTTTATATGATCGTAATTTTTAAAACATATTGTTTTTTTTTGTATCTTTTTAGTATTAGAGAATTTTTCAACGAATAGTAATTCTAAACAAACAGATAATTCTTTATTTTATACTGATATTAATCATACATTACCAAGTCTCGTTCAACAAGAAACAATAAATCATGTATCATTCGAACCTCCTATAATTTCTAAACCAAAAAAAGTATCCTATGCAAGTACAGATGAAGATGTTGATGAACTTAGTTCACATTATATTGAAGATATGAACGAATCAATAACATTGATTAAAAATTCTCCTGAACAATCCAATCTACAAGATGATATCGATCTTAAAAGATCATCTATAGAATCTTCACAAATAACTGTTGATTCTGGAGTTGATATAATCAGTGAACAAAAACTTTATCAACCAAATATAACAATTCCTATTGATGAACAATCATCCGAAGAACTAACAAATCAAAATGGTATTTTAACATTATCAGAAGATTCATTAGGTGATATTGAATTAAAATTATCTACAAATAATGTATTATTACCAAATCAAATAATAACAGAAAATAGCGAGCATACAACTGAACATGATACTTATTTTTCAGCTAAAAGTGAATTATGTACAGACAAAGATTTATATAGTGGTTATGAACTTGAAAGTATTACAGATGAAGATGATGATTATTTAAAAGACGATGATTTAAATGAATTTATTATAACATCTGAATGTACATCATCATCACCAACATCTCAACCGCCTACATCTTCTTCTTCTATTCCTCCTGAATTCGAATTTAAATTACCATCATTTGGTGAATGGATTAATCGTGCATTTAGTACATTTCTTTCTGAAACAGATAAAAATCCAATTGAACCAATATTATCAAGTCGTTCATCATCCGATGTATCAATACATGGTTCACATAGTACAATTAATACATTATCCTCATCACATGTTGTAACTGTTCTTGAAAATCAAAATATATCAAAAAATGAATCTATTAATCTTTCTCAGGCACAATCATGTTCACCCGACGACGATGAACAAGATGATGAACATAGTCTTAATGGTAAATATAGATTTTTTTTGTAAATAATTAATCATATAAAAATTTCTTTCAAGTTTACATTTGTTATGATATTGCATCCTTTTCTTTTTTTTCTTTTGATTTTATTAATTGTTTTTTTTCCTCAATAGTCTTGATTTTGCTGTTAGCTAAATTAAACGGCTGTTACGAATGAGTGATAAATTTATTTGACGCCTACAATCAAGGCATTGTATTCGAGTCTCGGGACCTCCAGACATAGAATAACCGTGAACAAGACACAATATGAAATACAATGGTACTTATACGTCGTCATTGTGCCTAGAAAGATCAAGCAAATTGAGTAAAAGAGTTCTGAAATAGAGACTGTCTTGAGTTATAAAAATTATTAAATTGTATCTTTATATCCTAAGAGAAATATTTTTTCAAAACTTTAGTAGATAAGAATAATCTTGATAGTTAATCGATCCTATTGTTGAGATAGAATACATTTAGGAAAAAAACTATAGATAAGATATTATAATTACATATAGAAAATTTTCAATTGTATTCTTTGAAGATAGTTGGTTTTTTTTGATAATTTGTATTATTTATATAGTAAGTATTGAATTTTTACATGCGATCTCATTAATATTTCATGTTTTATTGTCGTAAATAAAACATGACCTGTCATCGAACTTATTTTATATTTATTAGATGATATATCGAGATCTCTTTACACTTCTCTTTTGTCTGTTCTTTTTTTCTATAATAAGACTAGATACTATTGTGAACATTGTTGAATATATAGAACAATGTTCACTTGATACAAGTGACATATGATTTTCTGAAGAGAATAATAAAAGAGATTTTCAATATTAATCCTAAGTAAAACAAAAATTTTTTATTTTTATTGAACGACTCAGTAATTGCCGTATAAAATTGTCACGTATCCAATATTCTCACTCGTACTGCATGAGTGATCCGTGATAAATGATGAAAATATGTCAATAAGACATTGCACATGTATTCATATTCAAAAAGATATGATAGTAAGCGAGATTGTTAAAAATGTGTTCATATTAGTAAAAAATATTCCCAGCAAGATTTACTCTATGGGATTGAAAAAATGTTCATTCATAGAAGTTTGATCGTGAGAGATAACATAGAGAGAAAAAAAACTTTCATTTAACTTCAACTGCTTATCTTTCAACATACTGAATAAAGAGAAAGAAACGTGATGAAACCTATCAATATTTTATCTTTTGACATTTGAGTTATTTTAGTTTTCGATCGAAATTTAGATTACTTAGAATAGTCAACCAACAGTAGTCTTTTGAAGATTACCCTACATTTTGTCGTCTTAGATTTCTTTTGTTAATCTGCTAATTTTCTTGAGTTAACTCTTAAGATTAATTGTAAGAAATCTGTTGTTGTTATTATTATTATTTTAATTACTTCATTTTCTTCTCGTCTTGATAGTAATATAGAACATATTCTAGATATTGAAAATAGAGAGAGAGAGAGAAAGAGACATAGAGAAAGAGAAAGAGGAAAAAGAAATGAAACAGATAGTTTGACATCACTTAGTAGTTACATGTGTATTTTTATATCACTAAAAAGTATCTCTTCCGGTTTTTTTTAAATTTTATGAGTAGTTTTTCAATAAAACTAGGAATCAATAGTCGTTTCTTTCTTTCTTTCTTTTACTTTGATTCAATTTCAATAAAGACAAAGAGAACCGAACAAAAATCTATCCTAAGGCGAACAGCTGCAGTTAACAAGGTTAGAAGAACAAAAAGAAAAGCGAGTGAGAGACTAACGGACAATTGGTTTTGACGACAATGATAGCTCAATAAATAAACAATAGGCAACATATAATCAACACATTTTTTTTTCTTCTTTTCTCTATCTTAGACATGTCAAGTTCAAGTTTAAACAGTGAAAAGGTCGATTTTGATACATATATTATCGATAGCAATTATGAAAAGATCAATCCTTCAATAACAAATGAACAAAATGAAATTCCTTTCATTACAAAACGATCAAAATCATTATTATCATCAATCACATCATCGATTGAAAATGATGATCAAGGTGAGCTTTTATTATTATTAGCAATATAGAAAATGTATGACATATATATTCATATATATATACATATACACATACGTATATATATATATATATAGATATGTGTCATTGCTCTTGAATAGCAAGGTGAGAGAAAAAGAAAGAATAAAAAAAAAAAGTATATCGATATACATTTCCTTTTCTTCATTTTTTTTTCTTTTTCTTGAACTGTTCAATCATGAAGGAGGTCACATACTTCTATAATGTAAGTAATCAATCTTAACATGTAATCATAAGCAAGAAAAAACGACGAAACCAAATCTGAGTTATTGTTTTTAATCAAAAATCAGACATTCAATTTCTTTTTTTTCTTGTCGTCTTACTTTACTTTACATACTATTTGATAATGATATAGAGTACTTAGACAATAGTCTATCAAAACGAAGACGACTAGACCGTTAGAAGAATACTTGAAAATGCGTACCTATAAGTTGTCCAATATAAACATATTTTTTTTCTTTAACATTTTTGTAGAGGTGATGAATAACGAAATATTACAGAACGATGATAATAATTCTAAACAAATAATATTATCAAATACAGATGATTTAGAATTATTACCACATTTTGAAGAATTTCAATATTCTTCAAATAGTAATGATTCATTATTACAATCCGATCAACATATGGATACAGCAACATCATCAACAGATGATTTAACAAAAACAAATCAATATTTATCATCGAATTTTTATTCGAAAGATTCAGCACTTGATTTATCTGATGATAATTTCAATCGACAACATATTTTAGATAATGATGATGAACACGAACAAATTGTATCATTAACAACATTACAAGATAAAAGTAAACAGAATTTAGTATTTTGCCTTTTTTCTTCGCCTTCATTTTTCATCTACTCAAAAAATTTTTATCATAAAAATCAAAGGTTAAAAAAATACTTTTAGGCAGCTCCTATACAAGATAGTAAAAGAGATTATCATAGATGGCCTTACTCACGCGTGCATTTTTCAGTTCAACTATCCTTGAGTGTTTTTGGTTATGTTTTGATATATCATTAGACATATGCATATTGTCCATCGGGTTGTCTCACTCCCATTCAATCTAAACTGATTGGCTATTAACTAATCCTACATTGTATTGTCGCCCTTCGAAAAGAGCTCATCACGCTCGTTCTTTATTTACATATATGCATTGACCAGCTAATGAAGTATATATATATGTACGTGTTGAAGAAAGACAAGCATGTCTAAAATGGACTTTATAGGTATGCAAATATGTTAAAAAATGAGATACGAAACACGCGTATGCCATATGTAGAAATGAGAGAATACAACAAAAAGTATACATACGTGCTAACGCACATTAATACGATGATTTTCATGTCGTTAAAATAAAAGAAGAAAAAAAAAGATGTTGTCTTTTGTTTGTCATTCTTTGCTCTTTTATTATTATTACTATGTTTTTAACATGCCTTTCATTTCTTTTTTTAGCAAATGATACCGATAGTTATATTGATGATGAAACCATGCAAAATAATGATACAATGATTTGTATTAATGATGAATTATATTTAACTGATGAGGATAAAAATAATACTCAACGAACAACATCATCAAGTTCATCCGAACATTTGATACCAAAAGAAAAACAAACTGGTAAAAAGAAAATATTTATAAAATTTTGTTCTTCTTAACTCTTGTTTTCTTCTTCTAGGAATGTATTATAAAGCTTTTGGTAGTGCTGCTGCAATTCAACTCGCTGAACAGTATCGTTGTGAATGGTTACAAGAAATATCATCACCAATACAAATTGAAAAACCTACTATAGAAACAGATAATGATCATCATCTTCGTATTGTTCATCAACGACAAACAATTGGTGATAATGAAGATGAATTTTATTTATCTCCACAAATACTTCGTTCATCCTATTCTTGTCCAAATTTAATATCAAAATCAATATCATGTTCAATTTCTGAACGTTCATATTCATTAGCAACATTAGATGCATATACACATATAAATATAACACATGAAACATTAGAACGTATTTGGTTATCATTACTTGATGTTGCATATAGTGACAAAGATGATTATGAATTAGATGAATATAAATTACGACATATTATTGGTTTATCAAATTCATATTCAAATATGAATCAATCAATAATAGAAAAATCTCGTAGTCATAATGATATATTTTCTACAATGGAAAAAACAAATCAAAAATTTATAACAAAATATAAATCAAAATCATTCGATATAACTTCATTAATGAAACAATCATCATCTATAAATAATTCAGCTAATATTGGTCTTTTACAAGGTGCAGATATATCCGAACCATTTGCTGATCGTTTAATATCAACGTCAGTACAATCAGATCTTGAAAGTATGCAATCATTAGAACCTGAATTAATTCTTAATGAAAGTACTACTCCTACTTCTCCAGTACAACAACTACCACAAGTATCACCATTAACTATAAAAGAACCATTGAATTATGTTTTTAATTTTTCACAACAACAACAACAAGAAGATAATGATGAATATGAATTAGAATCAATGTTTGAAATTGAAGATAAACCATTAGATATATCTTTATCAATTGAGAAAGAAGATAGTTCTCCTCCTCCTCCGATCATACAAATTGAAAGTACATATGCTGAATTATCAAAATTTCGTCCACATTCATTATCAACAATTCCAAGTTCAAGAGCAAGTCAATATGCGTCAAGTATTGATAGTGATGATGTTTTTGAACAAGAAAATCAATCAAATAAAGACAATTATGATGATAATTATCAATATCATATGAGTGATGATGATCATGGAGTTATTGGCTCAGAATTTTCATCACCACGATCAAGACCATTATCATCAATACAAAGTCGTCCATTATCACCCGAACAATATCAGGTTAGTTAGTAAATATCAAGTATTTTAAAATCACGTGATTTCGTAGTAACAATTTGAGAGGGAAAGAGACATAACGCACCAACTTTTTTTACAGTTTCCCTGAGAAGATGTTCGTCACGACTTTCCGACATATAAAGTCTTCGGAATGACAAAGATCTAAAACAAGCAGGGTGTGAGTGTATAAGTCATTCTTCTCTCATAGTACACATCTACAGCCTTACTGTCACCAGATTCACCTGTATTTTTTTAAGCTATGGTCCCCCTGATCAACATGTTTTACGGACTCCCGGTAAAAAAAAGTCGAATCCGAACACCTGGATAAATTACCAGGTGTTCGGGACACCTAGTAGGTTTTGTCTTTGTCCCATCGAGACTAGATACGATCGCACTCAACGCCCTCTGAATCCGCCACTGGCAAAAATAATGACGTCATGAGATTTTTTCGAATGATAGATCGTAGTCCCGAAATATGACTAAATTTAACAGTAAAGCTGAGATTCTATTTGGTTAAATCACTACTTCAAAATATTTATTTTATAATTTTGATTAAAGAAAAACAATAACTACATAATTGATAACATATCAAAAAATTTGTTATTTACAAGACTTGTTAGTGTTTTCATCATCTCTATAAAATAGTCGAAAATTACAGTTGTTATTATTGTTTCTAATTATAAAACAAATAAATAAGAAAATTTCACGCGTCGTGTTTTTCATATATATATTCATGTAATCAACATTTTATTAGTATAATATTAATTGAATACCATCGAAAAATAGACAATGTCACGGCTACTAGTTTCATGATTTGCTATTAATAAGTTATAAATCAAAACAAGTCGAGATTAGATCTAAATTGAAAATAGATACATACTTAACCTTAAACAGATGTTCAACAATGAAAAAAAATATCCTTTTTTGTTTTCTTTAGCAAATTAAATCAATAAATTTCGCTGATATTGATAATAATGTTTGGGAACAATCGATAAATAATGAACCAATACTTTCAGAAGATTTTAATAATTTATCATCAATTATTCCAGTTGAATCATTTGATTGTAAATCAACTCATATAATCGATGAAATTGAACCAATTTTAGTATTTCATGATAATAATCATAATACAAATAGTTTTGTTGAACAAACTGATCAAACAATAATACATCCATTAATTCAAGAAGATTATATAACAATTGAACAAGAATTTGATATTAATCTTGATCCGAATGATCTTGCTGATCGTTTAGGACAATTAGATCATTCAGCAAATAAAACATTAGTTCATCAACAAGAAGAAATAATTAATATACATATATTTGATAAAAATGAACAAAATTCGAAATTTAATATTGAAAATTTAACAACAATTGTTGATGAAATTCATCAAATTAATCAAATAAAAGTATCAACAGAACAACTTCTTTTACAACAATCATTAAATAACGATAGTAAACAATCTTTAGCAACAATGAAACTACCTAATCATTGTAAAATGCAACGGATTGATAAAGTATCAGATTTAGAAATCATGAAGCAAGGTAAAGGTTTTAAAATTGGTTATATTGATCGACAAGGTACTGATCAACGTGTTATATTAACAAAACGTATTGAAGCTGGACCAGATATTATGGAACGTGATCCACATATTCGTTTACCTTATAAAGGACGACGATTATTAAATCATTTATTTAGTTCAGTATTATTCACAAATGGTTATAGTTCATTACAAGAAGATGGAAAATTTCAACATTCAACTGAAAGTATTGAAGTACCAATTATTGGAACTAATCCTAAACATTTCGATGAGGTATGTAAGAAAATTAATATCGAAGTTTTTAAGAAAAACATATTTTGATTATATAAGTTCCAAAAAATCTTAGCTAATAATCGCACGAATGTCAAAGTAAAAGTTTAGAGTTTCAAGTTTTTAGACATATTGTAGCTTGTAACTGTGCTTTTTTTTCCTGAGCATCACCAGTCGACTCCATACTAGGGGTAGTACAGTTCCATTCTAGTCCGGTTTTCAGGAACTATATAATAGTTCTTTTGACAGGAACTGATCTGTTCTTTGAATAGAACCGAACTGTCTGAAAACTAGTTTTTTTAGTAATACAAACAGATTTGAAACAGATCAGTTCCTCTGAAAGAACTGTTGAGACAGTTCAGTTCTTTTGACCAGTTCATCTAAACTTCGAACTGTCCTACTCCCTCTCAATACAGCCCAGAGTATCTCTTAGAGCAATCAAAAGCAGATGATTACAATTTTCAGGTAGAGTTTTTCGCGAAAACTCCAAATTCGTAGCATACTTAACTTGACCTAAAAATCTACATTAAAATTCACTCACTTGATTTGTTATTTATACAAAATATATTAACTATGATTGAACAAGAAAGATGTATGATCATGAATTATGCAAATTACTTCTACTCCTAATAATATCATAGTTCAAACGAGATTTATTATTTTGTGAGAAAATAAAATAATGTGTATCATATTTATTTATTTAGTCTGATATGATTTCTATTGATATTGATGGTCCATCAACCATGCTCAATTCAATTTGTGAATCAATAGTTATAACTCAGGGTTCTGTTTATTCAAATAATTCTTTAAAATCTCAATTAGAAAAACCAATATCACAATCTATATCTAATCAATATAGTGAACATCTTCGAGCATCTCATCCAATAAAAAAAGATAAAGTTGAAGTGATTGATTCTTGGCATGATCATACGATTATTAATGGTAGTAGTACACCATGGCGTAGTCCATTTAAACCTACAAAAAAAACTCAATCATCTGTTAATACAACTTCAACATATAATTTATTATCACATGATACGAAACAATCTCCTACGAATACAGAAAAACAAATAAAATTGACTCATGAAATTGCTCTATCACCTATTCCAATAATTATTGAAAAATGTTATCAAACAACAGCAACATCACCTATAACATTTCCACAAACAGTTGATCGTTCATCTCAATATAGTCCACCAATGAAATCTGATCAAGGTTTACAATGTTATTTTGAAACAATAACATCTTATACACAAGTATCACCTTATCAAATACCCGGTTTATTAAAAACACAAGATGGAATACAAACATATAATAATAATAATAATAATTCACAATTTCATACATTAACAACACATGGAACAAAACTTGAACGTAGTGCTGATTCTGGTATTCTTGTTGATGATAATCATCATATTCCACCTCGAAAATCAAATTCAAGTGTACAAGTTGATAGAAAAAGTTCATCATCTGATAGTGAAGATACATCTGAATTAACTACACGTCCAATTATTAGACAAACATCACCATTAATTAATCATACATATGAAAATACAATCATAGATAATCCGAGTCTAAATACATCAACAACAGAAATTGAACAAGAAATTTCACAATTATGTCGTGAACGAGCTCATATACTTGATTTACTTTCATTAAATTGGAGTCGATCAAATATTTGGGTAGAATTAACAGAAGCAAAATTAAATTATATTATTGGAGAAACAGGTAATTAAATTATATCTTGAGAGTGGGTGTGGGTTTGAATATCTATAATTTTATTTTCTTACGAACAGTTGAATGAGCATTTTTTATAATCAATTCTATCTTTCAATAATTAAAATAAAAACCTTGTGAAGTTGCTCTTCTATATGATAACATCAGTCATTTATTGTCAATTACACAGACAATTGTACTTCAATAGAAGATTTTGTTACCTTGTTTAAATGAAATCATAATGAATATTTTTAAACATCTATTGTATTTGAAAGATAATTCTCAACAATAAATTCTTCTTATTATCTATTATTACATTTTTAGACGCTCTTCTTCGTGCACTTTCATTTGATTCCACATCAGTTGATAATGAAACAGTTAAATTAAAAATGCAACAATATGAAGAAGATATGGCAGCATTAACACGACAACATTTAGTTGTTTATCGTGAACGTTTAGAAGCATCTAAAAAACAATTAGATATTAAAATTGATGAATTAGAATTACGAAAATCTTCATTAGAAAATCATCCAACAAATCGTATATCAACATATGAACATACTCCACGTTTAATCAATATCAAACGATCAAAATCATTTTTAAGTACAAGTGCAGAAAATTTAACAACACAAACAAATCAAGAGATTATTGCCAGTCATCCACAGTTACTTGATGTATCATTTTTAACATCAAAAACATCCGGTCTTCCATCACGTTTTACTGATAATCGATCGAATAATAATAATAATAATAATCATGAAACAATTCGAACAATTCATCGACCAACACCACGTTATCCTATGTCAAATAATCCTAAATATGATTATAATAATGGAAATTTATCACATATGGAAGGTTTAAGTAAAAGTCAACAAGCAATTTTAGATGAAACAGATAAACTTGTTAAAGATTCACAACAATTACATACAGAATCAGCAACACAATTTGAACGTGCAAGAGAAAGTTTATTATCAAGGTAATTTTCATATTCAATTCTCTCGATAATAACTTAAATATAAAATCCAATCGAGAGATTGTTTAGTTCTCATCATTACCATTTTAAATTTAATTTGTCTGCGAATTTATTTTTCGTACAAAATCGCTGTCGACATAAAAATAATATTTTCTCCAATTTTAGCTCATAAATCTTTTTTTCGTGCGTGTGAAAACCAGGTAAATTTAATAACCTATACTCTTTGCATGATGCTCGGTAGCATGGTTGTTTTTTAAAAAAATAAAATAAAATAAAATAAACTCAGATAATAACAAACTGGATTATTTTATTGAAATGATTAAAAACAAAAAAAAAATATTAAAAATGGATTGTAAATTAAATTAACAAAAAAATATTTAATAATATTTAATTTTTAGTGAAACACCAATTCGATTAGCACGTGCAAATATGGCTGCATCACGTCTTGAATCATATTCAGGAAAGAAAACTTATTTACCAAATGATGTTACACTTGCTGAACTTTTTAAATATGAACAGTCATTAGCAAAGGAAACAGCAAAAAATACTCGACAACTTTATACAAAAACAACGACAAAATCTTAAACTTTTTCGTGTTTGATTTATACATTTTATTATACCGTCCATTTAACGATATCTTATTACAAAACAACAATTATCACCGAAAAAAACGGTGTATGTTGGTGCTGTTCTATTTTAGTAATTGTGAAAATCGATGTATATCACATCGTTTGTGTAGTTTTCTTTCTTTTTTTGCTATTATTACTGTTGTTATACGACATGCTTTTCTGTGTGCGTGTGTGTGTGTTTGTGTGTGTTGGTTCTTATTTTTGAAATTTGTATAAAGTACAAAAAATTCAAATAAATATAAAAAAGAGCTAAAAGCATGAATTGTATTGAAAAGAATTTTTGTAGATTCTTTACTATTAGTTGTAACAAGAAGCTTTACAAACTATTTATTTTTGAGGAAGACATGTGATACGAAATATAGATTCTTCTCAAGATATCACTTACTTAAGGAAAAACAATCATTTATGTATCATTAGGTTCTTTAATCTATATTTCTATGTTCTATCTAGAGAATTCTAGAAAAAGTTAATATTGATTGTTGAAAGGCGGTATGACATTCAATAAAATAAAAATAAAGAGATTTTGATATATTTAAAGCTCTCTTGTGTACGTCATCAATAGTTAAATTTTTCAAAAGATAATCATAAATATGGTTTTGTTGTATATAATTTTAATAATAAAATCTATATAGATATTTAAAAATTCTTATTATAAAAAGAAATAAATACTTGTTTATTCATTTGTAATAAGTATGAATTAATTCTTTCAAGAGTAGTATTCAACATCTGAACAAGTGACAATATTTCTTCATAAAGATAATAGACTATAATAACTTTTCCTCATTGTTATTTTAATCATCCCGAGTATGTACTTGATAAGAATGATGTTTGTAACATCTTTTTTTTTGGTTTCCCTAGACTATTTTTTTTTCTATTATTATTACTATTATTGTTGTTGAAATATGATAGGCTTTATCTATGTTGATTCTTATTTTTTTGAAGTTTATATTAAGAAGAATCTGACAGATAAACATCGAAAGAACTACAAAATATGAGTTGCATTTATAATCAAAGTCTTTCTTTCATTCTTTTTGTTATTTGATAAGAACAAGATTTTTCTACTAGATTGAACAAATAATTTTATTCTCTAAATAATACTCTTTTTAAATATTATAGTCATATAAATTTACTTGATCTTGAAAAGAAAAAAAGAAAAAGACGAGAGAAAATGGAAAATCTTCTTTGTATGTGTGTTTTTTTATACTTGGTCGGTCACTATAGATATATATATTTTACGACCGGTATGTCGTGTCACTCATTCATCTTTATACACTATACCTTTTTTTTTCTCTTCTCTATCTCTTTTTGCATAATTATTATAATTTTTCCTCAACTAAAAGGCGTCAAAGAATAAAGAAGAAGAGGAATATGATGAAGTAATAGCTGCCGAATAGTGCAGGTAATCGTCATTACTATTCTTATTACAGTAAAGGATGTTGATGAGCACAGAATAATCTTTTCTCATTCTTCCGTTTTTCTTTTCTTTTACTTTCTTCTTCTTCTTCTTCTCAAAATCCTTCAGCATGATGATTATTACTACTAAGCAAATCTTAGTTGAACGTCATCACTGTCGTCGTACAACAGAAAAAAAAGATAATGTTTTTACAATGCAGTGTTACTATTCCGCCTTCTCATCCTTCTATCTATTTATTTAGTATTAGTCGTGATTGAAATGTGAGTTTTCTTTCTTTTTTTTTTCATCCATATAAAATCTCTTGTTAATATAATATTGCTAATATTTCTTTTTTTTTCTTTCCTATTAAGATAGCAACACATCTATTTTGTTTTTATACATGTTTATATATATATAAATAAATAATGCCAGGTCGAAAAATTCGATTAACTTCTGGTTCATCGCTTATTATCATTGGTACTTCATTAACAAATTCAGCATCTAAAACAATCAAAGGTAATAACATGTTATTATCAATCTTGAGTTAGAAAAAAAAACGAACCAATTCAATCTTATACTTCACATCAGTTGTCATGATTATAAATTTACTAAAGCGATATTTAGGCTAAAAGTATTAAAAATCAAAGATAGAAAAGAAAACGAGTATTATAAAACACACTTTCTCTTTTTTTTTCTCTTATTAATAATACCACACATTAATCCGATCTAGTATTTTAACAGTATTGAAAATATAAATATTATTTTAATTATAAAAAAAAAACTGTAATTTACATAGTATATAATTTATGTTGTTTATGACAGGCGTTAGGACGTTTTGAATTGTTTTAAGGTCATATAAATACATATCATTGCTTGGAAATGGCATAGACATTTTCTGATTAATAGAGAAATGTTTTCGATTCATAAAAAACAAAAGATATAATGATATGATTGAATCATCTTGTAATATCCATCGAATTATTAGATTATTGTTGATTTGTTGTTTCCTTGGAGAAACATATATATGAGAAGTGCACTTTTCTTGTTTGCTAGCAACAAACTTCAATGATGATAATTATAGAGAATATATTTTCTACTTGATTAACAATACTAAAAATAACTTATTAGCATATACACATACACATATTATGAGAGAAATAGAAAACAAGTTGTTATAGTTTTATCTGAAATAAATCAAATCAAGTTATGATTAGATTTATTATATGATCTTTTATTCTTGTTTATTATATCTTTAGTACCAGGGACATCTAATACAAAACGACACCATCATCATCAGTCATCAAAATCTGCTAAATTATCATCGACATCAGCAGCTATACATAACAATACAGGTTAATTATTTTTCTCTACACACATTAATCTATTTTCTTGGAAATCTTAAGTATCTATAAGACAAAAGAATATATGTCTATGCATAAGAGATGATGATGAATATTCATTGATATCTGTCTGTCTACAACGATAAAGTATAATTCTTCTTCTCGATGACAAAAGCTCGAACTCCATTTATGTCATATAAATATATCAACATAGAACTACGACTTCTTTTTTCTTATTTCCTAGATTGATAGAATGCAAACACACAACATCTTTCCCATGTCAGTTATTTCCTTCTCTCGAGGTCCATTAGTTATTTCTATACGAATCTATTTGCTACTCTCTTCAGTCGATATTAGTCTTAGTTGAAGACAAAAAAAAAATCGAGTTTTTTCCTTTACACATAAAAAACTATAATAACAACTAAAATTATGTTATCATCAGAACATGTACCATCAATATTCTTCAATAAATCCAGATCGATTGATGAAACTAATCTTTATGATGGTGATATTGATGAAGGTGGTGCTAATAAAACTCCATATGATATTATCGAACATGATGTAACTACTTTAGCAAAAGCTAATAATTTACCACCACCTGATTCATTCGATGCATTACAACTTGGTAGTGAAAGGTAATTGAAAATTATATCTATACAAAAAAAGAAACATACATACATTGAATTATTTTTTAGATTACGAACAATAATTGCTGCACTTCATTGTAATATACTCGTACGTAAAGAAGATCTTGTACGAAATTTGGATTATATCGCAAATATTCTTGAAGCTGTTCATCAAGATGAAACAAGGTAACTTGTTTTAAAAAAAGAAGAAAATTTTTATTTATGAAAAGAATGACACAGATTTTGTATATCAGATTTAGATAAGCTACTTTATTTTCTTCGTTTTTTTTCTTCTTCTTTTATAATTTACATAAACAAAGCTTTATATAATCATTCATTCTAGCATACATAGTTTTTTTTTCTTCTCCTCTCTTCGTTATAAAGAATAACCACAACACTTATGACACCCACTATCATTATTTTGACATTGATGTTAGTGTAATAAAAAAAAAACATAGAGAAATTTTACTGATGATAATTAACATGTCGGCATTATAATATATAACTGAACTTTTTTTTTCTTTTTAGTTTTATTTTATTTTTTTTTGCTATTTTAGAAGATTAATGGAAGAAGATGACGGTGCATTATCAGAGATTGAACCAGATTCTGTACCAAATGAAGTACGAGATTGGTTAGCAATGACATTTACTCGATCCATGTCAACAATTAAACGACGTCCATCAGACAAACCTAAATTTAAAAGTGTTGCACAAGCCATACGTGCTGGTATTATGGTAGACAGGTTTGTAGTTTTCATATATATTTACATGAATTTATAAATACAAACGAGATAAAAAAAGAAATTTTGAGTTCTAGTCTATTTATTTTATTATATCTTTCAGCTTTCACAGGTATGACTTAAGCAGTTGCTCTTTAACTCTAGACGCAATCCGTATTTTTTGTCGTATTACTTTTCTTCTTTTTGATTATTCTCTGTCTCTAGCTATATTACTTTTTCTCTTGTTTTTTCTTCTGATTACCCTTTATCAGGCTTATTAAAGATTGGTATCAACATATAAAATTAAAGGTATGATTGAAATAAACAAAAATATTCAAATAAGAAATTAAAATCATTTGGTTTGATAATATGCATGCATGATCCCAGAACTATATATAATACAAAGATTTTTCAATGTGTGGCATCCATTTTGTTATTGTATATATTTTTCTAGGTACCTGAGACGTTTATCTATCGACATTAAATTTAAGGTATTTTTGAGTTGTTCAATTTTGAAATTTCTTACATATAATGTTCCTTCTTCTTCTTGGATTAAATTTTGTTTTTTTGCACTTCATATTCACGCATACATCTATATAATGAATATTTCGATCTCTTTTTTCAATAAAAACTACACGCTTAAATCACATGAGACATCCTTTAGAATTTTTCGACGGAATGTTCCGGCTGTTAATACTTACATGAACCGACAAGTAAGTTAGTTCCCATAAATTAATCAGTTAATAAAGTAGTTTCTTTTTGCACGAATGACACCAATATATGCATGCTTTAAATGTTGTTCTATAATAATAGATATAATGATGATTAATATAAATAGAAAAAAACCAAACTTTTTTGTTATTTAGACAATTAATGAATGGACATTTGATGTATTTTCTGTGAATGAATTTACAAGTGGTCAATGTTTACGTTACGTTGGTTTTGAACTTATGCAAAGATATAATTTACCAAATAAACTTCATGTAAAGTTATTTGATATTTTTTTTTATCAATGATTATTAATTCTTCTATTTAGATATCTATAACTGCTTTAAATAATTTTCTTGAACAAATGGAAAGTGGTTATAGTAAATATCGTAATCCATATCATAATTTAATTCATGCAGCTGATGTTTTACAAACAACATATCAAATCATTTACAATTCTGGTCTCATGGTAGAGGTCAACGGAGTTTCATTGTTTAATTTGCTTCGTAGTTTTTGTGAAATAAAAAAAAAAATTATTAGTTAATTTTTGCTTTTGCCTAGCATGCCTGAAATTAGATGCTTTAATGAATATTTTTATTTATGATTCTTATTCTTTTTTTTCTTCATTGTTTAGAATTGGCTTAATGATCATGAATTATTCGCAATGTTTATTGCAGCTATTGTTCATGATTTTGAACATACAGGAACGTCGAATAACTTTCATATTCAATCTAGGTAAATTCTTCTTCGAAATAAACATCGAAAATTTTGACAATAAATCGGATGTAACGTACGCTTAGTTGAATAATTTCTAAAGAAAACACTATGTGATTTATGCTTATTATTTCCGTAAATGAATCCATGTTGTAAGTAACATCTCGAGTTTGAATAGTAAGATACGCCTTAGGTTAAATGAGCTCATTTATTTTCAGCTACTGATTTTCAAGGACTTTTCCTTTTGAATATATATAAATACACATTTCCGACGGAATTAAAGTCAAATTGTTTTTAATCCCAGTATGAAATTTGACAGATTAGTATTGTTTATAGATCAATGAGTATTTCCGAACAAGAAAATTTTAATAGAGAGTATCTACATAATTATTTTTAGACTTTAATTACTATGAATATTTTTAAAATAGTATATTCAAAGTCTCGGCGTTAATTATAGTCGATGAAAAAAATTTAGAGATAACAGTAGTATTGATCCAGTTGAGGATCTAGGATTTTGGAAGGGAGGAGGTCGATACCTGAATAGTGGGCGGAGGGGAGCGATACCTGAATAGCGGGCGGGGTAGAATCAAAAACAAATTTGAAGGGGGAGGGGGCTACTATTCCCATCGCCCCTTAATTCGCCACTGTGTTGATTATGTGTGACAGAACGAACTTTCCGTTAGTAAAATTATATTTTTGCAATATAGCATTTTTCAATCATAAAGTATTTCTAATGATTATAATTAGTAAATCTATTTATTTTTTTCTATAAAATTTAGATCGGATGTTGCGTTAATATATAATGATCGTGCTGTATTGGAAAATCATCATGTAAGCGCTGCATTTCGATTAATGCGAATAGATGATTATAATATTTTATCTGAATTTACACCGGAAGAATTTAAGTAAATATTAGAAAAAAAACTTTTGTTGTAAATATTTTGTCTTTAAAAATAATTTCAATAGAAATTTTCGACATTTGGTTATTGAAATGGTACTTGCTACAGATATGAGTAGTCATTTTGCGCAATTAAAAACTATGAAAAGTCTTTTAAGTATGCCGGAAAAGTAAGTTGACTTTTTGTGTTTTTATTTTTTCTATTGAATATTTTCTTATTTTTAGTATTGAAAAATCTAAAGCATTAGCATTAGTACTACATAGTGCTGATATAAGTCATCCAGGAAAACCTTGGAGTATTCATTATTCATGGACTGAATCATTAATGGAAGAATATTTTAAACAAGGTGAAAAAGAAAAAGAACTCGGTTTGCCATGTTCACCATTATGTGATCGAGATAATACACTTGTTGCCGAATCTCAAATTGGTTTTATTCAATATATTGTTGAACCTTCATTTGTTGTTATGGGTGATATGCTTGAAAAAATACTTAAATCTTTATCTGTACCAGATTCTGAACTTCCATCACCATCGATACCAGCTAAAAGTATTGCTTCATCTCCATCACCACCTCCATCACCAAAATCTTCAAATGACTCAAATCATCAACATGATGAAGACAATGGGTAATAATCGATAAATAAAAGAAAAAGAATATATTAATTGTTGATTCTTGTATTTTGAATAGACGTGAAAGAAAACCATCATCAATGACAACACCTTTACCTCGACTGACTATTGTTCGACGACCATGGATTGAATATTTGAAAGAAAATCGTGAACGATGGATACGAGAAGCAGGTAAATAGAAGAGAAATTTATTATTATTCAAATATATTTTCTTGTCTATATTTATAGAAGAAGAAAAACGTCGAAAAGAATTAAAAGTTATTGAAGAAGAACCTTAATTAAATGTATTTATCAACACATTCCATATTAACATACATACACATTTTATTTTTGCTATGCAAACAAAAATATGATCATTAAAAAGAAATCGAAACTATTTATGTGCTTATGTGTGTGTATTTTTTTGGCTTGTATCTTAAGAATAACATCGATCATTTTAATTATATTTATTTCTTTTATGAAAATAAATATGGCTTAGTAAAATTTTGACATGAGGTTTCATTGACATTGGTTTTCTTTTTTCAACAGTTCTCTATCGAATTTAACTAATTGATTTTTATGCAGGATAATTTAGACTGCATTGATCTGATAGATACACATATACCCTCACGATCCACTAACGTATATAATTTCGATATTTCACCTAGATTTATATCGAGATCTTTATGAATTTAAGCAGCAGCAACTCCATTTAGCGTGTTTTGTTTCATTGTAGACCGACAATAACTTCTCCTAGCAGAAGCTGCTGATACTGGCTTGTTTTGTATTCTTGTTTCTCTTCTCTTTGATCTATGCTTCTCTAACTTTACGTGGTTAGCATCTCCCCAATAGAACTGAATTCATATTCATTTAGACTTACAATTAAAATACAAGAAGCGATTCTTTTCTATTCTTAATTTTTCACAGAAAGAAGAAACAGATGGATGCTAGATATGATCACACCTCTGTAAATGTAATGGGAGAAGAAGAAGAAGAAGAAGAAGACTCTGAAAATGTACCTTAGTTTTAAATTGTCTGTGTGATGAATATTGTTTGCTAGAAAATTTTGTGTAACTGGTTTGAATAGAAATGTCACGTTGCTTTATTCTATAACATCATTTTTGCATTAATAGAAAGATATATTTATTTGTCAAAAAAACTGCAGTTTATCTTGACCAAAAAAATTCTTGAATAGATATGAGTAAGAAAAAGAAAGTCTTCGAAGTTCATAAAACGTACATTTATCAACCATTGACCGAGAACAGTTCACAATCAGTTAAGTCGTGCCCGCCTAGCCAGTCGTGTTGCCCTCCAATAACAAGTACTGTTGGTGATGTTGAGAAGGAATTATTTAAAGCAACTGCTGTGTGACGAGAACGAGTGGTGTTCATGTCTGCTACGGAACGCCACATATTGAGTTGATAATCATAAACTTCAGCCGAACGAATAGGTTGACCGCTAGTAGTATCAAATCCACCAGTTAGAAGAACTGAACCTGATGTTAATAAAGTTACACTGGCTTCATTTCGTAGTTGGGTAGTATTTGCTGCAAATGTAAATAATTTCGTTGTTGGATTAAACAAATAAGTTCCACCGTTACTGTAAGTATCACCAGCAAGTAAAAATTGTCCATTGGGTAGTAATGTACCTTGAGGTGATAATGCATATGGTGCAATTGTATTCGAACTTTGAGTCCATTGTAATGTTGATACGGTAAACATTTCTACTACGCTACCTACATAACCGCCTCCTATAGCTACAACCACATTCATAGATGGTAAGTATGTTGCTGTAAAATAGACTCGTGCATTAATCATTGAAGTGGTGGTTGTCCATTGATTCGAAACCAAATCATAGAATTCACATGATTGTAGACCGACAGATCCGGTGCTACCTCCATATCCACCCATGACTAAGATTTTATTCATTGGTGCTGGTAAATAGACTGCTGCATGTCCATATCGACCAAATGTCATATTACTAACAGCTGACCAACTATTACTTACAGGATTGTAAATTTCAGCAGTTTGGCTAGCTGTATTGTAATACCAACCACCCGTAACAAACAATCGACCATCTGGTAAAAGAGTAGCAGTGTGAGTTGATCGAGCATTATTCATTGATGCTCCTCGACTCCATGTTCGTGTTGCGGGATTGTAAATTTCCACTGTATTAGCACCCTCTCTACCCCCTACAACGATGACACGACCATCAGAAAAGAGAGTTGATGTATGCTGAGTACGACCTATTGCAAGGGAGCCTGTTATTGACCAACGACCCATATTGAATACACCTAAGAATAAATATATTTATTACATATTCTCAGTAAAATTCATCAAAAAAATATAACAGATCATTTAGAATAACTCAAAAGAATTTCATAGAATCTGTAAATACTTGGAAATTTAGAATCAACTAGTTTTCTTTAGAATCTAATTCGCTTAATACTAAGATACATAAGGAGTGATTATCATTACGTATAATTGTGTGATATAGTGAGTGAGAAACGCATTACTCATTTGATAAAGGTGACAGTGCTCTAGGGGCAGTTAAAACAATCTTTCGATAATATTTCACGCTATAGGATATATATTTTTTCTAATACGCTAATCAAATATTGAATTCAATGGTAGAAATTCAATCTACTGTACCGTACAGAAAAATCTAACTTGAAAATTCTTTTCTGGTAGACATGGCTTTGAATATATAAAGAGAAGATAACCTTACAATTCCATTTATACTACTCGCCTTTCAAATCAAAATTTAAAGAAACTTACTACTAGTCGTTTGAGTTGTAGTTGTTAATGTTTTCATTGTTGTTGATGATGATGTAGTTGTGGATGGTTTTGTTGTCGTTGATGTAGTTGTTGATGTTGATGTGGTTGTTGTAGTTGTCGTTGTAGATGGTTTTGTTGTCGTTGATGTAGTTGTTGATGTTGATGTGGTTGTTGTAGTTGTCGTTGTGGATGGCTTTGTTGTCGTTGATGTTGTTGACGAAGGAGTTACGGTCGTAGTTGTTTGAAATAAAGTACTGGGTACATTTTGTACCGATGAATACGATGTTGAAAGTGCCAGTCCAATACGATTATTTTGCATATCAAATACACTATAGAAACGTCTCATAAAATAATCACCGAGAATCCAAATTGGTTTGCCATTTGCATCGTTTTGATCGCTTGGTGATATGTAGCTATAGCAAGTATATGCAGCAGAATTACCTATGATTTCAAGGTACATTAATGGTGTTAACACAAATGGAACACCGCTAATTGTAACTGCAATATTTGGAAAAGCTGATAAGGGTTTTGTTTGACAATTAACCTTGTACTTAAATGATAACAAAAAAATGTTATGTGATAGCTCTCGATCTTAGCATGATACCCGAAAGACTTCACATTAAAACGTAAAGTAGAATCTCGAACATCTTTAGGTTTTACTTACCAATCCAGTCGCGTTATCGTATGTAGCTCCTAGTATTGTATTTATTGTGTTCACATAAGTTGATGGACCTATAATTGCATGAGTTGTTCCAGTATCCAAGATAGCATTAATTGATGTGGCTATTGTTGTTGTTGTTGATCCAATTGTTAAACGAACACTGTCAGCAACGAATTCCCAATAACCTTTGACACTAACTGGTGCATATGTAAAAGAGCCTGTATATTTCGTTGCGTCATAACCACCCAAAATTAATTCACCTGTATCCGAACCAGTCGATACTCTATTGAATATATTTTGAACAAGAATTTTTTAATATTCAATGAAAATATACACTTACGGTCCAAACCAAAAACAAAAAATGGGAAGACTCAACTGTCCAGCCAAATACATTGACCACACCAGAGGATTTTCGCCGCCGTGTGCAAGATTTTGATAACCCAAACCTAGTATACCGTCATTAGTTCGCCAACTCATACCTGAAGCTGAACTAACAATAGCAAATGGTTGACCAGTAACAGATATTCCGGCCATCTAAATCGAACAAAACGTTATTCTCTTGTTATTCATATAGATAACTTTTACATACATTCACTGTATCATTTGCAAATACTCCCGTGGTGTGAGTACCATCACCATAAAGAATCTGAAAAGTCTTATTCCATGCTTTATATGTTGATGATAAACTAGGTTTATATGTATGATTACCACCTGATATCAGAAACGAAAAGTTAGCATTCAATAATTAAGAGAATAATCTTTTTCTTACCACATGCAGTGCCACATTGTTCGCCTGGAACCCATAGATCAGATGATCCCGTATCAAGCTGGCTATAAAACGTTTGACCAGGTGTACCAATTGTTATTAAACCCATCCAATATGTCTATTAATTAAAAGCATATAGGATGTTGATGAGAAAAATTAAAATACTTACACCCCAAAACTGATCAAGTGTTGTTTCAGTCGCTGATACGGACCTTTTTGTTATTCCCGTATGTTTTCCTTTTCCGTGACATTTGTATTGAGTAGTATTACCATTACATGTACGGTTGACTTTATGCATTGTAATGCTAACAAAAAGAATAGAAATAAAGGTTATAATCAATACAAATGCATTCGTTCGCAAATACTTTTCAAAACATACCGTTTTATTCCATTATTGTTGGAGGCATATGCGCTTGCACCACCGACAGTCGCCATGGCTGCACATAACTTCACAGTTAAAATGGCTAGTAATACTGGTAACACAGATACTAGTAGAAACTTATTCATGATGATGCTTCACAAACCAAAGACCATGAATACTGAGTAACAAAATACGAATGAAACTCCCGTTTATATACATGTGTATAATTGATGGGCTGTTTTTTTCTCTCCTCATTTAATTATCGATATTTTTTTATTTGCGAACTACTTTCTCTAAAATTATCTATTAGTAATACAATTTTTTTCCAACATAATCGTGTCAATATTGCCATGGTGAATAAGAAAATCACATTCAATTAAAGAAAATGAATCATATTTTTTTCGTTAATAATTTTTTTAATAATCGATAATGATAGATCAAATAATCGTTTTGATTTATACAAAAAGAATGAATCAAAAAAGGAAGTGATTTTAATCACAGGGTTTTTTTTTGGTTTCTACCGTCGTCACAGTATGTGACGTATAGGTTTAAACATCAGTGTAATTTTATCGATGAAGCACCTGAGTGAGGTAAAAGTATGATCAAGCTTTCGCTCTTTCATTTTTTTTTATTTCGTAAAAGAAAATGCGAAGACCTACTTGTATGTATGTTAAATGAATATGTAAGTAGTTTACGATGTTGGTCTTTATCCTGCTTCTTTTATATTGAACTATTACATTTCTTGTTTTATTCGTGCAATTCTACTTGAATGTATCCACAAAGTGAAGCAGTCTTGAAGTTTTGTACCTGTTAATATCAAGCCATTTCACTGGTAACTATTTTCGAAGAGAGATTGGTTCTTTTCAGATTTGACCGATGTCGCGTTTCAACAATAACAGTTGTTTTCTAATTTACACGATAAATAAATAAAGAATACAATTTCCTCATTGTAAGGTAGTATTTATCTGATGCTTCATCATTCAGTTTTTAGTCAAATGCGTAATAAAAATGAACGAAGAAAAAAGAAATAACAATATAAAATATTCTAAAAAACTGGAACAATTAGGACAAGTGAACGAAACACAAGATGATAATAATATAAAGATGGGTGTGGGTGAGTGTTCTGTTTATATCTAGACCCACACCCACCCTTCGATATTTGTTAATTCCTGTTTCACACAAGAGACAAATCTATTTATTTTTTCAAATAGACTTTAAATTTATGAATGTTAGTGAGTCAATATCTAATTGATTTATTCAAGTAGATCAACCAACATACAATTCGTGAATGTGTCATTTTTCATGGTTGCAATTGAATACGTATTATTCTTAATTATCTCGCATTCACTTATACATTTTATTATTCTGAGCGTCAATCATGTGTATGTCACAGTTGACAGGAGAATAAAGGTGAGACTAGAATACGCAAAATAATAAAATATAAAAAACAAAGAAAAATTGTTTCTTATGAATAAAGCTTTAGAAAAAAAATTAAATAGTACCCATTTAAATAATCAATTATAAGCACACGAAATGAAAACATGTCAATTTTTTTTATTCATTCATAAAAACAAAAACAAAATAGTTTCTTTTGTATATATTTCGTTCTAAAGAAAATTTTATTATGTTTATTGCGTATGAATGAAATTATAATTGCATAAAAATGGGTACATTTATGTCATGTCATCTCATATTTATCTTAAACGTTAACATAATTAAATAATCGCTCTATAATAACTAGAATATATGTCTAAAGCAGAAATTGAAAGTCTATCAGAAGGTATAAATTAGTTGCTTAAACTATTATTTTTTTTCTTAGAAAAATATGCAAAGAAAATGATTACTGTTGTGTACACTTAATCACTCCATCTTGAGGGTGTGGGTGTGTGCATTTTTCTCTTTGATTACACACACTCACATCCACCCCACGTCAACACCTACTCATCAAACATCCACCCTCTATGAAATGTTGCATTTTTTCCAAGTTTCATGGTTAAAGAAAGGCACTGTTTGTTGTTGTAAAACAGAAAGAAAGAATAAATATTTTTTAAATTTCGTTCTATAATGTAACATTATCTCGGAGGTGTCTATGAAGGTTTGTTCTTATTTTTTATAAACAGAGAAAAACCCCTTTCAAGGTGAATATTATTATCATCAGTTGAAAAGAAAACAAAGAGTTCTTATCAACTTAGACTATTCACTTTGTTTGCGACTCTTTCAACATCAATCTAATAAAACCTCCATTCAACTTTGCCTACACTCTTGGAATTAAGTATCTTCTCCACGTTACAGAGAGATACTACTAGGCACACATGCATGACAAAGGTACAATAATAAGTGCTTTACGATCAACCAGAGTCACTACGTATGATTTGCCTCATCTTCTTGCCTTTTCGAGAGTGAGCGTGAGGGAGGCAGTGTATCTCTTCTCTTTACTCTCCCCCATACACATCTATCTAGACCCACACTCACACCCAACAAATTAGTTTACATTCTGCGCGATGCAAATTGATCTTTTTATTATTTGATTAGAATCTCACAGTCTCAAGATATATCTTTAATAATGAACAAACTGTTTATAAAGAATGCGTCTATTATGGATCATACAATTCAGCAGTCTCCATATTTGAAAAGTAACCATTATTTAACCCACCAGCAACTAACACTTTTCCATCTTCTAATACGGATGCAGTGAACCACGAACGATCATGATTCATGCTTCCAGTATTTGTCCAAACTCTTGTGGATGGATCATACAATTCAGCAGTATTTATAACGCCTGCATCAGGTTCTCCTCCAGCAACTAACACTTTTCCATTGTTTAATAGCGATGCCACATGGGAAATTCGTGGACTATTCATTGTACCAGTCATTGTCCAAGTTTTTGTTGATGGATCGTACAACTCAGCAATATCAAGATATCCACCAGTAGTTAACACTTTTCCATCTGGTAACATAGTTGCAGTATGTCCTATCCGTGTCCCATTCGTGCCGCCAGTATTTGTCCAAATGTTCCTTACTAGATCGTACAATTCAGCACTACCCACAGGACTGTAAGATCTTTCACCACCAGACACCAATACTTTCCCGTCTCTTAGTACAGTTGCAGTATGTAAAATACGTGGTATACTCATGGGAGCCACAATTGTCCAAATTTCTGTTGCTGGATCGTATAACTCAACACTATTCAAATAATCACCCGCATTGATACCACCAGCGACTAACACTTTCCCGTCTGCTAGCACGGATGCAGTATGCCACCAACGTATCCCATGCAATTGACCAGTATAAGTCCAAGTTCCTATTAATGGATCATACAACTCAGCAGTATTTGTCATACTACCACTGACTAACACTTTTCCATTCTTTAATACGGATGCTGTATGATATACCCGTGGTTCATTCGTGCAACCAGTAATAGTCCATATGCCTGTTGGTGGATCATATAGTTCAGCACTATTTAGAATATAAATATGATTTATGTAAAAATGTCTTTTTAAAAGGCGTAACATTATTATTTTAAATAGCAGCAATAACGATTTTTATATCAAATGAAAATATGTCGAAGATGGAATTTATCAATATTAATTCCTAAAGATTATTCGAAATTTCTAAAATTTAACATCATACTGACGAAAGACTAATTTTATGACAGAATTGAGACTACCCACATCTCGTTTTAAATAAATATTAAAAAATGTGTTATACTCCACAAAGTTTGATAAATGAGATAAATAATTAGTATGAGAAGCGTTTATGTTCTTTAAAGTGTGTATATGATATGGGTATGAACATAAAAGGGCTTTATATTACTCAATGTTTTCTCCCGTGTCCTTGTCAAATTTTTTAGAGTGCTTTTTTCCGATTTTCTTCATCATCAAGTTAATGTTTCGTTTCTGACGTCTTTTTTTATTTCGCTCCTGTCTACAATTACCAAAATTGTAGGCAAGATTTGCGTTTTCTTATGATGTTCATCGTTTAAAACAAGATCTAGTTTTGACTGTCTCTCTGTTATTGACAAATTGATAATATAATATCAAATTTTAGAAATTTTTTGGAACTCAGTATGAAAAAGATTCGATGATACTTCTTATTTATTACTAACGATTCCTATTTCAAACATGCTTTATGTTGATACAAAATCGTTATTGTGGTTACCTAAAATAATAGATATTGATTCTTGGAAAAACATTTGTACATACCATTCGTCTTCAGCTAGTCCACCAGTAATTAATACTCCCCCATCTTTTAATATGGATGCAGTGTGTCCCCAACGCCCATTATGCATGCTAGTGATATTAGACCATTCTAAAAGAAATCTTCGAATGTATATATATATATATAGGTATTCTCTACCAAAAGGATATATCTCCGACCAGTTAGGCAGAGGACTTTGATGAACATTTGAGAATGTTACGAAAAGATCATTACTTTTTAATTAATTACAATACATTGTATATATGTCACAGTTTTTTGAAGAAAAAATCAAAAATGAAATTTTATATTGATGTTAATTATACAAAACCTTAGTTAACGAACATGTTACTAGATTTTGAATAACAACAAAGTATAGGATTCAAAATTCTTTGCCTTTTTCGCACGAACTGGAAGCATGAGCTCCTATATATACATAATACTTGATGAGTCCCATATTAAACTCACTTAAGAATTCTTACCATATCGTTCTAAAGCGTCGTTTTTTGGAAAAATCCCGTTCATTCATGTCACCATTTCATTGAACGAACTGTCTCAAATATCCTGGTGAAAAAACATTGATACGAATAAATCTGTTGACTCTCGTTGAAAGCTATACTTTTTTTTAACAAAATTTTTTCTCGCTCTGCTTTTTCACTCATAAGTTGTGTCTTAAAATCAAAAAAGAATGAAACAACAAATAGTTATGCTAGATACTCTCGCTTAGTAGCTCTACCGATTATCAATTGTACGATTTATTTTAGAGAAAAACTGACCGCCTCGTGCAGCTGGATTGGGTCGAAAGTTCTTTGGTGCACCATTAATAAAATTGAGCATCAGGAAATACACAACTGAAAAAAATATTGACGGAAGAATATAACAGATACAGATTTATTTTCTTTTTAACAGCATACTTACTGCATATTTTATAGTTATACATATTATTTTCGTCACAAAAATCGTATGAAAAAGAATGAATGCAATATCATTAACAACTGGTTTAAATATGTCTCCTATTTTAGAGACAAAAACAAATATCAAGCGTTATCATTCCAAGCTTCAAAGCAAACATTTATCAGTCTTATCTTCGTAAAACAAAATTCACCGATATAAAGAATACTTTTGAAATTTTGCTCTATTTTTTATTTTAACTTTCGACAAATGTCCTACTTCTTTATAATCAGTCTAGAAACTAAAACTAACCGAGTCATAACGTGGGCTGTAATTATAACCTTAAAGATTAGGGTGTGGGTGTCAATCTCTTTCTGAAACTGAAATCAACACACACCCATACCCTCAAGTGATATTTACTGGTACATGTTTTACGACATATCATTATATAAGATTCTAAAAGAACTTCATACACACTACGAAGGCGCTCAGAGTACTTTATTCTATTTCTTATTGAAAATATAAAAACAAAATTCATTTCTTTCAAAATAATATTTTTTTTACAAAGTTTGTTAACAATTCGTTAATGCAGATCATTGATTTCCGCATCATAACATTTCGAAAAAAAAGATACTATCATTATTATATTTATTAAGTTGAAAGAAACCCACAGTAATACTATTTGCTACGTTTGTTATTATGAATACATACTTATAACACGTATGAAAAAGCATCTTGTTACTGTTCTCTACTCTGAAAAAAAAGGAAGTAACAAATGTTTTATGATAACTTACACACTATCTAATGAGTACGAATACCTTGACATTAACAAGACTAGACATTCTACACAAGTAAAGCACCTAAGGTATCAGAAACTATACACAATATTTTGCATTTTCAAGTAAAAACAAGAATAGATTCGTTCGAGTTTCTATACATATATTCAAATTTACAAGATATAAACAACAATGAACTACCGTGCTGGAATAACCAAGAAGCTCGAAAAACCAAAAATTCCAACGACTTTGCAAATTTTTTCAATATTATATGATACAGTCGAACTATTTTTGGAGTTGATACTTTCATTTCCAATATATATATTGACTAAACTTGGAATAACAAATATAATTCCAACTTTACTTGCAGCAAATGTTGTATTAGGTCCTGTTTTTGTTGCTGCTACAGTTACCACGGTCGCATGTTCTACTGGTATTGGCTTAGGCGTTGGACTTGGTGTGGGTTTAACTTGTTCCCATAATAATACGCTTATGAACAATACGAATACAACAGATATTATGAACATAACGAATAATACGAACATGACATATCTTATGTATCGGGTGGCAACACTTTAAGAAATATTTTGGAGGAGTTCATGGTAATGTCTCTTGCATAATAGTTTTTTGTTTTTAATATTATTCGCGAATATTGAATAAAATATATCTAGTTATAAATGAATTTGATTGAAAAATATCTAAAATATCTCAGAATTCAACATATGATAATGTTATAGTATCCGTTTATCGATATCATGATCGATTCATTGAGATGATAAAGTTCAGGTTGTAATTATATTTATGATTACTATATTACATAAAATTTAGTTTATTTTCTCATGTCAATATTTAAAAATTTATTTTAATTCATTAAATAAAATTAATAAGATACAATAGAAATAATTAACAATTTATTGAAATTATTACAGTTATAACACTTGGAGATTGATGAAATCTTTCTTATATCAGTTTCCATTACTACAAACAGTACCATTTCCAACACCGACTCCGACACCAACAGCTGTAGCAGAAAGTGCTACAGTTATAGTAGTACACATACAAAATGAATAAGACACGGAATGAAGAGCAATAAATCTCTGAATATTATCGAGAACATTTTCTAGTATGAAGAATGGCCGCGAAAATGCACGTGTCGTCCACTTGTTGAATTGTTTCATACCCTGCAAGCATGCCATTAAAATGGATGTATCTTGTGCATTGTCATCAGTATCATCGAAGCCTATTTCGTCGTAATCCATTATTGTCGTCTGCACGGTTGGATAAGAAAAGGTAAAACAATATTTATAATATATTTTGTGGTAACCTAATAATTTCCAGTTTAATGTATTGTTAATAACGTTTCACACCTTGCCATTACATCCTATATAAAAATATTATTTTTATCTTTTTTCTAAATCAAACAGACACAATAACAACAAAATATGCAAGGTATTTTCTTCGGGCATTCTTTTTTTCTCACTATAATGGCCCACCTAGCATTTCATTTCCTTTTCATTACTTTTATATAATATAAAATCAATAATAATTATATTTAGATGTGTATCAAATTGTGTTGCACTTTAATTAACATCTATTATATAGTTTCTTCCTTCTTCCATATCTAAATGTCATTCAGCAGATGATTTCAAAGAATTTTGTATTCCAATATGTTTTTCATAGCTAAGAATATCTTTTAATAAATATTTATCTTCAAACTTAACTGTCGATGATAAAATTTTTTTATCATCACGAATAATTTCATTATCAAGTAAATTTTGTTTATCTAAAATTGGATATAAGTTACCTAGAACAGATGATTTAACGTGTGATAATGATGATAGAAATGGAAAAAACCAGCCAAATATAATTCGATGATTCATTATCTGACGAACAAAGAAAAAATAAAAACATGTGGAATTTTCCTTTAATTTGCACGATTAAATATCTTGCCATATAAAGATGAATTATTTCAAAATCTCGATCCTATTCAAACAATGTACAAATTTGGTTTTGATAATTGTGATAAAATTGTTCAATTAAGTGAAGAAGAAATTCGTCGTATTCCATATCTCTTAACATTAATATCACATAAAGATGATTTTTTGTCAATTAAAAATGATAAAAATGAATATATATTACATCATCCAATATGTTATAATTTGTTAATTCCAATTTTAAATTCAATTAACAATGAAAAACCATATAGTTTATTGAATGATTTATCAATAAATGAAAATATTCTCGATGTCCTTCAATTATTTGATTATGTTTGTTTAAATCAACCCATTTTTTTAAGTGATCAAAATAGATTTTTTACTTATTATCGAGAAAAAAATCTTTGTGAAGTTCGTAATAATGCTGCTCGATTTGTTCTTTCTCTAACTAGAAATGAACATAATTTAAATGATTTTGGAACAATTGAATATATATTCTCATTAATTTCGGTGATATTTTCAAATAAAAACATCTTTAGTTCTCAATTTCGTTATCATACCTACACAATTCTTGAAGAATATATTTTTCCATTATTTTTTAAAAAACATCCAATTTATTTATTAAATGATATTAAGCAAAATTATAGAACTGATTCAAATATTTATTTGTGTGATGATAATCAAACGGTTCCAATTGATTGTGAAAATGATTTTGTTTGGAAAGGTTACTATGAAGATAAGATAAATAATATAATACAACAATCATATATTATGATGCTTGGAGGAACAAGAGTTAGGAAGTGTAATATATCACTTAGACGGCTTTATGCAGATCGTATGAATGAATTGCTTACATATAGTTATAATCTTTTACAGAAGATCAAAGAAACTGAACGTTTATTGGAGGAATCAATATTGGGTGACAATAAATTCAAATGAATCACGATCAGCTCGATTGGGTTGTTTTAATACACGATATAAACAAACACAAATTGATAAATTTAAACATAAATATAAAACAAAAGTTAACAAATACCGATAATTTTTTTTTAAAATTAGATTTATCATTGTAGATTTTCTTTTTTATTTAATCTTTATTCTATTTAGAAGAAAAGTTTCTCAAAAATAAAACTTCAAATAAATCTTTTCTTCTGATGAAAATATGTAAAATATTAACAATGATCATCCTTAATCATATTCTTTGTTTAAAATTATATTTCTAAAGCTAATATTTAACTATACGATTTTTTTTCACAAAAAAATTCATTTCTGTTCTAAAAAGAACAAATAGTTCGTTTTCATATGATAGTCTTTGAAATAGGGTGTGGATGAAGGTGTTGTTCTTTATTTCTCACCCTCACCAACACTGTCTAAAAGAAAAGCGGACATCGATATCCACAATATAAACGCGAACTAAACCTCAACGAATTTTGGGTGTGAGTGTTAGTTAAAAATATGTCTCATAGATTCAATGAAATGAAGCATTCAAAAAAGCGTAGTAAGTCAAAACATTTTTTTCCTTTATACTTTGAGAAAAAAAAAGAATAAAATAATAATACATTTTGATTTAATAGATCGTATTCTATATGATCCGAATTTATTTCAGTCAATTTTTTTTCTTGTTTTTTTTCGTTTATTTTTTATTTAGCAGATTCTAATCTCAACTGAATTCCTATGTCAACTGTAACATATATTTATGATTAATGTAATTTTCCTCAATACTGAATCGAGAAATATGATTAAAGTTTTTAACTACATTTTGTTTGATTTCATATAAATTAAATTCATTTTCAAGATCATGTTTTATACATTGCTTAGTTTATTTATTGATTTTTTCATGTTCATAAAATGCATTTGTACTTTCATGTGATTCTTCGTCCATTTCTGATAATTAGTTAATGATCTGAAATCAATATACTATTTACGAGAAAAAATAGTCAAGTAATGAATTACTTTTGACTCGAGGCTATGTGTCACATGTAGTCCTTGACGAGCTATGAGTATTTTAAGGGATATTGTTAATCTTCGTCTTTCCTCCTCTCTACTCTTATACATATGTGTGTGTATTTGTATACCATCGTTTCTAAATTTATTAAATGAAAAAATATCTACATATATAATAAAGACGAAAGAGAGGTTATGCATGAATGCGACATCACTGTAATACTCCTCACTGAAGAAAAAAATCACCTATCAAAACTTTTCAGAACGAATAAACGCATTATAGAAATCAAAATCAAAAGATAACAAACTAGAATATATGGTATAGCAAACAGAGAAATGACATGAAAAGCTTGTCAGGACAGTCCCGTTGATGCTAAAAATGTGGAACTAACGTATGTTCGTACTAAAGACACCTGATGACGTTTAAATTCTTAATCTTCTCTTATTTCTGAAAGAAAACGTATTTGCTGGCATAAGAATCCCTTCACGGATACTATATTGACTTTGCTACGCAATAGTATTTGAATGTAGTGCGTAGACGTTTTTAGGGATGTGACTACTAGCAACCTTGAATTCAAAATCTAGACTGACAGTTTTTCCTGAAGGATGTGCGAGTGCGGGTGATACGTTAATCTATCACCCACACCATCATTCTGGTGAATTTCAGGATAATCTTGGCCATACCCAGCAATTCCAAAGACTGTCTGAACTATTCTCAGTCCTTTCTTTATATTTCTGACTATCACTGGCTTTTTCTCGCTATTTCTATCTATTTTTAACCGTGACTAGTAGTTTTTATTCATTTTCAGGCATTTGTAATCACTTCAAGTTATTGAAATGACTCGGAGGGTGAGTGTCTGAGGATGTAAGAATACTTTATCCACTCACAATCACACTCTTAAGATGATTATTCTTAGATAAATTTTTGATTATTTTTTATTTTCGTTCGTCTAAATGATTTGAAGAAGAGGATTTTTCAACCATAACATCAAACTTAATTTCCCTTTAAAATCCATTAATGGTGCTTATCGTCTTGCTTTGGTTTGAATTAATATAAATATTATTTAGTCCTTGATTCGAATTTTTTAATTATACTTATTGACATATTTTATACATAAATAATTTATTATATTTTTCAGCTAATATACGTTGCGATAGACCACGACCATGTTTTTTATTATAAATTAAATGTATCTTTTCGTATCTTAATGTCACATTAGAGAAGTCATAATAGAATAAATGACAATAAAAAGATATTGATTATTTACAATAAAGAAATGTTTCCAGTAAAGAAAAATATTTCCATTTAAAATCGATCTTTCAGATATAAACTCGTCCACAATGAAGTGATATTTACTAGTACATGCTTAACGATATATCATCGTATAAGACTCTAACAGATCTCGGCACACTCTATAGAGGCGCTCAGACTACTAATTTCTGTGTCATAACGTTTAAAAAAATATGCTATCGTCATCATATTAATTAAGTTGAGGCAATTCCACAGTAATTAAAACAAAAAACATATTTTTGATTAAATGCAAGACCTATAATACAAAAACATGATTATAGTATGTACTACCTTTGTTATTACGAATACGTACTTATAATATGCATGAAAAAGCGTCTTATTACTGTTCTTTACTTTGAAAAAGAAAGGAAGTAACAAATATTTTTCAATACTGTGCACGCTATCTTATGAGTACGTATACCTTGACATTAACAAGATTAGACATTCTGTACAAGGTAAATACGTGAAGCATCACAAATTATACATAATATTTTGCATTTTCAAGTTAAAAGACGAATAGATTTATTCGGTTTTCTATACATATATTTAAATCTACAAAATACAAACAATGATGAACTACCGTGCAGAAAAATCCAAGAAGTCCGAAGAACTAGAAATTCCAACGGCCTGGCAACTTTTATCGACATTATATGAGTCATTCGGAATATTTTTGGAACTGATACTTTTATTTCCATTATATATATTGACTAAACTTGGATTTACAAATATAATTCCGACTTTACTTTCTGGAAATGTTGCACTAGGTCCTGCTTTTGTTGCTGCTGCAGTTACCATGGTTGCATGTTCTGTTGGTATTGGATTAGGTGTTGGACTTGGTGTTGGTTTAACTTGTTCCCATAATGATACACTTATGAACAATACACTTATGAACAATACTATTACAACGAATATAACGAGTACAACGAATAGTCCAATGTTTAGCGTCGGATTCACTCCTGTTCTAATAGGGTAGCATGACTTTGGCAATAGTGACTTTCGTAGATGACTTTTGGCAATTGGCAAAAGTGTTACTACCACGTACACTCAGAAACCATATTCGTTGAAACGAAATTTTCGACAATTGCCGAAAATCAATTGTGAAAGTCAGTGCTGCCAAATTTATGTTCTAGATCTCAATAATAATTTTTTGTTTTTAATATTACTCACGAACACTGAATAAAATACTTTTCGTCGTAAATAATATACTAATAAATTGGTTTGATTGAAAAATATCTAAAATATCTCAGAATTCAATCTATGATAATGTTATAGTATCCGTTTATCGATATCATGATTAATGATGATAAAGTTCAGATTATAATCATATTTATGATTGCTATATTACATATAATCTACTTTATTTTTCTCATATCAATATTTAAAAATTTATTTTAATTCATTAAACAAATTTAATAAGATACAATAGAACTAATTAACAATTTATTGAAACTATTACAGTTATAAGACTTGGAGATTGACGAAATTTTTCTTGTATCAATTTCCATTACTGCAAGCAATGCCAGTTCCAACTCCGACTCCAACACCAACCCCGACGCCAACAACTGTAGCAGAAAGTGCTACAGTTATAGTAGTACACATACAAAATGAATAAGACACGGAATGAGCAGTAACAAAACTCTGAATATTATCGAGAACATTTTCTAGTATGAAGAATGGCCGCGAACATGCACGTGCCATCCACTTGTTGAATCGTTCCATACCTTTGTACCACGCCATAAACGTGGATATGCCTTGTGCATTGCCATCAGTGTCATCGAAGTCTATTTCGTCCATATCCATAGTTGTCGTCTGCACGGTTGAATAAGAAAAGGTAAAATAATATTTATAATATATTTTGTTATAACACAATAATTTTCCGTGTAATATATTGTTAATAACGTTTTATATCTCACAATTATATCCTATGTAAAAATATTATTTTTATCTTATTTCTGAATCAAACAGAGACAATAACAACAAAATACCTTAGGTATTTTTTCATCATAATGACTCACTTATCATTATATATCCTCTTCATTACTTTTGTATAATATAAAATAAACAAACTGATATGTATTTATCTTACTATCTATTTTGTCTTTGATCAATTGTTTTATATATAAGAATTATTATTTAAATAGTAAAAACAGTCGAAAAAAAGAGAAAACTGCATGTATGTTACATAGATTTTTGATGATACTAATAAGAATATTTCTAAATATAATACACATTCAAAAATAGTTACAGGAAAGTTCCTATGAAATTTAAATAAAATCATTTCGAATATATATTGTAATAATCGTAGATGCAGTAGATAATTCATAGATACAAAGGATTAAAGCAGTATCCTCTTCTTGGTGAATGATGAATGTTTCCATTTTTTTTCTGAGATATCTTATTTTGTATTAATTGTTAGCAAAAAACAGTTCTTATATCGATCAGCTTTTTCTCAGTATAACGGAGTCATGAATTGATTGTTTTGAATCGATCATAATTCTGATTAAAGGCTGTATACGAAACAGAAGGCGAAGACGAACCGAACTCGAAATAATTATCGAAAAATTGTGTCAAACTGAATCGAACTAATATTAGTTGAATTATCACCCATTTCGTAAAAATATGCGCTGTTGACAATGATCAAGCGACCTTTGACCGATTGTTTTACATAATTAATTTAATCTCCATACAAGGTTTTATTCTCTCTTCATAACTATTTCATATGATGGGTTAGCGAGTGAAAACGAATCGAATCCAAGTCGAACTAGTGAAAGCCGGTTCGATTCACTCTTTGGCTCGTGTTCAGCTCCAGTCTGTTTTCAAGCTACAGAATGCTTAAAAAATTTCGTTTAAAGTGTTCACAAAAAAATCGTAATTGTATGTTGACGTTCAGATGTATCTGGCCCTTCCTTTCTTCGTCTGCCTGGGTGTCCTTTATAGATGGCGCCCAATCAATAGTAATTATGTTTCGATGTTTATCGAATTGCATTGCACTTTTATCAACATTTATAATATAATTGCTTCCTTCTTCCATATCGAAAGCTTTAATTGTACTTTCAATCCATGCATCTAAATGTCGATCAGTAAATGATTTCAGATAATTTTGTATTTGAATATGTCTATCATAACTAAGAATATCTTTTAATAAATATTTTGTCAATGCTTATAAATTTTCATCTTCAAATTTAACTGTCGATGATAAAATTTCCTCACTCTCATGAATAATTTCATTATCAATTAAGTTTTATATATCTAAAATTGAATATAAACTATGTAGAATAGATTTTTCGATTTGATAAAGAGAAGGCTATTTTCCATTTGTAGCAGTTAAAATATCCAATTGCCAAATAAAAGTATAAGGTGTAGGTATGGGTGAGATAAATAAGATATACCAACACCCACACCGATCTGCGTACATCATTAACATACGATAAAAGATCGAAATTTTTATAAAAACATTATTAATAATATAATAAAAATATACAATGATGAATTATTTTTTTAGAATTGGTTTATTTTTGCCAAAAGTTTACTTATTTCATACCGATAACTTAACGTGTGATAATGATGAGAAAAATGGAAAAAACCAACCAAAGATAATTCGATGATTCATTATTTGACAAACAAAGAAAAAATAAAAACATGTGGATTTTTCTCTTACCTTTACACGATTAAATATCTTCTCATATAAAAACTCACTATTTCAAAATCTCGATCTTATCCAAACAATGTACAAATTTGGTTTTGATAATTGTGATAAAATTGTTCAATTAAGTGAAGAAGAAATTCATCGTATTCCATATCTCTTAACATTAATATCACATAAAGATGATTTTTTGTCGATTAAAAACGATAAAAATGAATATATATTACATCATCCGATATGTTATAATTTATTAATTCCAATTTTAAATTCAATTAACAATGAAAATAGTTTCGATGTCCTTCAATTATTTAATTATCTTTGTTTAAATCAGTCCATTTATTTAAATGATCAAAATCGATTTTTTACTTATTATCGAGAAAAAAATCTTTGTGAAGTTCGTAATAATGCTGCTCAACTGGTTCTTTCTCTAACTAAAAATGCATATGATTTAAATGATTTACAAACAATTGAGTATATATTCTTGGTAATTACGATAATATTTTCGCGTAAAAGCATCTTTAATTTACAATTTTGTTATCATACCTATAAAATTCTCGAAAAATGTGTTTTTCCATTATTTTTTAAAAAACATCCAATTTATTTATTAAATGATATTAAAGAAGATTGTAGAATTGATTCAAATATCTGTTTCTATAATGATAATCAAGGTTATTATGAAGTTAAGATGAGCGATAATCAAATAAAACAACGATGTATATTGATAGTTGCAAGAGGACGTGGGAAATCTGAATTACTCAGAGAATTATTTGGAGATCCTAGAAAGAAATATTCTACAAATACTTATAATCGTTCACAAAATATCAAAGAAACTGAACTTTTATCGAAAGAATCAACATCGTTGACAATGAATTCGAATTTATATTTAAATGAATCGCAATCAGCTCGATTGGGTTATTATAATACACGACCTAAACAAGCACAAATTGATAAATTTAAACATAAATATAAAACAAAAGTTAACAAATACCGATAATTTTTTTTTAAAATTAGATTTATCATTGTAGATTTTCTTTTTTATTTAATCTTTATTCTATTTAGAAGAAAAGTTTCTCAAAAATAAAACTTCAAATAAATCTTTTCTTCTGATGAAAATATGTAAAATATTAACAATGATCATCCTTAATTATATTCTTTGTTTAAAATTATATTTCTAAAGCTAATAAAGTAAAACTGACGAATTGATTATATAACTACTATAGTAAGTATGTTTTAACACATTTGCAATTATTTTGGAGCTTCAGTCTGTGACATGTTTTGTTTTCACAAAAAACTGTAGTACTTATTCTGAATGGATTGTTCTATCAAAGAGATAACAATTGGATCATATCGATTGTACGGTAATGTTGATATTTATAGTCAAGACTAGTATGATGTTCAAAGTCATTATCTATCATTGATGAATTTCAAATATTAATCTAATAATCTTATAAATAATCAAAATAAATCGTTAATATTATCAGACAATCAATCTCTCTGCCACCATACAATCTTCATTATTCTTAGTATTTATAGTATTATAAAATGTTTAAATTAATTACTTATTTTTTACCTGATAAATCAGCCATAGTTAATAAAATAATCTATGTAGCTACAGTATGTCATTTAGTCGAGTGTAAATGGGATGTGAATATAATCGATGTATATAAGAAAGAAAACTGTAAATGTTTATTATTTCATGGCGAATGCCAGAGATGTGTACCGTGTTTAAGAAACGAGGCGGAGGCTACGTGGAAGACGGTGATAAAAAACTTTTTCATCTAAAAATTGTAGAAAATTTGTTTACAAAAATATCATGAGGATGTGGGTATTGCTTTAAGAGTAGAACAGACACTCACATCCACACCCACCTTCAACCGTTTCTTTATAAATGAAAATTTAGCGATAGCATACTAACATAAAAACAAAAACTATAAATCAGTTTTCTCTTGCATTGTTTTGTTGCATAAAAGCTTCGTAGGTTGGAGGTAGAAAAGACTGCTGCTGCATTATAATGATTACTCCACTTTCTTCTACCACACTATCATATGCTGGCGGTAAATCTGAAGTTTGTTGTTGAACTGTAGTTGTTGCTCTTTCAATATTAGAATTATTATTTTGTGATGGTTGCAATTGTATTGAAACTGTTGAATTTCTGATAGGCGTGTCTCTGATTAAACTTTGTGGTTGTATAGGTGATGGATTACGATACAGTGTATCGAACGATCTTCCTCTCGGCTGCGGTGTTGTTACAACCTCTTCGGTATTACGTTCATCATGACATATTTTACTTATTATAGCTGTGGTTATAGTAATAACCACTAGAACACAAACAAAAATAAGCATGAATATAACGACTTCACCCTCACCACCTTTACCACGAACTGTGCGAGTCCTGTAAGTAGATCCTGTAACTAGAAAAGAGAAAAATAATAGTGAATTCAAAAGTAAAAATGTGCACAGCATTCCTTTATTTAGCTAACGGAAGCGGCACGATGTCCTCATACTACTACACTTCAAACTACCTATAGATTGCATTGAATCGTAAACCGTCTAAATAGTTAAATCCAGTTGAAAAGAGGTATCAATTACATTACACGATACCAACTCATTACTAAAACAATATCTTTCAAATTCAACTATGACGAAATTTTCAGATTCTTTATCCATAGGAGATGAAATCTAGATGAAGCATGACATCAATTCATTGACATTCGATGCCACTTACAAAATACATCTATTGCAGGACATCCACATACGTTGAATGAAAACATGTAAATCATTTTTAGAAAAGAAATAATTTACATTTTATTTTCTCAGCGAACAAATCTATTGTTTATTATTGATAGTGAATTCAAAGAATAGTTAACTGTCCGTTCAGTTTTGAACAACGAACGATACCATCCAAGATATATTATAACAGATGGCATGAGTTCTATGAAAGATTTCATTAGGAAGTTAAACTACTAACTCTTATCGTACTTTTTGCGTTAGTCGGTGGTGAAACATCGTGTAAAGTTAAGTTAGTTCAAATCTCATCTCAATTCTTTTAATTAAGAGAAAAATTGAAATGGTATGATACATTATTTAGTCAGTATATATTTAAAAGTGAATAAAAACCCATTTTCTATTGTCATTCATCCTAAATTTGTTTTTCTGAATCATTATAGTTCTTATACTATTTAACTATTGAACAAACAAAGTAATTCAAAACTGTCCATCTCGTAATTGTTTAAAACAAAATAAAAAATGACAGTAATATAGTTCGTTGCAAGTTGATAAGAACTTTGATCAGATAGTATCGGCACTATAGAGCTCATCGGGAAGAACTGGATCCTTAAAAATTTTATTTTCACTTGGCTCTGCTCCGAACATTTTGGATGTATTAGACCTAGTCTTATGAGATTATCTACAAAATTGCAGCAGAGATGTGCCAGATGTGCTAGTCACCAAGACAAATAAGCAAAAGAAAAGAGGTTCGTAATTGAGAAGCAACTATCACATACAAATAGTAAAGAAATTTCTTTAAAATACTAAGAGTATTGTTAAGATACAGATCTGAGAGATGTTTAGTCAGTTGCGGCTGGACCACAAGTTTTGGATCCGGTGGACTCTAATTAACACTATTATTGAGTATGAATAACGATTATTACTCATTTGTAAAGTATGATAGAATCTACTTAGCAAATATCATCTTGAATGTACTCACAAGAATACGGTTCGAAATGAGGAGACTTGATGAAGCCATAATTATGAGGTGTAAAAATTCTCGAAGTTGTTGTTCGAGTTCTAGGCCACTGGTTTGGAAGAATAAATGCTGAATTGTTCACTGAATTTCTTTCTCTAATATAAGCATGATTAATTGTATGTAACGTTTTTCGTCGATTTAACTTCATCATCATTTTATTATGAAAATCGATTGAACCAGAATTATTGGATTCAACGAGTAGTAATTGAACAAGAAGGTAGATCAAGCTTGAGTAATGCGTCATTATTAATGAGTTTTGTGTAAGCATCAAATGAAGTATAAACTATGGAGTTTAATTATAGAAATACTATTAGTTGAATAAAACAGGGTATCAAAAATAGAAACATCCTTTCATCATAATTCCCTTTTTGTCGTTCTGTATATGATTTTTGCATTTTGTTATTCTTATATACCACAATCTTAAGAAGGAAAAAACAATCATGATTATTTCTCATATTGAAACATTGCACAAAAAAACACACAATAATGACTTTCACGACGAAAAAAATAGATAGATGTCGATGATGCCGTCTAAAGACAGAGTACTACAGCACCGCCGACTCTTTATTTTATTCTCTGTTATACTCACGCTTCTGCATGTGCATATATGGAGTGGAGAGAAGAGAAAATGATGAGGTTGATGAATTTATAAGAAAATAAAATAAGAGAAAATACAATGTATGGTTAGTTAGTATATTATTTAGAAGGGAAAGAACAGTCGATGAGCAGATATGAATGGAAGTATTGATCAATGACGGAAATTATGTTGATTCTACGTGCTCATCGTTTTAAGAAAATTAGCGAGTTAACGGAAAATATGGAAAGTATTAAAGAGGCACAATAAGTGAGATCTGATTGGTCGTTGATATCGCAAATAGAAATGATTTTATTGATTGGTAGTTCATGGAGAATCACTCAAGTGATTGATCATGTCACTATATGATAAAATAGAGCATTTTAGAATTACTGTTTCTATTGATAAATGTTGGTAGTGTAGATGAACGTTGACTAGTTCACACCCTCACCCATCTATGAAATAACTCGACTTATCTCATGTAGTAACCAAAATTTCCACTATATTTCTTTTAAATTTAATGTAAGAATTTTTTCATATCATATCAGTAGTCAATCTTTTGACTTACAGAATGTTTGCACCTAATCAAATAGTTCTCATATGATTTATATCTTTATTGATGGATTACTCTGTAAAACTGATCTATCTCTCATCACAGATTTTATTTTGGATGAATAATCTTATCTTCGTTAGGTTTTGTTGAAAACTATCCACGTTAGCTTACGTATCTAGAAACTCATATTTTTCTCTGTTGTTTGAAATACATGTTTATAACTATGTATAAGAGACACCTTATTTGTAAGAGAAGAAATCTTTGAAGGTTACATTAGAAAACAAGTATCGCTCATCGCTACACCCTCGACTGAATAGTGAAAGCTATTGATGTATAAAACTTTATTTTCTTGAAGAGCGTGATTATGGATGGGTGTGAATTGAAGTGATATCAACATCTACATCTACAATAATTTACACCCACATCCTACGAAATGCTCAAATTAATTATTTATTTTTTACTTGATATATCAATGACGGCTAATGAAACACTCTATCTATCTAAACCATTTCGAATATAAAGTAAGTTTATGTACTTTTATGTTGAAATTCAATTTTTTGGAAATCTCCGATCATTCTTTCGATCATAGTCAACGTTTACCGGTACCTTGTACCAGATGTTACACAAAAAGATTTTTCAAAACATGAACACAAACACAAAATTATAGATATAGTCCTATATGTATATCATAGTCATATAGATACTAAGCTTATATACCATAATCATATACATGAATGTTGTTAATTCATTGCACGATCAATTTTTATAAATAAATACTCAAGTTGTTTAGTTCTACTTTGTATAAATCGTTTTTGTTGCAACACCTGTTATAAAATATTCTTAAAGGTTGATAATGATCCAAAGAATAATCAAAAATTTCCAACAAACTAAGCTCTAACATAAAACTTCATAAACTTACTTTTCGTTTGATTGATTAAAACCTGAAGATTATTGATATTTTTATACAGTATTTCACTCTATTCAGTGTAAATGATATGTGAATATAATCAATGTGCATTTAGTTAATTTACGATGAATATAAAAATGGAAACTGTAAATGCTTATTAGTTGATGGTGCATGTCAGAAATGTATATCGCGCCTAAGAAACGAGGCGGAGACTGTCTGAAAGACAATGCTAAAGATACTTTTCATGTCAAAATTGTAGAAAATTTGTTTACAAAAATATCATGAGGATGTGGGTATTGCTTTAAGAGTAGAACAGACACTCACATCCACACCCACCTTCAACCGTTTCTTTATAAATGAAACTTTAGCGATAACATACTAACATAAAAACAAAAACTATGAATCAGTTTCTTCTCTTTCACTGTTTTGTTGCATAAAAGCGTCGTAGGTTGGAGGTAGTAAAGACTGTTGTTGCATTATAATTATTACCCCACTTTCTTCTACCACGCTATCATATGCTGGCGGCAAATTTAAAGTTTGTTGTTGAACTGAAGTTGTTGTTCTGTCAGTATTAGAATTATTATTTTGTGATGGTTGCAATTGTATTGGAACTGTTGAATTTCTTAGTGGTGTGTCTCTGATTAAACTTTGTGGTTGTATAGGTGGTGAATTATGATACAGTGTATCGAACGATCTTCTTCTCGGCCGCGGTGTCGTTACAACCTCTTCAGTGTCACGATTATCCTGACATACTTTACCTACTAGACATATTATTATACAAGTCACCACTACTAAAATAAGAAATGTAAGTATGGCTGCAGTAACTTCACCAGCATTAGTTTCATCAAATCTACGAGTTCTGTAAGTCGATGTTGTATCTAGAAAAGAGAAAAATGATAGTGAATTCAAAAGTAAAAATGTACACAGCATTCCTTTGTTTAGCTAACGAAAGCGGTACGATGTCCTCAAACGACTACACCTCAAAGTACCTATAGACTACATTGAATCTTAAAACGCCTAAATGGTTAAATTCAATGAAAAAGAGGTATCAATTACATTAAACGATAACAATTTATTACTAAAACAATATCTTTCAAATTCGAATATGACAAAATTTGTAGATTCTATATCCATAGGAGATGAAATCTAAATGAAGCATGACATCAATTCATTGACATTCGATGCCACTTACAAAATACATCTATTGCAAGACATCCACATACGTTGAATGAAAACATGTAAATCGTTTTTAGAAAAGAAATAGTTTACATTTTATTCTCTCATCGGAAGAGATCTATTGTTTATTATTAATAGTGAATTCAGAACATAGTTAACTATCCATTCACTTCTGAAAAAAGTGAGATACCATCCAGAATATATGATAATAAATGGCATGAGTTCTATGAAAGATTTCATTGTTCTGACCATTTTGGATGTATTAGACCTAATCGTTTGAGATTATCTACAACATTACAAGAGATATGTGCCGAATGTGCTAGTCACCAACACATATAAGCAAAAGAAAAGAAGTTCGTAATTGAGAAACGACTATCACATACAAATACCAAAGAAATTTCTTTGAAACAATAAGAGTGTCGTTAAAATACGAATTCGAGAGAGTTTCAGTCAATTGCGGCTGGTTCACAAATTTTGGATCCGATGGACTCTAATTAACACTACTATTGATTATGGCAACGATTGATACTCATTTGTAAAGTATGATAGAATCTACTTAGCAAATATCATCTCGAATGTACTCACAAGAATACGGTTCGAACCATAAATGCGCTAAATATTCATCGTAACTACTTCGAGTCGATTTTGTATGGAAATGAGGAGACATGGTGAAACTACAATTATAATTTGTAAAAACTCCTGGAGTTGTTATTCGAGTTCTACACCACCGCTCTGGAAGAATCAATTCTGAATCGTTCACTGATCTTCTTTCTTTAATAGAAACATGATTAGTTGTATATAACTTTGCTCGTCGATTTATCTTCATCAACTTTTTTTTACGAAAATCGTTTGAATCTGGATTATTGGATTCAACGAGTAGCAATTGAACAAGAAGGTAGATCAAGCTTGCATAATGCGTCATATCAATAAGTTTTGTGTAAACATGAAATGAAATACAAACTATGCATTTTAACTATAGAAATACTATTAGTTGAATAAAGAAAGGTTATCAAAAATAGAAACATTCTGTCATCATAATTCACTTTTAGCGTTCTGTAAATGATTTTTGCATTCTGTTATTCTTATATACCATAATCTTAAGAAGAAGAAAAAAACAATGATCGATGTTTTTCCTATTGAAATATTGTTCAAAAACAACACAACAAAATAGTGACTTTCACGACGAGAAAAGTAGACAGATATCGATGATGCCGTCCATAAAACAGAGTGGTATAGCGCAGACGACTTTTTATTCTTCTCATAATTACGCCTCTGCATGTGCATATATGGATTGGGGAGAAGAGAAAATGAGGAGGTGGATGAATTTGTAAGAAAACAAAATAAGAGAAACTAGAATATATAGAAGGGAAAGAGCAGTCGATGAGTAGATACTAATGGAAGATATGTAGATTAATGGCAGAAATTGTGTTAATTCTGCCATAGTCACATTAGTATACATATAATAGAGTGTAAAGAAAAAAAACAAATATTGTTCTTCTTTCTGTCTCCATAACGAATATCTCTCCTTCTTATACGCATTGTCTGTATCTAAATTCATCATAAACATAGACGGAAATATAATCGAAATAGTTTTCTATCGTTTATCATCTACTCAGCCTGTAGCACGAAAATGAATAAAAAAATTGTGATCGAGGACACGTACATTCAATCGTATTTATTGGTTCCGTTTACTCAAATAAAAGGCGATTGATTAAATAAGTTGTCTAGGAAACATCATATAAATGTTGCAAACTATGTTTTGTTCACAACTTGTTACACATCTTATTCTTTTTGCTTATTAAGTCATACAAATGACTGTATCTAATTAAATAGTTCTAATATGATTTATATCTTCATTCATTGATTAATCTCTAAAACTGATCTATATTTAATTACCGAGTTTTCTAGATGAATCACTTTATCTTCGTTAGATTTTGCTGAAAACTATCAACGTTAGCTTAGGCGTACATAAACTCCTATTGGTTTCTGCTGTTTGAAATACATGATTCTAGCTATATATAAGAGACACTTTATTTCGAAGAGAAGAAATCTTGAAGGTTATACTAAAAAACAATTAACGCTCGCCGCTACACTATCCACTGAACAGTTAAAGCTATTAATATATAAAATTTTATTTAGTTGAAGGATATGATTATGAATGGATGTGAAATAAAGCGATATGGACATATACATCTGTAATAATTTACATCCACACCCACAGTCACAACCTCTAGTGAGGGTGTGTGTATGTCTCCTTCACCCACGCACATCCTGTACATGTTAACTGTGTCAAAAGTTCAACATTAAAGTATTCAATCCGTAAAATGCAAATAAATCTTTCTTAGGAGCCGTTCGTTTATAAATGAAAATGTTGGAATAGCATACTGACATAAAAAAAGCTATGAATAAGTTTCCTCTCTTTCACTGTTTCCTTGCATAAAAGTTTCGTAGGTTGAAGGTAGTAAAGACTGTTGTCGGACTATAATTATTACCCCATTCTCTTCTACGACGCTATCATATGCTGGTGGTGAATCTAAAGTTTGTTGTTGAACTGAAGTTGTTGCTCTTGCAACACTAGTATTATTATTTTGTGATGTCTGCAATTCTATTGAAACTGTTGAATTTCGTGGTGGTGTGTCTCTGATCAAACTTTGCGGTTGTATAGGTGATGAATTACGATGCCGTATGCCTGACTGTATTATTCTCTGCTACATTGTTGCTATAAATTCAATGAAACCTTTACAAATGCATTTTACACATTGTATTACACAAACAACGTAGCAAGCAAAAAGAACAACTATTAACGAGAATTTTGCGTCATTACCGTCAAGTGATACACGACTATCATCAGTAATCCAATATGGGTTTGTTGTATCTAGAAAAGAGAGAGATTATTGTGATTCGAAATGTCAAAATGTAAAAGTGTACGGAGCATTCTATTATTTAAATAACGTAAGCGACACGATGTCCTCCAAACTACTACACCTCAAACTACCTATAGACTATATTGAATCTTAAATCGTCTAAATGGTTAAATTCAATGAAAAAGAGGTATCAATTACATTACACGATACCAACTCATTACTAAAACAATATGTTTCAAATTCAACTATGACAAAATTTGTAGATTCTATATCCATAGGAGATGAAATCTAAATGAAGCATGACATCAATTCATTGACATTCGATGCCACTTACAAAATACATCTATTACAGGACATTCACATACGTTGAATGAAAACATGTAAATCGTTTTTAGAAAAGAAATAATTTACATTTTATTTTTTCATCCGAAAAGACGTGTTGTTTATTATTGATAGTGGATTCAAAAAACAGTTAACTGTCCATTCAGTTGTGAAAAAAGTGAGGTACCATCCAAGATATATAATAATAAATGGCATGAGTTCTATGAAAGATTTCATTGGTCCGAACATTTTGGATGTATTGGACATAGTCTTACGAGATTATCTACACGATTGCAGCAGAGATGTGTCGAAAGAGCTAGTCACCAGAACAACAAAGCAAAAGAAAAGAATTTTGTAATTGAGAAACGACTATCACATACAAATAATAAAGAAATTTCTTTGAAACAATAAGAGTGTCGTTAAAATACGAATTCGAGAGAGTTTCAGTCAATTGCGGCTGGTTCATAAATTTTGGATCCGATGGACTCTAATTAACACTATTATTGAGTATGAATAACGATTAATACTCAGTTAAAAAGTGTGCTGGAACCTATTTAGCAAATACTACCTTCAATATACTCACAATAGTTTTTGTTCCATGTTCGTTCAAAATTATATCTGCTGTAACCACGTCGAACTAATTTCCTATGAAAACCAGGAGACTTGATGAAGTCATAATTATGATTTGCAAAAATTCTCGGAGTTGTTGTTTGAGTTCTAGTCCGCCACTCTACAAGATAAGTATCCGGATAGAGCATTGTTGTTCTTTCTTTAATAGAAACATGATTAATTGTATGTAACGTTTTTCGTCGATTTCCCTTCATCATCATTTTTTTATAAAAATCGTTCGAATCTGGATTATTGGATTGAACGAGTAGTAATTGAACAAGAAGAAAGATTAAGCTTGAGTAATACGTCATTATTAATGAATTTTGTGTAAGCATGAAATGAAACATAAACTATGAAGTTTAATTATGGAAATACTGTTAGCTGAATAAAACAGGGTATCAAAAATAGAAACATTCTTTCATCATAATTCTCTTTTTGTCGTTCTGTAAATGATTTTTGCATTCTGCTATTCTTATATACCACAATCTTAAGAAGAAGAGGAAAAACAATGATCGATGTTGCTCCTATTGAAACATGGTATAAAAATAGCAGGACACAATAGTGACTTTCACGAGGAGAAAAGTCATATATAGAGAGTAAGGAAAGATTATATTTTTATGTTTTTATAATAGGAAATGATATTAACGTGGTTAGAAATGAGTTATCTTTATTTCACTCTGATTCTTCTCCTTTTTATTAATAGAAGTGCACAAGGGAGAGAGAATCGTATCTGTCAAAAGGTACGTCATTTGACCTACAGAGCAAGATATGGATATTTATGATACCTTCTAAAAACAGAGCGCCCACGACTCTTTTTTCTCTCTCATAATTACGCCTCTGCATGTGGATAAATAGAGTGAAGGGAAGAGAAAATGAGGAGGTGGGTGAGTTTATAAGAAAACAAAATAAGAAAAAATACAATACATAGTTAGCTAATAGAATATATAGAAGGTAAAGAACAGTTGATGAGAAGATACGACTGGAAGAAATACCGGTTGATGAGGAAAACTTTGCTGGTTCTGCCATAGTCACATTGTATACATATGATAGCGTAAAGAAAAATACCAAATATTGTTTTCCGTTCTGTCTCCATAATGAATATCTTTCCTTCTCACACACATTAGTCTATATTCAGATCCATTATAAGCATAGATGAAAATATCACTGAAATAATTCTCTATCATTTGTCATCCACTCAGTCTGTAGCACCAAAATGAATGAAAATTATGATCGAGAAAAGGTACATTGAGTTGTATTCTTTGGTTCTCTTCGACCAAACGGAAGATAATTGAATAAATATATTGTCTAGAAACCATCATATAAATATTGCAAACTATATTTTGTTCACAACTTGTTACACATCTCATTTTTTCTTCTTATCAAGTCATACAAATGACTGTATCTAATTAAATAGTTCTAATACGGTTTATATCTTCATTCATTGATTACTCTCTCAAACTGATCTATATTTAATTACAGAATTTTTTTTAGATGAATCACTTTATCTTCGCTAGATTTTGTTGAAAACTATCAACGTTAGCTTAGGTATCTAGAAACTCATATTTTTCTCCATTGTTTAAAATACATTATTATAACTACGTATAAGAGGTATTTTATTTCGAAGAGAAGAAATCATTGAGGGTTACACTAAAAAACAAATAACGCTCGCCGCTACACTCTCGACTGAACAGTCAAAGATATTAATATATAAAATTTTATTTGGTTGAAGGATGCGATTGTAGATGGATCTAGTATAAAGCCATATGGATATCTACATCTACAATAATTCACACCCACATCCACAGCCACAGCCTCTAGTGAGGATGTGCATATGTCTCCTTCAACCACCCTACACCCATCCATACCTTGTACATATTAATTATGCAAAAAGTTCAATATTAAAGTATCCAGTAAATGAAATTCAAATGAATGTTACTTTGGAGCCGTTCGTTTATAAACGAAAATTTTGGTATAACATACTGACATAAAAATAAAAACTATAAATCAGTTCCCTCTCTTGCATTGTTTTGTTGCATAAAAGCGTCGTAGGCTGGTGGTAATAAAGCCTGTTGCTGCATTATAATAATTACTCCATTTTCTTCTACCACGCTGTCATATGCTGGTGGCAAATTTGAAGTTTGTTGTTGAACTGTAGTTGTTGTTCTATTAACATTAGAATTATTATTTTGTGATGGTTGCAATTGTATTGGAACTGTTGAGTTTCTTAGTGGTGTGTCTCTGATCAAACTTTGCGGTTGTATAGGTGGTGAATTAGGATACAGTGTATCGAACGATCTTCCTCTCGGCCGCGGTGTTGTTACTACCTCTTCAGTGTTACGTCCATCACAACTTAGTTTACCTATTTTACTTATTGCTATACAAATACCTACTACAAAAAGAACAAATGTAAGCACGACTGCAGCCATTTCACGATCACCACTAGGTTTACCAACTGTGCGAGTCCTGTGAGTAGATGGTGTAACTAGAAAAGAGAAAAATATCAGTGAATTCAAAAGTAAAAATGTACACAGCATTCTTTTAGTTAGCTAACGAAAGCGGCACGATGTCCTCAAACGACTACACCTCCAACTACTTATAGACTACATCTAATATTAAAACGTCTAAATGTAAAAACTCAATGCAAAAGTGGTATCAATTACATTAAACGATACCAACTCATCACTAAAACAATATGTTTCAAATTCGAATATGACAAAATTTGTAGATTCTATATCCATAGGAGATGAAATCTAAATGAAGCATGACATCAATTCATTGACATTTGATGCCACTTACAAAATACATCTATTGCAAGACATCCACATACGTTGAATGAAAACATGTAAATCATTTTTAGAAAAGAAATAGTTTACATTTTATTCTCTCATCGGAAGAGATCTATTGTTCATTATTGATAGTGAATTCAAAAAATAGTTAACTATCCATTCAGTTGTGAAAAAAGTGAGATACCATCCAGAACATATAATAATAGATGGCATGAGTTCTATCAAAGATTTCATTGTTCTGAACATTTTGCATATATTAGACCTAGTCTTATGAGATTATCTACAAGATTGCAGCAGAGATGTGCCAGATGTGCTAGTTACCAAAACAAATAAGCAAAAGAAAAGAAGTTCGTAATTGAGAAGCAACTATCACGTACAAATAATAAAGAAATTTCTTTAAAATACTAAGAGTATTGTTAAGATACGGATCTGAGAGACTTTTAGTCCATTGCGGCTGGACCACAAGTTTTGGATCCGATGGACTCTAATTAACGCTACTATTGATTATGAATAATGATTAATACTCAGTTGCAAAGTAGGATAGAATCTACTTAGCAAATACGACCTCCAATCTACTCACAAGAATACGGTTCGAACCATAAATGCGCTAAATATTGATCGTAACCACTTCGAGTCGAGTTCGTATCGAAATGAGGAGACTTGATGAAGCCATAATTATGATTTGTAAAAATTCTCGGAGTTGTTGTTCGAGTTCTAGACCACCGTTCTGGAAGAATAAATTCTGAATCGTTCACTGACCTTCTTTCTCTAATAGAAGCATGATTAATTGTATGTAACGTTTTTCGTCGATTTCCCTTCATCAACTTTTTTTTACGAAAATTGTTCGAATCTGGATTATTGGATTGAACAGGAAGGTAGATCAAGCTTGAATAGTGCGTCATTACTAATGAATTTTGTGTAAGCATGAAATGAAGTATAAACAATGGAGTTTGATTATAGAAATATTGTTAGTTCAATAAAACAGGGTATCAAAAATAGAAACATTCTTTCATCATAATTCACTTTTTGTCGTTCTGTAAATGATTTCTGCATTTTGTTATTCTTATATACCACAATCTTAAGAAGAAGAAAAAAACAATCATGATTGCTTCTCATATTGAAACATTGCACAAAAAAAACCACACAATAATGACTTTCACGACGAAGAAAGTAGATAGATGTCGATGATGCCGTCTAAAGACAGAGTAGTACATCACCCACGACTCTTTATTTTATTCTCTCTTATACTCACGCTTCTGCATGTGCATATATGGAGTGGAGAGAAGAGAAAATGACGAGGTTGATGAATTTATAAGAAAGTAAAATAAGAGAAAATACAATGTATGGTTATTTGATAGATTATATAGAAGGGAAAGAACAGTCGGTGAGCAGATATGAATGGAAGAAGTATTGGTTAATGACGCAAATTATGTTGATTGTACGTGGTCACCGTTTTAAGGAAACTAACGAGTTAAGGGAAAATATGGAAATCATTAAAGAGGCACAATAAGTGGGATCTGATTGGTCGTTGATATCGCAAATAAAAACGATTTTATTGAATGGTAGTTCATACAATATCAATCAAGGAATTGATCATATTATTATATGATAAAATAAAAATTTTTAGAATTACTTTGTTTATTGATAAATGTTGGTAGTGTAGATGAACGTTGACCTGCCCACACCCTTAAGATAGTATATAAACATTTATTACACGAATCTTGTATTACAATCAACTATGCTAAAAATTTGCCAATAATTAATAATATTTTTCAGTGCAATAAATAAACAAATGTATAATTATTATTTTGTAGTCACACGAGATTTAATAACACAAATTGTAAAACATAAATCATGAAAATTACGTTTTCTACAACAACTTGACATAGTTTTCTTCCTTCGTTGTTCATTTATTAAGAGAAAAAACGAAAAGAAGCGAAGCAAATTTGAATTACAAAGATACTAATTCTATTGCAATACTACCTTTTAATCACTAGCTAATTATTCTTTTGTATACTTTTATGTATTTAAAAGTAAATAGATATAATCAAGGATTGAATATTATAGATAATGATATCTCTAAAAGTATCTTTTTATTCGTAAATTTAATGTGAGAAAAAGAAAAGTATATGCTGCAAAGGGAAACATTCATATACGCAATCTTCCTTCTGCAGTACATTTCATAATAGACCATAGCACGGAGATAACGTTCAGAGTGTGGATGTACTAATAAACGCATACTTCTACATCCATATCCATTCCTCAAGATGTTTCTGTGTTCTCATGAGTATGAATTGTACATGTGTAAATGTTTTCGTGGATGATTAAGATTCAGGAGATATACAGATATAGAAATATCTTTCCTATATCTCTAATGGATGTGTTCAATTGAGGTTCTTCGAAAGCCGAAAAAGACATATAATCGCATAATAGATTAGAACCATTGTCGTTTGTACTTACCATGTAGTCACTATGACATCGTTATTCTTAAATGAATTTTTGATTATTTTTTTTTTCGTTCATCAAAATGGTTATCAAGAGGATTTTTTAGCCATAAAATTAAACTTAATTTCTCTTTAAAATCCATTAATGCTATTTATCGTTTTGCTTTATTTTGAATTAATATAAATATTATTTAGTCCTTGATTCGAATTTTTTAATTATACTTATTGACATATTTTATATACATAAATAATTTATTATATTTTTCAGTTAATATACGTTGCATTAGACCATGACCATGTTTTTTATTATAAATTAAATGTATTTTTTTAGCATTATAATGTTACATTAGAGAAGTCATAATAAAATAAATGACAATAAAAAGATATTGATTATTTACAATAAAGGGATATTTCCACCAAAAATAGATTTCTCAGATATGAACTTGACCACAAGGACGTGATATTTATTAGTACATGTTTTACAACATATCATCGTATCAGACTGTAATAGGACTCGATACGCTCTTCGAAGGCGCTCAGACTACTTTATTCTATTTCTTATTGAAAAAACGAAAAAAAACATCATTTTTATCAAAATAATATTTTTTTAAATTTTGCTAACGGATTGTAAATAAGAAACATAGTCTTATTGATGAACTTCACAATTTGATATCGCAGACTACTGATTTCTAAGTCATAGCATTTCATAAAAAAAGATACTATCATTATTACATTTATTAAGTTGGAAGAAACCCATAGTTATACTATTTTCTCCGTTTGTTATTATGAATACTACCTATAACACGCATGAAAAAGCCTCTTGTTATCGTTCTTTACTCTGAAAAAAAAAGGAAGTAATACATATTTTGCAATAGCTTACACACTATCTTGTGAGTACAAATACCTTGACATTAACAAGACTAGACATTCTACACAAGGTAAATACGTGAAGCATCACACATTATACACGATATTTTGCATTATCAAGTTAAAAGACGAATAGATTTATTCGAGTTTCTATACATATATTTAAATCTACAAAATACAAACAATGATGAACTACCGTCCAGGAAAATCTAAGAAGTCCGAAGAACTAGAAATTCCAACGGCTTGGCAATTATTCTCAACAGTATATGAATCATTCGGAGTATTTTTGGAATTAATACTTTCATTTCCATTATATATACTGTCTAAACTTGGAATAACAAATATAATTCCGACTTTACTTTCAGGAAATGTTACATTAGGCCCTTGTTTTGTTGCTGCTGCAGTTACCACGGTCGCATGTTCTGTTGGTATTGGATTAGGTGTTGGACTTGGTGTGGGTTTAACGTGTTCTCATGATAGTGCCCTTATGAACAGTACGAATGCAACGAATACAACCAATATGACCACATTAATGTTGGATTTGGATTATTCGGGTTAGAAATATACTATAAAGAAAGATTAAAATACTTTATTTTATCTTTCAATAAATTTTCTATTACAAATTAATATATATATATACATATATTAATAAGTTAACTACCTTCTATTTATAAATCCTATTTTCTGTTTATTTTCAAAAATATTACTCACGAATACTGAATGAAATATATTTATTAATAAATTAAATTGATTGAAAAATATCTTAGAATTGAACATATGATAATGTTATAGTATTCTTTTATCGATATCATGATCGATCAATTGAGATGATAAAGTTCAGATTATAATCATATTTATGATTGCTATATTACATAAAATCTAGTTTATTTTTTCTCATATCAATATTTAAAAATTTATTTTAATTCATTAAATAAAATTAATAAGATACAATAGAAATAATTAACAATTTATTCAAATTATTACAGTTATAAGACTTGGAGATTGACGAAATTCTTCTTGTATCAATTTCCATTACTACAAGCAACGCCAGTTCCAACTCCGACTCCAACCCCAACGCCGACGCCAACAGCTGTAGCAGAAAGTGCTACAGTTATAGTAGTACACATACAAAATGAATAAGACACGGAATGAGCAGTAACAAAACTCTGAATATTATCGAGAACATTTTCTATTATGTTGAGTGGCTTCAAAACTACACGTCCCATCCACTTGTTGAATCGTTCCATACCTTTGTACCACGCCATAAAAGTGGATATGCCTTGTGCATTGCCATCAGTATCATCGAAGTCTATTTCGTCCATATCCGTTATTGTTGTCTGCACAGTTCGACAAGAAAAAGGCAAAATAATATTTATAGTATATTTCGTTATGACCCAATAATTTTCCGTGTAATATATTGTTAATAACGTTTTATATCTCGTAATTATATCCTATGTAAAAATATTTTTTTTATCTCTTTTTGAATCAAACCGAGTCAATAACAACAAAATATACAAGGTATTTTCTTCATGCGTGCTTTTTTTTCTAACCACAATGACTCACCTATCATTTTACTTCCTTTTCATTACTTTCATATAAGGTATACGTATATCATGCTATTTATTTTGTCTTTGATCAATTGTTTATTTGTAAAAACTATTATTTTAATAGTAAAAATAGTAATGCAAGTTTCTATTGTTTTTAGATATTTCGTTTTATGAATTGATTGTTTTGAACCGATCTTAATTCTGACTAAAGACTGTATATATAAAACGAACGGGTGTAAAATAAATAGTTCTACATTTCAGTACTTGTCACATAAACGAAATTATCAATTTGAACGTCGCTTTATGTAAAAGAAGCTCTGAATGAGATATTTAACGTTTCATATTATGATAACTCATTCAGATCAAATTCGATGGAAAGAATCTGAATAATTTTTTCAACGTTTTTGGCTTCTAGCACTGTTTATATATATATTAGCGACTTCATTAGTAAATTTATTGACAAGAAAACGATTATACTTTTAGTAATTAGAAAATATTTTATTTTGATTGATTCTTTTTGAGGAAAGAACAGGTGTTTTTTATATGAATATCAATATTACAAGTTCGAATGTAATTTCCTCATTTCATTCTTGATCATATTGATATTTATAATGTAGATTAATACCTTAATATCAAAAATAGGAGAGAAAAGGTTACTTTCGAAGTATAGCTCTAAAATTTGTTCATTTGCATAAAACTTCTTGATGTGTCAAATTTAATTGATATAACTAAATCATAAAAAACAAAATTTCGAAACTATGTGTACCGTACTTGTTGCAAAAAAACTAAAATTACACATTTCTCCGACGAAATTACATTTTTTACATTATTAGATCGATTTTATCGAGAGTTCTACAAGTTTTAGAGAATTTTGCATATCAAATTTTGTTGTTATACTTTCTAAATCAATATTTAAATTTAGAACATCTATATCAGACTAAGAACAGGATAAATTTTTCATTTCGGATATGTTTTAAAATTTTGTCCTTGTTATAAAGCATTATTTTGTTTTACTCGACGTTAGAAACACACAGAATGAGATTGCATAAAACATTTACATAGTAGAACAGTTCACAACTTATCAAAATATTAGTAAACGTTCATCGAAACTCGATTCACTTGGCGCTAGACTGTCTCTAAAAGTTCGGTATTTGACCATCGTGAGTGTATTTGAACTCTTTAATCTATATACATTATAGCAAGACTATTAAACTGACAAGCTTATTATTAATGCTTTACAATAATGCAACAACTAAAATTTTAAAATCATCAGATTACAATGCATATGTTTTTAAGCTTCTAATTATGAGTATTATTTTATTGAGTTATCGTAGAGAATATTTCGAAGCATCATCCTTTTTTTTAAACATTTATTAAAAGTATTTGTCGATAATAATGAACGACATGCTGTGTAATGTACGTAAATAATGTTACATATTAAATTACTTCTCAAAAACATACAAATAGATTTTTAGTCTTTAATATCTATTGATTGATCTTGATAATAGATCGACTGTCAATAGAAAGGAAAAGTGATGTTTTATTTGTTGAACAACTATTGCTGGAAGATTGACTTCTCTAATATTAACTCGTAGACAAGAGACGTTCATAAATGTTACACTGACTGTTCAGTCAACTATACTAGCATTGTTCGAAGTTAAGATCAAAAGAAAAAAAATACGATTATCATATTAAAATTTGAGTGAAATAAGAGCTCTCTAGCGTGACAGATGACCTCGAATGATGATAACATTACAAAATGTCCACGAGACATAGAATCGATTGAAAACAATCGTATGTTCTTAACTGATATAAGAGAAGAAACGAAAAATATCGACCAATATTGTACATAAACATTTAGACGTGTGACTCTATTCGTTTCTTCTCTTACCATATATCTACTTCATGTGTCCTTCATCTATACAAAGTAGTAGTCATATGATTGATTTCATAAAATAAATATTAATCATTCATCGATACTACTATGACTATTGTGGGTGATAATCACAATAGTATTGAACTCTATACTATAGAAACAACAAATGTTCAAGAAAATGATACTATTAAAACTAATCAATGTAAAATATCTGATGATCCAAATGATAAAAAGCTTCTTCGTAAACTTGATCTTCATCTTGTTCCAACAATGACATTATTTTGTCTCTTAAGTTATCTTGATCGAGTTAATATTGGACAAGCAAAACTTGTTGGTCTTATGGAGTCATTAAAATTAACAAGTATTCGATATAATGTATGTCTCAGTGTTTTCTTTATCACATATGTTGCTTTTGAGATTCCATCAAATCTAGTTCTTAAAAGATTAAGACCAAGCCGATGGCTGCCAACGATTATGATTGCATGGGGTATTGTCATGACTTTGATGGGTCTTGTACATTCTTATGGTGGTCTTCTTGCTTGCCGACTTGCATTAGGTGCTGCTGAATCTGGTCTTTTTCCAGGTGAGTTTATGTATTTGTTTTCATTCTAAATAGATTGATTTGTGTTTAGGTGCTATTTTTTATTTATCTTGTTGGTATAAAAGACGTGAATTATCGTGGCGAATAAGTATACTATTTTCTGCATATGCACTAGGTGGTGCAGTTGGTGGTATACTTGCTTTTGGTATCGGTCAGATGAGAGGTATAGGTGGACAAGAAGGTTGGCGATGGATTTTTTATCTTGAAGGCATGATGACTGTTGTTGTTGGTGCAGCAGCTTTCTTTTTAATCAATGATTTTCCATCGGATCGACCTAAATTCTTAACTGAAGAAGAATGTGATCGAACAATTACTCGTTTACAAAATGATGCTGGACCTGGTGCTGGTGAACATTTCAGTTGGAAACAAGTTCGAGCAGCATTTCTAGATTGGAAAATATACATTTTTTGTTTGTGTACTATTAGTGTACTTGTGCCATTTGCTTCTCTTTCACTTGTTTCGCCCACGATTATTCATGGTCTTGGTTTTCAAAGTTATCGTGCACAACTTATGACTGCACCGCCATATGCATTTGCATGCATAACTACAATGGCAACAGCTTATTTTTCTGATCGATATGCAAGACGTGCTATTTTTATTATGTTTTGGTTAATAGTAGTTATTATTTGTTTTATTATTTTAATTGTTGTACAAAATTTAAGTGTTAAATATTTTGCTGTATTCTTAGCAATCGGTGGTATTTCACCATGTAACTCTATATGTCTTACTTTTTTGTCGTGCAATATTAGTCCGCATACAAAACGAGCAACTGCATTAGCATTTATGTCATCTGTTGGTAATTTCGGTGGAATAATTAGTGGTCAAATCTATCGATCTCAAGATGGACCTCGTTTTATTCTTGGTCATGGAATTAATCTTGGATTTTGTGTATTAGGATTAATTGCTGTTATTATATTATTTATTAGTCTTCGATTAGAAAATCATCGTCGTGATCGATTATATGGTGTTGTATCTAGTAGTAATAGGAAGGCAAGTGTTGTAACAAAGGAGACGAATAAAGAAGTTGTTGATATTTATTATGGGTGTGGAAGCGAAGAAGATCGACGAAAATGGGGTTATGAACATATGTCAGAAGAAGAAATTCGAGATTTAGGTGATAAACATACTGCTTGGCGTTATATTCTATAATTTTTCATTGAATGTTGTATCTGTAGATGTATAATAATACTTTTTTTTTATTCAAATTGAAATATCACTTTTAAATAAAAAAATAGTGTAATGATTCTATTGACTTTTTTGTTGAGATTTTCTGCACAGTTTAGCATAAAAGGTCTTGGAAGAATATACTTAAACTATTGCAATATTGTATATTTGAGGGATTAAATGCGTGTGAAATATAAAATTAATCATTGGTTTGATATTTATTCGATACTTAAAGCTTTTATTTATATTTTAAATTAATCAATTTTTTTGTCAGATTTACGAAATATCTACCCATATTGAAATTGAACAAAGATTAACCATAACTTTGATATATTGTAAATTTTTATTTATGATAATTTAATTTGGTTATTTAGTATCGGTTTCTGTTCAAATACTAACGACCCGAAATAGAGATCTCGATGGCAAAGTAGAAAATCGATACATAAATTCTTTTTTCAATGTGACACGACATAGTGTAACTATCTAATGTACCCATTGTTATTGTCGTTTGGAAAAGATGTCTGATAAAGTTATATGAATCTTTATATTTACATTTATTCTTGATTGAAGTATTGATCAGTTTTTTCTGCAGCAAAATAAAATAAGAGCTATACGAATGCGAATCAGCCAATCAATAATAAAGATAATATTTCTCATTGTTCTGAAATTCTGTTTTCTTCTAGCTTGTCTGCTTCTTTCGCTTTTCCAGTAAACAACTAGCAACGTTCATCGAAATTCGATTCACTTGGCCCTAGACAGTCTCTAAAAGCTAGATATTTGACGAATAACTAATAAAGTTAAAAAATGCTTTAGCTTTATTAAACTCAATTTTATAAAAGTAGGCTTTTAAAGAAAATAGTATAGATCTCTCTAGCATTATATATGAAAATTAATTTTGAACTCTTTTAAAACTATCAGATCACAATGCATATGTTCTCAACCTTCTAATCCTGGATCTTATTCTATTGAGTTGGCGTACAAGACGTTTCCACACATCATCGTTTTTTTTTCAAATATGCGTTAAAAATATTTGTCGATGGTGACGAACGACATGCTATATAAAAATAGGAGCACATTTTTTTTCAAAACATGATCATATTCTGTGTATTCAAACAAAACAATATTAGCAAATAAAAATTATATTATCGAAAATATGCCATAATTACGTGGTCATTTGTATTCTTACAGTCTACGGAGTACTTTTCTCTTTGTGACGCAAATAAATCATTGATTGATCTTTGTTTATATACATTCCTACTTCATTGAAAAAAAGAAACGAAATAAAAAAAACACGCCCTTATTTACGTAAATATTTTTTTTTACAGTTATGTCACTTCTATAGAAAAAGAGTCTTTTATGATACAAATTGGTATTAATACATATTTGTTAATTGTCAAAAATGTTAGAGTATAATTCAACGATTGGTACAAATCGGGCGGTATTTGTAATAGTATTCTATTCAAATAATGAATGTTATACACAAAAGAGAAAACGAATGTATAAAGACAAGTTTGATGTTAATATCGTATGTGTATACGGATGACTAAACACACGTGTATAATCACAACGATATTATTGATTGATGAAACAGAACTACACATATTGACTAAATATGTTATCAAAAATCAAAGCAAAGAATTCGTAAGAATATAATCGTATGAATATTTTCCTTATTAAACTTCTTTTAGAAAACGTAATTCGAAAGATGATAGTCATCGTAATTCACATGTCAATGAAAGTCATCATACACCAGAAATAAACGATGTTATTACGTCGAATGATAATGAACGACAACCAATTTCTGACGCTAAACTTCATCGAGTATTTCTTTTTTTTTTCTTTGTACAAAAAAATTAAATTAAAGTTAATAATTAGAGAAATCCATTGACAGTTCGACAAGAAATTCAACGTTTCGATGATCCTATAGCAGAAACAACTCTTGCCGATGTAGAATTAAATGAATTGCCAGGCTTACAAAATACCGGTAAATTTTGTCTATTGAAAATCAAATTTTCTTATTCTATACAAATAGAACAATGGAAACGTATTGCTGCACGAATTGGTCAAGTATCACCACCATTATCTCGTCAATATTATCAAACAAATATTTCTATAATTGAATTACAACATGGAGAAATGTCACAAGTCTTAGGATCATATCGTCGACCAGGACGATCAGAAAATGAACAAGATACAACAGTTACACCTCCAACGGGTTTAAAAACAGTACGTCGTAAAATTATATTTGGTATAACAATTATTACAATTATACTTATGATTATAGTTGCAATCATTGTTGCAGTTATTTTAGGTGATATTTTTTAAATCATAAAGATAGTATGATATTTTTATTCTAGTTCGAAAACCTAAACAGATAACAACAGATTATTATTTCGGTTCTATACATGTTCAAGCTGTTTTTGATCCAGTACTTTCATCTAGTTCATCAACATTAGCTATGAATTATGAACGAGAATTTTGTACATTAGTAAGTTTAAATAAAAATTTTATATCATAAATTTTTGTTTATGATTTATTCAAAGATAAAGTTACACTTCGATTAAAAATATTGTGTATTTATATAATTCACTTTTTTTTCAGATCAGTACGACATTATCTGATAGAAAAACCAAATATGCAATATTTTATTCGGCATGTGACGTAATTCGTTTTCGTAATGGAAGTATAATTGGTGATTTTGTACTCGGTTTTACACGTTATCAAAATGCAACACGACTTAATGGATTTCTTGAACGTACAATACTTTATGAACAATTATTTGGTGGAACTATTTTATCGATAGTATTTAATGCAACAACACAAATCAGTCTGAATAATACTGATTATGATACTGATTATGACCAACAAAATGCAGCTAAATCTTTAGCAACTGAAGAAATTGTTTTAATAGATCGTTCAGATAAACAGCAATCGGAAGTTATAAATACAACAACTGAAAGAGGTTTGTAAATAACTAATAAAAAACAGTTTTATATTATTTCAAATTGATTCTTTTGTCAGTCTATTTAGTTATTTTCTTAATATAATACTTAATTAGCCCTGATACGCCCACTTGTAATTTGCTTGAAATTTGAGCGTTTCAAGAAATAATCATTTAAGAACGGTGTTTCGCTTTCATTGGTTCATTTTATGTCTGATAGATGAGTCGTGTGTTGCCTAATAACGTCACTTAATTTCAGTCCTTCACTGTTGACTTGATGGTAGAAACATAGAAGTTTCGAAACATCTCTTTTTCGACGGGGGTCCATGTGGACCCCAGGTGGGCGTATCAGGGTTAATACATTATAGAACTAGCTATCATATTAATCCTTTGAACTTCGGCGACGTCTACAGTGTTGCTAACTCTTCCGGATTTTCCTACTTTTTCTAGATTTTTCCCGGGTTCCGGATTTTAGGTGACTTCAGTTCAATTAAATTTTATCTATTTGGTTATACTCAAAAAAAATTTTTATTTGACAGCGACTCAGCGGCTTATATTTCTTATGTTTAGTTTATTATATTTTGAATTTTGATATATAGAAACATGTGTTTTCTGAAATAGTTAGTGGTATAATTGAGAACAAGATTTTGAGAAATTTATTTTAGCCGGTGGAAATTAAGTGTTAAAAATCTTTCCGGAATTTTTCGGATTTTCTGACTATCACAGTTGGCATCACTAGATGTCTGGTCATTCTTTAATTGTTTCGAGCATCTTTTTATCATTTATTAGATGATTTCACAAATACAATGCTTCATTCTTTCCTGTCTACTTGCTAGTATTACATATCTCTATTCTTTTGTTTGAATTGCTCATGTATTGTTCCCTCGAATACTCTTCGATTAGTTTCTTGCTCTGTGTCAAGTTTTAGTTAATCCTATCTTACCTAACTAAATGCTTTCTATTTTCAAACTGTAAAAATAACAATAAGAACGAATCATAAACTTCAAAAAATTATGAATAATTCTATAAGTTCTTCGATCCTATGTCAATACCTTTTTGTATTGTTAAGTACAGGATATCCGCCTTACCTATTCACTACAATAAAAATTATAAACATATATCTTAAATAATAACGACTGAAATCAATATGTTCGTTTTCCTTCTTATTTCTTATTTTTATTCGTTAGTAGAAACATCATTACTGATATATAATGACATTTCAATCTAAAACGATTATTTCTACTCCAATAGTTCAATGCATTCATTCATTTTTTTTATTTTTAGCTCAGACGAATTCCAAAGACACCACAAATCCATTTACATTATCTGATATTTCATCCTTACCAGTAACTACAAACCAATCTAAATCATTTAGTGAACGACAAAATCAAACTGAAAATGATTTGCATAATAATCAATCGTCTTATACCAATATATCTTTGACTACCGTAGTATCTCATTCACATAAATCAATACAAACAACAAATTCATTGAATAGAATATATTTTACACAAAATACAACATCATTAGATTAATCATCTTTTGAAAATAGAACCAATTTCTCTATGATAAGATAATGATCTAACATATCCACTATTCGATAAACTTTTATTATACATCTGACAACTGAATTTGATTCATATTATGATATTAATTATCAACATTGTCGATTGATTGTTTATCGTTAAATATGATTAACAAAAAAAAACATTAAAAATTAATTAGTAAATTCAATTCTTTAATTTTTCTTGTAAAGAATTTAATAATAAAATATATTTATTTATTTACAGTCAAATAAAAAAAGACCATGCCGATTTGTTGATTCATAATTAATTTTTCTATGTCAAATACTAAACAGAAATTATTATAATATAGTCATGTATTGAGACTTTCATTCTTAATTTTGTCTCAGATGGTTTTTATGTAAATCAAATAAAAAAATATTTAATTAAAGTTAAGAACACATTTACTATTTCTTCAATGGATTAAAATTTAATCTTAAGTAAAAATTATGGTTTAGTAGCTTAAAGCTATTAAGGTAGAAGAAGAAAAAATAATTGTAATATTTATGTTTTTTTTATGTAAATATATAATGAATAGCTGATTTGTTTGAATAGAACTGTAGACTATATTTTCATCACGATATCAATCTCGTTTCTTTTTTTATTTTAATAATAAATTCATATTCTTTTATATGTCTTTAGCTAAGATCGATGTCGGTCGGATGTCAGATCTTATGCACGAAACGTTTCAGACATGCTAGATGTTTTTGTATTTTTACAACTTAATTAAAAAATAGTTCATAGATGAAAATATTTTTTTTCATTTTGTACTCAATATTCGAATGTTTTATGTCATCATCTAAGTATTATTTTTAGCCATTTTTATGTCAGAAAAAAAAGAAGAAGAAGAAGAAGAAGAGAACTTTTCACGATTTTATTGTATTCCTCTTTTACTCCCACGCTTTCCACACAACAACATTCATCATTTGTTGAGTTTATAGAAAAATAACAGAACTGGCAATAACAACAATTGACGTCGGCGACGAATAGTATGCATGCAAACTGGAATACAACTAGTAATGACGTTCTGAACGTGCTACAGAACGACAAAAAAAAAAGAAAAAAAAGAAGAGGCAGAGAAAAAAAACGGGAACATAACCCATATAGTTTTTTTTTGTAGAAAGAACCGTTACCATTATTGTCGATGCTATTGCCCCTACCAGTTTTATTACTACTGTCGTCGACGTCGATAAAACGGAAGATGAAAATGAGAGAATCACACTTCTTATCGTTGACGATGGAACCACAACCTTCAAATGGAACATTCCATCAGTGATAAACGTAAAATACAACGAACTAACTATCATACCAACATGTCTTATTAATAAGAAACAAAATTTATTCTCTCGTCAAAAACAACCAAAAAAAAAAAAGAATAATAATTTATTTTACTTGAATTAATGGCATCCAATAGTGAACAGTCATCTCAACAACAACTTCTGTCAGATCATGCTCAGGTAAATATTTTTATGTATTTGTTAATATAATGAATCATTCTAACATATTGAAAGATAACTAAAATAATAAAGAGAGTGAATGTTTTTCTTTTACGTTAATCTCAAGTTTTTTTTATGAATATTTGCAAGAGCAAACGTTGCTACGTCTAGGCTTTTATTACTTAGCTATGAAGCAGACTAACAGAACTTGTTCTTTTCCTTCTATTCCCTCTTTTTTTTCTCTGCTTCTTACATAGAATAGAGTCTCCGACGAAAAAAAAATACAATATGTCTATAGAATTAAGTGAGAGTTATAATTATTTATATATATTTTTCTAAAAATCATTGCAAATAGTTATAATGAAGATAAAAAAAAAAGAATTTCTTTCTTATTTTCCTATAAAACAAAACAAAAAAACACTTTGTTTTAGTTGCTCTGATGATATTCAACAAAAATACATCAAATTAGATAGAGTGATGTATTCCTTATTTTTATTTACACCTGGTTTTACCATTGTGTAGACATAAAAACAAAGACTATATGCTCCGTCTAATATTTCTAGTTAATTTATGATTAAATAATTGAACATTTAGAATTGCGTTTTTTCTTCTTCTTCTTCTGAATAAGAATCCAGGTTTGAGTTTATTATTAAAAATTCTCATATGTTTCTTTTGTTTATTTCTATTAATGATCTAATAAGATAAATACATAATCATCATAAAATCCATTAGAACGTCGATCATATTTTAAATGCAATAAAGTCTGTTATTGCCTGTGCACACACAGCTGTTTCTTTCTCTCATTATTTCTCAATCATAAATGTCCTTTATATATCTTCTATCATTCGTTCTTACAAGCTGTTTTCCTCCCTTATTCTTGATTTTATAGCATGTTAAATTAAATGTTTGATATTTATTTCAACGAATATTAAATATAAACGATAATAAGATAGTAATTGATTACTAAAAATTGAACACGCACTCTTCAAATATGTATGTAGATTCATGAAAATAAAATAAAGAAAAAAAAGGAAAAGAAATATTTATGTTTGATGTCGTGTGCTGCACACCTGCTAAAATTCACTTCAATATGATTAAAAATGTTTTTTTTTTGTTTTAGAAAAGCAGTTCCACACGTCCATCTGATATCGACAATACATCCGTTTCAAATACTAGTCTGAATATGAGTGACGAAAATCGTGATCCATCTTCAAATCCTTTACCAACAAAAATACGTCCAAAACCTGTTGATGCACGTTCAGCAGCTGCTTCATCATTAATATCTTCATTAGATAGTCCAAAATCAGCAACAATTACAAATGTATCACAACGATTACCTTCAACTTCAGTTGAAGTATCTGTTGGTGAAATTTTATCAACCGATGAAAAACGTGCATCTGTTAGTATTCGTGAACAACAACAACAACAGCAACCACAACAACATCAACAACAATCATATCGTCATTCATCATCATCATGTTCATCATCTGAACTTGATGATATAACGGAAAATACATTTTCAACAACAAATAAAATGGATTTAGGTGAAGCAACACGTGAATTAACTCGTTTATTACATATCGGTAATGATAATACAATGAATGAAATACATTTAAATCCTGATGCACCTGATTTTACTCCTATTGATTTCTCACCAACATATCGTTCAGAATTAGCACCAGCACATTTACATCGACGTGCAACACAAGTTGATTATTATAATAATCGTCATTCACGTTCACGTTATTATTCTGAATCCTATCATCATTCAGTACCAACAAATACTTCAACAATACGACCATTACTTTCACTTGTTCCACAATATATTCCTTATCATCGTCAATCATGGAGTACAACAACACCACCACCACCACCATCAGCATCATCATCATCGAATGCGTGGTGGCAACAACAAGATTATAGTAATCCATCAAGTTCAACATCATCATATCATTCCAAACCAGCTTATCCACTTTATTCACCATTAATGCCACCATTAACAGATGATAGTCTTTATCCAAATAGTAGACAATCATCATCTAAACGACAACGAATACATTCAAGTCGTGCTTTTGTTTTTCCAAGTCAAACAACAACTAATAGAAAACGTTCACATTCAGGTCCTGAAACACCTTTAATACCACCTCCAACACATCTTAATGGTATTCATTGTTTAGCAAAAATAATGATCGATATTTTACGTTTAATTGATCCATTACCAATAAAACAAGAACAAAAATCTAATAAAACAGAAATTAGTTTATCACCTTCAAATTTTTCATCATCATCTCAACAACAACAACGGAAATATCGTAGATCATCAAATAATACTTATCAACAACGACGTTTACAACAAAAACATGATTCAATCGATGCCGAAGATGTCTTTGTTGACGATGAAATAGCAACAATAACTTCTTTGATTCAAAAAACATATGGTAAGATATATATTCATACACTTTTTAAATTATGATTATACCTTGTCGATATCATGATCATTCTAATCACATCAGATTAATCTTTTGACCGCTCTTATTTGTACATATTTTGTTTTCATTGTTAATTATATCTATAAATAGATCTTTTCTATTCTATTATGTCGCCAATGGAAATTATCCAATAAATTTTAGAATAAGGATAAAAAAAAGCGATCGTGACGATAATAAAAAAAGAAAGAGTTATATATCTATTAGTCGACACACACACACACACAATATGCTTGTTACTAAAAGTCTTCATTGTAATTATACAGATAGAGGATATAAAAAAAGCATAACACGTACACTTTTAATTATTACAAATTTTCTCTCGTACATACAAATGTATACTACCATTATTAATCTATTTTCTAATCGAAAAAATTTTTAAGTTCGACTAGTGTTAATTAAAAATGTAAGATGTGTCTAGAAAAATAATCTATTTATATATTGATAAAAAACAGTTACTTTGATCAGTGGTTTTACTAATTAAGTGCATATTAAATAAAACCATCTAGATCATAACACATTTCACCATTTAGTAGTAATTATTGTCTTCATTTGAAAAAAGGGTGAGAGATATGGGTCGTTATATTCTTACATCTGGACACTGTTCTACATGGTAAAAGTGTCGAGAGAATTGATGAAGTTTATGATAAAGCATTCAACCATGCAAACAGGCGATACTTTCATACTACCAACTGTCTATCAATGATAATTATTACTGAAAAGAGTTTATTGTTTTTCTACTTTAATCGTTTGACAATGCATAATATTTTATATATATATTCGTTAATAATCGATTTCGTGATAGAATCTAAATGGATAATAATTTATTAATGATAAATTATAGATAAAAACGATAACTATCACTTATGAATTTTTTTTCTCTTCTCTATCCTGTTTAATTGGATATGTGAATAAAACACAAATTATTTGATTTTTCTTTTGTTATATTTTAGATACAACTAATGCACAGAATAAATCAGTCGAAGATTTAATTGACAATGAACAGAAACCATCATTATTATTGAATTCAACTGATACTGATGTTAAAAATACAGTACATTCACCTGTTGATGAATCATCTACGAACGAATCAACGCCTGTTATTTAAACAACAAATTGATATGACATAAACATGCATTGACTTCGTAACTAACTTCTTTTTTCTTTTGGATAAATCATATTTATTAATATTACTAATACATTTCAAGTCAAGTGTAATGATGAAATATCTTACACATCATTGCATTACTAATATTCTTAAATGTTAAATAACACCTACATATTTCCTTTTCTTTTTTTTTGTGTATGCACTTTTTCAATTGTGTGTACATTCGTTGTATTTTTTTGTTTTTTGTTCTCTTCTCTTATTCAACAAATCTTCCATTGACAAGGAAGAGAAATTCGATAATCGAAATCAATGTATGTTAGAGAGAAAAAAAAAAAGAAAATAGACAACAATAAAGAACAGGCAATGCAGTATTTTAAATTTTTTTTTTTCGTTCTCTATCAATTTATTGTTAAATAAATATTTCAAATTATTATCATTTTGAAAATCAACAAAAAATAATAATAAATATTCTATCGATGGGTAACAAATGACAGTATAGTGTGTCGTCATTCATAAACATCAGTAATAAGAATAATAATACTGACGATGTCTCATATTTTTGTAGAAAAAGCAAAGAAAAAACTCTTAGAAAAGAAAAGGAAGAGAAAAAAAATACTGAAACAGAAAAGACGAAGAACTAGCTTCAACATTGTTTTTTACGAGAAAAAATGTAATATATGCTGATGGTAGTAGTAGTATAAAAAATAACGACAAAAGCAAAAATACTAATGGACGCATTCCACATTCGACTAATACTCTCCATACCCATAGAGAATACAGAATATGCAGAGAAAATAACCGACGAGAAAGAGAGAGAGAAAAGGAAAAAGAAAATAATGAAGTATTACTAGGAAAAATTACAAAATTATTAATACAGATGAATCAACAGCAAAAACATATACCACAAATATCCTTCAAGTTTTGTCAGAGATAGATTTGATATGACAACAGCAATTTCTATGAGTAAGTCAAAAATACAATGATTACTAGTTATTATAACAACATTAATCGAAAATGAGCAATATTTATATATAGAGAGAGAGGTTACTAGAAATAACAAAAAAGAGAACATTAACGATGGTCACGAAAATCAAGGAAGAAAAGAAAAAAGGTGAAAGAGAAAAGAGAGAGAGAGAGAAGGAGAAGATGATGTGACGAGAATATCGACGATCAAAGAGAGCACAGGAGAAAGAGAAAGGGTATGACAAACAAAAAAAAAAGAAATGTATTGATTTAGTTACATCGTTTAATAGGCGAACAGCACAACTGTTTGATCGTCAACAATTCTATGGCGAATTTTATTTCATCATCCTTCGATAGTAATAAAAACTATCAATATACTTCTTTCTTAGATAATCGCTCAAGGCGTTCATCATATCAATACAATATGTTATGGTCAAATTATTTTCCTAAATATTCAATGCCTCGTTATCGTTTTCAAGATTATAAACCATATTATTCAACAATATCTCGTAATGCTGTATCATTATCACCATATCGTAAAACACATTATTTAGATACATCGGATGAAGAAATAATTAAAGAAGAAATTATCGAAATAACCTATCTTGATCATTATCCAACATTACTTGAACGTTGGGGTGATGATACGAAAACTGTGACTCGAGAAGAAGGTGAATTTAAAATTGAAGATTATGTAGAATTTGAAGAAATTGAACCAACAATAACAGAAGATATATCTTATGAAATAACCTATTCAGGTGATATTATTCAATCAACTATAGAAACTCATCATACACGTTCGGAATCTCGAAACTTTCGTAAAATTAAAAAACGACGTACAAAACGTAAACGAACAACAAAATTATTTAATTTATCAGATAAAAATAATTCAATCATTCATACTGGTGATACTATTAGTAATCTTAATCAGAATTTATCCGGTGATACACAACGACAACAACAACTAACTGATGATACTCCTACGCATGAAATTAATCATTCAGATATCAATGGTGAGTAACTTTTGTAATCATAGAAACGAATGAGGTTTCAACTATTTATATGCAAGGTTTCCTAATCCATATAGAGTATTGAACTTTTAATAAAGATTACGACTATATAGATCTCAATCATTAAGTATTTATATATACATATATTGATTATGTAAAGATTTCTTGAACTTTTATAAAGAGTAATTAAAAATATATTTTCGAAAAGAAGAATGAATCTATTGTTATATTCATATAATATCATAAACTAAATTATGTACCAATTATTATTCTATTAAACGTTCTTATTTTTTTTATGTAAATATAATTGTTTACGTTGCAATTATAAACTGAAAAATAGTTTTCTTTTCATTCTATATGTATTATTATTATAATTACATTTGAGTCGAATAGAACAACTAAATAATTGTTGCGTTTAGATGATCGATTTGTTCATATCGTTAAAAAGACATCACAAGAATCGACTGAAAGAAATAAAGATTCGTTAGATAAAATAAAAGAACAAACGAATGAATCACATACATCATCTTTTATATCAACACAAAAATATGATAATCATGAACAACTCATTTCAATATCAAAATCATCAATCAATCAATCAAATAAAGATCAAACAGAATCCCAGTTGGATTCCATAATAACAAAAATTAATCAAAAGGTAAAATCTTTTTCTTTTTAATATATTTAAAATCATATAATAAACTTAATTATTTAGATTGTTTCGGATGAGAAAAAAATAGATTCGATTAAAACTCAACCATTAAATATGCACAAAATCGACGATGATATTATTAAAGAAGAACTTAAATTACGATCAATCGATGAAGAAAATAGGTCTCATAATGAATGCAATCGTCAATCATTAACTCCGACTGAACAAGCAATCGCGCATAGTCATAATGAAAATTTTCAATCATTTTTAAATTCAGATATATCAAATTCAGTCAAAGAAAATAATAATTTATTTACGTATAAAACTAAATCAAATGATTCATCTATCGATATTACTCAAAAGACGAAGTCTATTCCGATGCAATCATTATCGAACATGGAAGAACAGTTCAATTCAACCAGAACTGAACAAACATCTATAGAACCTACAACGGCAATCAATAAATTAAAAGCTAATGATGATGATGCGAATGTAAAACTTTCGTCAGATTCTCCTGTTAATATAGTTCGTCAGATTAAAGATACAACACTTCCTATTCATCATGCATCAATTGAACATACCAAACAAGATGTTACTAATTCAACAAATAATTTATTAACTAAAACTTTTTCTTCGAATGAAATGAAACAAGAAAACATTTATGAAGATAAAACAAATGTCAATGATTCTAAACATATTCTTCCTACATCAACTACATCTGTCATACATAAAGATATTAAATCATCATCGAATTCTTTTACAAACAATATTCCTACTTCCTCTATGCAATCAGATATAATCAATACTCCAATTAATCCTAAATTAACAAATTTGAATGCTGATCACGATTTAATAAATTCCATCAATGAACCATCTTATTCAACGTATGAACAAACAAATATCATGAATAATATTTTTAATCCTCCCACAAGCACAAGTTCATCATATTTTATTAATACTGATAGATTCATAGAAACAGAGTCAGATTATGGAGATTTATATCAAGATCATTATTTTCCAACGAATACAATTCAAGATACATTATTAGATTTTATTTCGATCGATGATGAATCATTAAGTGAAAAACAAGATCTACCTGATTTAAATAAAATTTATTATGAATTAAAAGAACAACGTTATGTTGCAACATTAACTAATGATACAAATAAAGAACAAACAGAAAATGATGATATTGAATCTTTTAATTTAGACACATTATCTTCTATTTCAAACTTACCGTTCAACGGATACCGTCAAGTATTTGGTATCTATAATGAAGGTACTAATACAGTCGATGATTCAACATCTTATATTTCACAAAATACTCATCCTGACTTGAACATTCGACGACAGCAACAACAACTTAAAACAGAATTATCTCAGACATCAGTAAGTAATATACTTTCATTGTAGATCATATATTTTAATTTTTTCCCTTTAGTTACAATCACCTATAAACAATGACCAATATCAATCTCAACAATCCGATGTTGCTATACATTCGACTGCAGCTCGTGCCTCTTCGGATGAAAAATCTCCTGTCAAAAAATTCTCATCTTCTTTATCTAATAAATTAATTAATAATGCTCAATCAGACGATTCAATTCATGGAACCGACGAAAGAATTACAAATGATTCATATGAACAGATCAAATCAACACAAATACAATCACAACTCATCCCTTCTAGCACTCCCTGGTCTTCAAATCAACATACAGTAGCTACTACCGAATCTCAACGACTCCTATCAACTTCTCCTGATGAACAACACAATCAAGCTCCACAATCATCATTACATCAACAACTACAAATTATCAATGATGAATATCCATGGTGTTCCAGTTATTATACTATTATTGATGCTGAATCAAATCTTGATCGCTTTTATAATCAGCTGCTTGTCAATGAACAATCATCTGTTTCAACAACTGTCAACAATCAGAATGAAGATCTTAATACACAAAACAAAAAAACACAGGATGATGATAATGATGATGGATTTCATATTGTACAACGACGTAAACGTATACCTTCATCTACAACACATGAACAATCAGTATCATCATCTACGATGACCACTAAATCACCACTTAGTCCTGATATTGATGTTGAACCAATAATTATCCATGGAAATCCCAATGTAACAGTACCTATTCTACCAATAATTGAACAAACTACTGATAGAAGTAGTAAGAAAAAACAAAAGAAAAAGAAAAAAGATAAAATTGATGTGATTTTATTTGATGCTCCTGAATTAACTTTATCAGATATGAACAAAAAGACAAATGACAATATGAAATCTTCAACAGCCCAAGAAGAAGAACAACAACAACAACAACAAGAAAATGAAAGATTGAAGTATGAGGATGAAAAACTATATAAAAAATCACCTGTACATCCAAATGAACAACAACAAAAGTTATATATACAAAAACTACATACTCCTATACAATCGCAACATTTTTCAACTTCTCTAGATGAACAATACAATCAAGCTCAACAACTACAAGTTATAAATGACGACTACTCATGGTATTCAAGTCATTATAGTATTATTGATGCTGAATCAAATCTTAATCGCTTTTACAGTCAACTAAATCCTCCTAAAGAACAATCATCAACTCCACCAACTGCCAACATAAAAAACAGCAAAACAGAAGATGATCATGATGAATTTCATATTGTACAACGTCGTAAACGTATACCTTCATCCACGACACATGATAAATCTTCATCATCATCTACGTTAACCAATATATCACCACTTAGTCCTGATATTGATCTTGAACCATTTATTCTTCATGGAAATCCCAATATATCACTACCTGCTCCATCAATTATTGAACAAACTACTGACAGAGGTAGTAAGAAAAAACAAAAGAAAAAGAAGCACGAGAAAACTGAAACAGTATTATTCGATGCTCCTGAATTAGTTTTATCAAGTATGAACAAGGACACAAACAACGCTTTGAAAACATCAACAGTAAAAGAAGAAAAACAACAAGAAAATGAAATACAATATAAAGAATCATCTGTACACCCTAATAAACAACAACAAGAGTCATATATACAAAAATTACCTACTCCTATTGAATCTCAGCATCCCGTCTCAGCTCACCAACAACTACAAGTTATGAATGATGACTACTCATCGTATTCAAGTCATTATAGTATTATTGATGCTGAAACAAATCTTGGCCGCTTTTACGATCAGCCGCTTGCCAATGAACAATCATCAGTTCCAACAACTACCACCAGTCAGAATGAAGATCTCAATACACAAAACAACAAAACAGAAGATTATGGTGATGATGATGGATTTTATATTGTACAGCGTCGTAAACGTATACCTTCATCGACAACACATGATCAATCACTGTCATCATCTACGGCTATTACTAGACCAGCAGTGCCACGAGTTAGTCCTGATATAGATCTTAGACCAGCCATCCTTCACGGAAATCGCGGTATATCGGTACCTATTGCACCAATGATGGAACACACTACCGATAGAAGTAGTAAGAAAAAACAGAAAAAAAAGAAGAATGAAAAAAATGATACGATATTATATGATACTCCTGAATTAATTTTGTCAAATATGGACACAAACACGAACAACGCTACGAAATCACCAACAACAAAAGAAGAAGAGCGAAAAGAAAATGAAAGATTGAAGCATGAAGATGAAAAACAATATAAAGAATCATCTATTCGGTACTCAAATCAGAACAAAGTAGCTCCTACGGAATCTCAACGACTCTTATCAACTTCTCCTGCTGAAAAATACAATCAGACTCAACAACAACTACAAGTTATGAATGATGATTATTCATGGTATTCAAGTCATTATAGTATTATTGATGCCGAAACTAATCTTGATCGATTTTACAATCAACTAAATCCTCCTAAGGAACAATCATTAGTTGCAACAACTGTTAACAATAAGAACGAAGATCTCATCATACAAAACAACAAACAACAAGATGATGATGATGATGAATTTCATATTGTACAACGTCGTAAACGTATACCTTCATCAACAACACATGATAAAACATTAGCATCATCTACGATGACCACTAAACTACCAGTTAGTCCAGATATTGATCTAGAACCATTTATTCTTCATGGAAATCCCAATATATCACTACCTATTCCACCAATTGTTGAACAAACTACTGATAGAGGTAGTAAGAAAAAACAAAAGAAAAAAAAGCATGAGAAAATTGAAACGATATTATTCGATGCTCCTGAATTAGTTTTATCAAGTATGAACAAGGACATAAACAACGCTTTGAAAACATCAACAGTGAAAAAGGAAGAAAGTCAAAGCAATGGTAAACCAATTGACTTAGGTTTAAGGAACGACAGTTTTCAGTTGACTACCACACAAACTTTGCAAGATTCTGTATCAACTGTTATTCTTGTTGATAGACCTGGTTCAGATACTTCATCAAAGAATGAGTTAGATCTTCGATATTCGTTACTACTTGATCATCTTGATACTATTATTCAACCAATACTTAAATCATCACCATCAGAGACGACTGAAAATCAATTGAAATCATCAAAAATTGAATCAAATACTTATCCACATCAAGAGAAACAAGAATCAATCTATGACAGGATTTCTAGTGTCAAGGAATCTTTGCAACATTTTATTGAAGATATTCGACTAACTAAAGCAAATAAGGAAAAAGAAGGTGAAGATGCTACAAATACTATTGCACACCAACAAGCTCCGATACCAACTACTCTAGCAACAAATTTATCAACTGTATTGACGGGTACCAGATCAGAGAATACTAAGGTATCCACAAATGTCGAAGAAGAAGAATATGCAACCGAAAAATTCCTTCGATCATTGGAGTCTTTGAAACATACAAGTAAAAATAAATCTATCCAAAAGGATAGACTGTCAAATGTACAGAATCTACAATCGATATCTACTACTTCAACCACTGATGCTGCTCGAAAACCAGAAAAATTTGAAAAAACAGTAAGTAAACAAGTACTATTAAACACTATCTTATTCTTATATTCTGTTATAGCTTCAATCATCATTCAGTGATACACAAGATCATCACGGTATATCTGATGCAGTTACCACTACTATATCAAATGTCAAAGACGTACTAGCCAATCTTACCTTTTCGAACGAGAAAAGCAAGGACGTTAAGAAAAAGAAAAAATCTGTTAACAATTCATACGAACAGAACAGATCAACACAAGAACAACTAACACAAATACAATCACAACTCATCCCTTCTAGCTCTCCTTGGTATTCGAATCAATACAAAGTAACTCCTTCTGAATCTCAACGACTCTTATCAACTTCTCCTGATGAAAAATACAATCAACGTCAACAACAACTACAAGTTATGAATGATGACTATTCATGGTATTCAAGTCATTATAGTATTATTGATGCTGAATCCAATCTTGATCGCTTTTACCGTCAACTAAATACTCCTAAGAAACAATCATCAGTTGCAACAACTGTTAAAATTCAGAAGGAAGATCTCAATACACAAAAGAACAAAACAGAAGATTATGGTGATGATGATGGATTCTATATTGTACAACGTCGTAAACGTATACCTTCATCCACGACACATGATAAATCTTCATCATCATCTACGTTAACCAATATATCACCACTTAGTCCTGATATTGATCTAGAACCATTTATTCTTCATGGAAACCCCAATATATCACTACCTGCTCCATCAATTATTGAACAAACTACTGACAGAAGTAGTAAGAAAAAACAAAAGAAAAAGAAGCACGTGAAAATTGAAACAATATTATTCGATGCTCCTGAATTAATTTTATCAGATATAAACAAGAAGGCAAACGATACTATGCAATCTTCAACAGCACAAGAAGAAAAACAAGAAGAAAATGAAATACAATATGAAGCATCATCTGCACATCCAAATGAACCACAACAACAAGAGTCATATATACAAAAACTACACATTCCTTCTGGCGCTCCTTGGTATTCAAGTCAATATAAAGTAGCTTCTACTGAATCTGATCGACTCTTCCCAACTCAGCATTCTTCAACTTCTCCTGATGAACAACACAATCAAGGTCAACAACAACTACAAGTTATGAATGATGACTATTCATGGTATTCAAGTCATTATAGTATTATTGATGCCGAAACAAATCTTGATCGATTTTATAGTCAGCTGCTAGTCAAAGAACAATCATCAGTTGCAACAACTGTTAACAATAAGAACGAAGATCTCAACATACAAAACAACAAACCACAAGATGATGATGATGAATTTCATATTGTACAACGCCGAAAACGTATACCTTCGTCGACAACACATGATCAATCAGTGCCATCATCCACGATGATCAATATATCACCACTTAGTCCTGACATAGATCTTGAACCATTTATTCTTCATGGAAATCCCAATATATCAGCACCTATCCCACCAATTACTGAACAAACTACTGATAGAGGTAGTAAGAAAAAACAGAAGAAAAAGAAAAAAGATAAAATTGATGTGATTGTATTCGATGCTCCTGAATTAATTTTATCAGATATAAACAAGAAGACAAACGATACTATGCAATCTTCAACAACAAAAGAAGAAAAACAAGAAGAAAATGAAATACAATATAAAGAACCATCTGTACATCCAAATGAACAACAACAACAAGAGTCATATATACAAAAACTACATATTCCTTCTGGCGCTCCTTGGTATTCAAGTCAATATAAAGTAGCTTCTACTGAATCTGATCGACTCTTTTCAACACAGCATTCTTCAGCTTCTCCTAACGAACAATACAATCAAACTCAACCACAACTACAAGTTATGAATGATGACTATTCGTGGTATTCAAGTCATTATAGTATTATAGATGCTGAATCAAATCTTAATCGCTTTTACAGTCAACTAAATCCTCCCAAGGAACATTCATCAACTCCACCAACTGCCAACATAAAGAATAACAAAACAGAAGATGACAGTAACGATGAATTTCATATTGTACAACGACGTAAACGTATACCTTCATCGACAACACATGATAAAACATTAGCATCATCTACGATCACCACCAAATCACCTCTTGGCCCTGACATTGATCTTAAACCATTTATTCTTCATGGAAATCCCAGTGTACCTGTACCTATTCCACTAATTGCTGAACAAACTACTGATAGAAGTAGTAAGAAAAAACAAAAGAAAAAGAAATATGACAAAAGTAATGCGATATTATACGATGCTCCTGAATTAATTTTATCAAATATGAACAAGGACATAAGCAATACCCTACAATCTCAAATAGCTCTGGAAGAGAATTGCGAAAAAAATATTAGCGTGACCAAAATACCATTATTAAGTGAAACATTCAATGATGAAGTTAAACAAATATATGAAGACTCATCTATACTTTCAAGCAAACTACAGCAAGAAACTCAAGCAACGTCAATTAGTTATACTACTCAAATGACCAATGAGGCAGATAACAAGAGGAATGAATCGAAATTACTATCTGCTCAAGATATGTCTACATCGAATGCTGCCCAGATTAATACTGAAACAATGGACCATAAATTGATAGAACAACAATCAATTCCAGAATCCTTACGGTCTTTGAAAAATATAATGGTTAAAGATGGTAGTACTAAAGTAATCGTTTCACCACAAGATAATGAAGGATTTCAATTAGTAACTCATAGCAAACGGGTACATCCAGAAACAAGACGTGAAAAGACATCATCATCACCATCAACTGTTACACAGCAAATGCTCACTACCTTTGCCGAAATAGAAAAGAAAACAAAGAAATCTAAAAATGATAAACAAAAGATTATCTCATCATCAAGTTCCGATTCATTACAAACTGATCGACATTCAACAGAACAAGAAACAATTTTACAATCTTCAATTCCATGTTCGTCTATTACCGATAGTTTGAATGTGTTATCCGAAACCAAACTACCGTCAACTACAAAAACAATGGTAATTGATACAAAACCTTCTATATGTCTTGAAGAGAATGAAGATAATGAAGGCTTTCAAGTTGTACATCATCACAAGCATATAAAATCAACACCGAGATCAGAAAAAACTTCAGTTTCATCACCGACAAAGAATACATCCATTCAAAATATTAGTCATGATATTGATCTAAAACCTGCAATAATTCACGGACATCAGAATTCAACATCGCAATCAACTCTCCACACAAGCACTATTGTTGAAACTCTTCCCAATGAAAAAAAACAAGTGCCAGTAAAGCAACAGCAACAGAAGAAGACGAAGAAACAAAAATCATCATTTAGCACATCGCTTCAATCAACGTCGACTAGTGAAGGTGATAGCTATGAAATACCTACAAAAATCAAAGAAGAAACCGAAAAATCACAATCAACACTTGATAATCATGGGCAACACTTAAAAGATCCTACGTACACAACAAGTTTTGATAAGAATATCAAAGTAAATCAAGTACCTGTTACAGAACACTCGATCAAGCAAATCGTTAACGAATGTCCTGTATTACCTGACAATCAGATTAAAACTACAGATAAACAGTCATTAACTAATCAAGTTATCTCATCTACAACAATTAGTACCAGTAATATTGGTATTGAAAGATCCACATTGATCGACGACGACCATGATAATGAATTTAAAGTTGTGTCTAGTCATAAACGTACACCTTCATCAGCAGCTTCAACGATGTTCACGATATCCGAGGAAAAATCACACAAACTAGAAAATATCAAAGAAGATATTCCATCATCATCATCAACAATGGATATCAATTTTATTCCTCTATCTATAGAAGAAACTAGAGATCGAAATGCAAATTATACTATCCAAAAAGTTCCCGAACCTATTATTTTAGCTGCAAATACCGATGAAACATCATCAACCGATACTACATGTGATTCTATTACTTCTCAAATAAATGAATCAATACCAGAAACATATATCAGTCAAGATTCATTAAAATCAATTGTATTTACACGAACCAGTGAATTTCATGACAAAGCCAATGATCTTCCAACTGCAGAACAAATAGAAACGTCAACAAGTAAAACACCTGCAAAAAGACGAAAGAAGAAACTACGAATAAAAGAAAAAACTGATGATGAAAATGCGTCAACTACTTCAGCCAGTGCAACTAGTACCAAAAACAATTCACATATTAATAATAAATCCACTGTTCAAAAATTGAATCATGAAGAACAAGAATCTAAAGCAACAAATCAATCATTTAATACATCAGATATTTCATCAGTCAAACAACTTAAACCTCAACAAATACCAATAAAGAATACATCTATTCCTTCGTCTTCATCATTAAAACAAACAACTGAATTTTCTACTTTACGTTCAACACATTTTAATGAAGAACAACATTCTCAAATTGAAACAAATAATAAATTAGATTTATTCTTACCTGAATATATGCGTCAACAATTAAGTACAAGTCAATCAAGTTCATCATCAATAGTACAGTCAAAAGATGAACGAAATATTCCTTCAGCAACAACAATAACAGCATCTGATATTATTCGTAAGAAGAAACAACGACCAAGTATGCTTACAAAAGACCATGAAGCTAAAAGTTTATTAACAAATGAATTCGATATAAATCCTGATAAACAACTTAATCAAGAAATTGTTTTAACTAATGATACTACTATTGATGAAGATGATGAAAATATTCATGATGATGATGATGAATTTATTGTTCAAAATTTTGATAATGAAAATAAATTAACTAATAATTCACCTGAACAAAATATTGATAATATTCTAACACGTGGTTTTTATCTTTGGTTACATGAAGGTCAAGCATTATCTCAAAAGAATAATAAAGTTTCATCATCAACTAGTAAAGACTTACCTAATGCTATGCAACAAATTGTTATTCAACCGACCGAAACTGATGAAGATGAAGATTCATGGAATACAAATGAAATGATTAAATCAACTTATATGATTGGTATTCAATCGGAAAAGAAAATTCATATGACAAATGCATATTTTATCAATCATCCTCGATCTGTTTCAATACCTTCATGGTTAATAGCACAAGCCAATGATAATACATTTCGTGATGATACGAAAAAATCTCATTCAGATGATGAAGATGATTCAACTAAAAATACATCGTACAAAAAAAATTCTTATAAAACTGATACAGAATTCTCAATAATGAAAAAATCAAATTCAAATAATGTACAACAATGTTTAAATAAACATTTCTATCAACAATTCAACAAGAATAATCTTCGTAGAATTAATTTTGATGATTGGGCACATTTTCTTGAACATAAAACTGAAAATAATTTATCAACATCGTTAGAATATTTCTATACTCGAACATTTGATGAAGATACTTTAATATCGGAATCATTACCTATTGAACATTCAATTAAACATGAAAAATATCGTTATGGAGATTTTTTATTATCTAATAATGATGTTTTCGTAACTGAATCTAATATTCAACATCCAATACATAAATCAAAACCACCATCAGAATATTTTCAACATTGGCCAAAACAAGAATCAATTTCAATACAAGATGATAATGATGATGATGAAATATTTATATGTCACTCAAAAAATGGTCTTAGCCGACGAATGAAACTTTAAACACGAAATACTTTCTTTTCTCTTTTTTGTTTTAATCTAGTCGATCAATATTTATTCTTAATCAAACAAACATGCTTTATATATATATATGAATCGATACATATGATCTCCACATTCCCTAATGTGTTAATAGACTTGAGAAAATGACATAGTTTATTGACAGTCGCTTGAAAATTTTTGTATATTAATAACAGATATTAGTTTTTTTAAACATTCAAATCAGTAATCTTTTATTGATCAAGAAGAAAGATATTAGAAATAATTTTCATCACACGTCTATCATGATTCATTTGTATCATTTCATATTTCTTTTTTTCTTTTGTTTTGTTTTGTTCTTTTTACTTACTATGTGTGAGATCAATGTGCACGCATTAGATTTATTTTGTTATGCACTTGTTCATGACACATTGTGTTATATACTTGTTTGTTATGGGTTTATTTTCTTTGAATTGATTAGATTGAAATAAAATAAAAACTTACAATAAAAATAAGTCGATTTGAATAATTAATAATATGAGTGGAGATCTCTGAATTTGTCTAAAAAAACATAGAAAATTGACTTTTAATATTTTACATGTTTACTCGCTTACTTTTCTAATAAAACAATCTTAATAAAACCGTTGCTCACAGTTCTTATCTTGATTTTGTCATTTTTTAGCTGATATCATTCTTTTTCGTTTTTTCTTCTTTCAGCAAGTAATTACAACATCATGTGAAATCTATAACACAAGAAAAAATCCACTCATGAAATGATAAGATAGAGAACAATATAAATAACCAACATATAAAGCTACGGAGCATACCTTTCTTCAACAATCTACAATGGCAAATGAAACAGTTACCAGTTTCGTTACATTACCGGTAGAACTTTTCTACCGAATTCTTGATCATCAGCCGTATCTTACAATCCTGTGCTCCATGACGAACGTATGTCAGCGGTTTAACAGCATTTTAAACAGCTACGATCGATATCAGGTAAAATCTTTTCTATCATGATCGCCTAATTTTCAACCGTTGATTCTCGAATGATGTTTCATTTCTACAATCTCTAAGCAACCAGAATGGCTTCAACAAAACATATGTGAATAAACTATTTATCACTCAATATAATTCATCAGCTATCCCTTTCTCCTCAAAAATTCACTTTTTATATTATGATAATTAGAAAAACCAGTTTCTTTTTTTCTTTCTATTCAATTTCATGTAAGTACTCTAGGTTTCAAACTAGGTATGATGTCATAAACATACAGCGTTTAGATAAGAACGAAAAAATAGAAGTGAAACATTATTATTTGATTTTTACCTGTATGTAAACACCTTTTTATAAATACTATTTCGATAATGAAAACCAGCTTTTGACAGAAACTAACCTTCTATACACTAGCTTGTCTTATTATAAATAACGTCCTCCATACTTGCCTGAGAAAAACTTTCGACAAATACTTTTTTAAGAGCATGCGCGACTGTGGATACAGGTAACAGCAGATCTGAATGGAGAGAAGATTGACTCACAACATTTGAACTCGTACTACTAAGACGAAATATTTCATCAAGGAATACTACTTTTAAAGTAAACTTTTTATCAAAAAACGTTGCATCAGAATGGATTTTGATGTGAAACACGGTTTATTAAGAATGGACTTTCGAGAATAGTTCGTCAATGCTCTTTGCTGATATGACGTTTTAGCATGCATTCAACATTCTTCTCATAATGAGTCTAACATTACGCAATCAATTATTGAAGTTATTTTTCACTTTTTATAAATCAATGTTCCTCTATCAGCAAAACTGTATAGTCGCATTGAGAACATCTATCGAAATCAGTATATATTCTCATTTATATAAATTATACACATGAATGAGGCTAAGTTCAATAACTGAAACAGAGTTCTGATATGAAATACATACCGAGTCAGAATAATGAGTGTAAAGAAAACTGTTCACTAGCTGCCGATAAGAAACAATTTATCGTCATACCTACAGAATACTAACAAGCGCTGCATCATACTTAACTAAGCTTTAGACCATTCATTGTAATACATAGTCATTTACGCACATAATACTATTCTTGGCGGTTGTTCCCCTAGAAATAGCTTACAAACGAATTTTCAATAACCGACATGTATTTCGTTCTTTCCAAAACCTTCACAAACTAAAGCAACATATAGATAAAAGCTCTCTACTCCTCGTTCAATCTTGCTAAATTTTTTTCAATCTAAATTTTCATAAAACATGATTGCATACTGCGCAGCATAAAATATCGTACAAAAGTTCATACTTGTACACATATGCACAACACACCCGCCAGAACAACAATAATTTCACGGATCTACCCGCATGTAGTACCAATCAGCTATTCTGTCCCTTCATTTGTACCATGTCTTTATCTCCCCTTTTTCATCTAGATGCTCACCACATTCAACCTGCACTACAATAAAATCGGTGCTGAAGGAGCACAAGATCTTGCCAATGCTCTACATATTAACAAAGTAACAACAATACTTGTTTTTCTTCTTCCTCGTTACTTCATTTCATCATTGACACTCTTTTCACACAGACGCTCACCAGCCTGAACCTTTATTTCAATGAGATCGGTGCTAAAGGAACAAAATATCTTGCCAAGGCTTTACAAATTAACAAAGTAACGACGATACTTGTTCTTCTATCTCTTTACTTCGCTTCATTATTCACATACTTTTCTCATAGACGCTAATCGCATTGACCCTCGTAGGCAATGAAATCCGTGATAAAGGAGTAGTATATCTTGCCAATGCTCTACAAACTAACAAAGTAACAACAATACTTGTTCTTCTTCTTCACTTCACTTCACTTCACCATTCACATACTTTTTACACAGACACTTATCACACTGAGCCTTTTTGACAATAAAATCGGTGCTGAAGGGGCACAGTACCTTGCCAATGCTCTACAAATCAACAAAGTAATAACCATACTTATTCTTCTTCGTCTTCATTTCACTACATAATTCATACACTTTTTACATAGACACTCACTACACTCGAGGTCACACTCAATCAAATAGGTGATACAGGAGCAGAATATCTTGCCAATGCTCTAGAAATCAACAAAGTAACAACAATACTTGTTCTTCCTCTTCTTCTTCACTTCATTTCATCATTCCCACATTTTTCATACAGACACTCACCATACTCAATCTTTATTACAATAAAATTGGTGATCAAGGAGCGCAAGATCTTGCCAATGCTCTTAAAACCAACAAAGTAACAACAATACTTAATTGTTCTTTTTCTTCTTCACTTCATCATTCACACACTTTTCACACAGACACTCATCACACTGGACTTCGGATCCAATAAAATCGGTGATAAAGGGGCACAAGAGCTTGCGAATGCTCTACAAATCAACAAAGTAACAATAGCACTTGTTCTTCTTTTTCTCACTCTAATTCATCATTCACACACGTTTCACATAGACACTCACCACACTAGACCTTGCACACAATAGCATCGGTAATAAAGGAGCAGAATATCTTGCTAATGCTCTGCAAATGAATAAAGTAACAGCAATACTTGTTCTTCCTCCTCTCCACTTCACCTCATGATTCACACACTTTTCACACAGACACTAACCACACTCAACCTCGAAAACAACCAAATCGGTGATGAAGGAGCACAAGATCTTGCCAATGCTTTGCAAATCAATAAAGTAATAACAGTACTTGTTCTTCTTTTTCTTTAGTTCATTATATCATTCATACACTTTCCACACAGACACTTACGACACTCAGCCTCAGATGCAATGATATCGGTGTTAAAGGAGCACAACATCTTGTCAATGTTCTAGAAATCAACAAAGTAACAACAATACCTCTTCTTTTTTCTTTTCACTTCGCTTCATCATTCACATACTTTTCACGCAGATACTCGCCACACTCAATCTCGAGTTCAATCAAATCGCTGATAATGGGAAGAAAAAACTTCGGAAAATATGCGTAAAAAATACAGGACTAAAACTAATGTATTGATGAAAAACATTACTAACAGTAGCAACCACAAACAACAATGTTTTTACTTTTAATGTTTACAAGATTTTATATCGATTTAATAAATATATGTAATATCTTGTAGCAATAGGAGTTTTTTTCTTGTATCTATAGTAAGTAGACCCTACAGGGCTGTGGCGATTGTTGAAAATGTCTTTTTTTTTCTGTGATGTTACTTATATCACTGATTGATGACTGTCTAGTAGCGTTTCTGTAACGGGGAGGAGTGAAGGAAGAAGGAAATTTATGAAGTAGTTCGCTGGTTTTTATCATAGGATTTCAATAGAAACGACATTTTCTATTGAAAGACTGATAGTGATCGTATCCAAAGAAAGAAATCTCGGTTTCTATACTCACCGGGACGCATGTGAGATTGTTTCCGAAACATCAGTTTCATTTGAAAGTGCTAGTAAATGTTACTGAGACGAAGACATTTCGAATTCTACAAACTTGCAATTTTTTGTGTATGAAAGATTGATTAGCTATTCGGATTTCTGAAGATTTTAGAGTATATACAAGTAATATTTTCGATCTATTTAATTTTCGAGCAACTGGACTTTCATATCCTTTCGATATTAACGAGTAGATTCTTGTACTGCAATATTTTGGAAAGTATACATTGGATTCTTTTGACTGTTCTGGAGTTACTGATGACTACTGGATTCATTCGTACATAGATTGTATCACTGAATTCTTGGTTTAAAGTGATGCTATAAGTAAAGTGATATGTTGAGTACAAATTGAGTCAAACGACCGAAAGACTATTTTTAGTTTTAGTTTAAATAAAGCTGAACATTTAGTTCTCCATACAAAGAACTCGACCAATACTTTGACACATCATTGATTATTATTGTAGACATAATGAATCAGTTTATTTTAGGCGAGTCTTACAATACTTTACATATATCAAAGAGCTTCAATTTTTATAGGCTAAGAAGTTTATAGACAAACTGACGTATTCTCTTTGTTTTTTTAACGAATAATACATAAATACCATAAATAATTCTCAATTCGATAAAATTTTTAATTTGTTTGATTAAATATATAATGAAAGACTTATCAAGTGTCTTAAGGATATGGATATTTGATGAATAAAATACTCACACCCACATCCACATTCTTATTTAATTTGATTATGTACCATTTATTTGATAGAGTATTACAAAATCATCTTGATACGTCTTCCCGATAAGATTCAAACTGTTCAAATATTCAAACTATAAAATTTTAAAACTTGAAGATAATTAATGAGTTTTTAACTATTAAAATAATTCTAATTATTTAATTTTCAATAGTGAAGAGATATGGAATTTGCTAAAACACTCATACATATTCATGATATTGTGAATTAAAAACCTATAATAAAAGTGTTTTAAATATTGATTCTGTATTTTCTGTATCAAAACATAATACAGATGTGTTTCCTATAGGAATTACGCATTTCCTATCTGATTTTGTAGTTTAGTTCGATGTTAATCATGTTTTTTTTTATTCAGATAAATATACAACAATATTGGTATAGTTACTTTTCATTTCCTTGTTTTATATTAATGATAAAATGAAAAATTATATATATATATACATAATGATAATTAGTTTTTATATTTCTAAAGTTATTATGATGCATTGGCAATTGTTATATTCTATTATAGTAATATCCATGATAATAATTAAATCGAATGCATCACTTCTTTATAATACAAATGATAATTCAAAAACAGTCTTCGATTGCTTTGATTCGTATATAATTGATGACCGTAATCCAAAAGAAAATGTTTCGTTTCAAACAAATTATCTAATACCTTATTGTCGACGTCCATTATCAACTGATCATATTAACAAAATTCAAGGATATATAGAAAATACATACACATTTAAAAATTTAAGTCTACAAGGAATTACCAGTGAAAATCTTCTTCAATGGTCAATATCACTTGATATTATTGAACAATATTCTATATATCTCATTAAAAATGATACCAAATTCGATGAATTTATTTTTAATAATTGTTCATCATTATGGTTTGGTTCGAATTGTCAATATACATTTAATTTAAGTATGCCTATCGAATCATTTGGGGATTTTGTAAATTATTCATTTAATGCTCGTGAACAATATGAGAGGAAAATATTAATACATACTTGTTATCCTCATTTATCTGGATGTTATCGTGGTCCTGAACCGATGTGTTTAGATTGGCGCGAAATATGTGATGGAAAAATTGATTGTATCGGAGATAATTTTGGTATCGATGAAGAATATTGTAATGAACTTGAAATATATGAATGTAAAGAAGATGAATATCGATGTCATAACGGAGCACAATGTATTCCACGTGAATTCTTTCGCGATGGTCGACCAAGTAAAGATTGTTTGGATGGAACAGATGAAGCTGAATATTTTCGTGCGTCGGCATCTTCGAACATGGCACCATTTTTAACATGCATCGATTCAATGCTATTCCGTTGTGAAGAAACAACTTGTCGTGAACCACAAGAATTTTCATGTGGCGATGGAAGTTGTTTTATGTTTCACCCTAGTTTTAATCTTATTAATTATAATCCAGATGCTTGTGCAAGTACAGGTCGTGTTGCCTACTATCGTCAAGCAATTTATAAATCCGCCAAACGATATCCGAATGATTGTTATCTTATATTATTTTGTAAACTTGGTTTTTATGACATTCTTCAAAATGATACATACAACATAACAGATTGTTCATATGAAAATCTATCATCAAAAAATTGTACATTAGAATATCTTTCATTTCCTCTTGAACCTATTTTCAATGGCTATTTTCAACCTTTTTATTCAACTCAATATTTTAACAATCCTGATTATGATAAATGGCCAGCATATATCTGTACTAATCCACGATTATGTTTATATTTGCCAAATGTAGTAAAGCATATGAAGGGTTTAGATTGTCGTCCACATCCAGGATTTCTCAACCACGATCAGAGTTTGTCATCTCGTTTGAAAGAAGATACTAAGATTTGTGCATTAATGGGAAATATTAATAAATATGAATCAAATTCATCTTTATTTTATTGTAAAAAATCTGATAAATATATATCAAAACATCGTCTCATTGATGGTATTCTGGATTGTTATTATGATGAAGATGAAAGTTATACACATAGTTGTTCATTAAATGATACTCAACGTTTTAATTGTACACCAGAAACAAAATGTTTATCACCTATAGGTATTGGAATTGATAAACCTCAATGCGAAAATGCCGAAGATGAAAAAATTGACAATGATGAAACATTTATATATACACGTCTTTGTAATGATATACATCATTATGAAGAATTATCACGAGAAGATAATGAAACCGATGAAACCGATTGTAAATGGTGGCCTTGTAATACTCCGTACACTCGATGTGATAATTTTTTTCAATGTGCTAATGGTATCGATGAATTGAATTGTCCTAATGTTAATTGTAATATTAATGAATTTAAATGTGAAATTATTAATTCAACTAATGATTATTATTGTATTCCTCAAGAATATATTTATGAAAAATCAGTCGATTGTATTAATCATGATTTTAGTGATAATAATAAACTCTGGCGAACTATATTTTATTCAAATAATTTAACTATTAATATTAATCAAGAATATATATCATGGAAAGAAAAAACTTGTTTAACAAAAAATGATATTTGTGATGGTTCATCGGCTAATGATCAACAATTAATATGTAATATTGTTGAAAAAGAAAACATTTGTATTAATTATCCATTCTCAGTAGATTTGTATAATAATGGAACATTATGTAACATAGTAAAGAATCATTATTTTCGTTACCCTAAATTTTATTATTTTTCTACATGGAATTTGGGATATTTTCCAACAATAATAAATGAAACATCATTAACATCTCAACAATTTATTCATATTAAGCCAAAAAAACCTCTCGAAATTAATACGAGTATTGAATTAATTGAATATTGTAATCGTGGAATTGTTATATTTGAAGGAAAATCTTATGAAAAGAAATGTTTATGTCCACCTAATTATTTTGGTGATCGATGTCAGTGGCAAAATCAACGTGTCAGTTTAACACTTCAGATACGTCCAGTTGGTTCACATGAGTATAAACTTTCTATTTATGACATATTTATTTATTTAATTGATGATGAAAATCAAATAATACATAATTATGAAGTAATAAATTATATTTCATCAATAAATTGTAATACAAAATACAATCGTTATTTACTTTATCCTGATCAACCAAAAAATGTCAATCATACCTATTCAATACGTATTGATATTTATGAAAAATTAGCATCATTAAATTATTATGGAAGTAGAAGTTTATCTATTCCATTTCCATTTTTACCAGTTAATCGTATATCAACACAAATTCGTATTCCATCAGAAAAATCTCAACCATTAACAAATTGTTCAATTCAATGTGGAAACCATGGACAGTGTTTTAATTATATTGATACAACAAATGAATTTTGTCTTTGTAATCAAGGTTATTCAGGTCGTTTTTGTAATATAACATATCAACATTCTTGTTCATCTGGTTCAACTGCTTTAAATACATCAATTTGTTTATGTCCATTAAATAAATTTGGTTCAAAATGTTATTTACAACATAAATATTGTCAATCGAACAATAATTCATGTCAAAATAATGGTAAATGTATACCTTATAATTATCATACAAATCATGATGATTTTATTTGTTTATGTCCTGAAAATTTTATGGGATCTTATTGTGAATATCAATCAAATAGAATCAATATTCACTTTAAAATCGATTCAATCCCATCATTAATTTTTGCTCATTATATAATTTCACATCATGATAAAAAACATGAACGAATAACAATGTTTAAAAAAATTCCATTTGATCAGTATTCCATTGACTTATTTTATACAATTCCATTTAATTTATTATTTATTGAATTTGAAAAGAAATATTATCTTACTGTATTAAGAGAAAAATCTATTCGATTCGAAAATATTTCTACGAATATAAATCAAGATTATAAATGTGAAGATATTAAGAAATTTTTAAATTCAACAATACTTAATTATAAAAATCTTCGTCGATTCAAATATTATCAATTACCATGTATAGAAAATTTCAAATTAAAATGTTTTTACGATGATAAATATATGTGTGTTTGTGATAAAAATCGATATTCAAATTGTTTTGATTTTGATCATGTGCCCTATGGTTGTCAAGGTAATAATTATTGTGAAAATAATGGCACATGTTTCCAAAATAATATAATTTGTCCATCAACTTCAGCATGTATATGTCAGAAATGTTATTATGGAAGTAAATGTCAATTTAATAGCATAGGTTTTAGTACATCACTTGATGTTATATTTGGATATCATATTAAACCATTTATTTCGTTTACAAAACAATCCAAAGCAGTAAAAATAACAGCATCCATAACAATTCTTATGTTAATATTTAGTATTATTAATGGAGTGTTATCTATATTAACTTTTAAAAATAAATCTTTACTTAAAGTAGGTTGTGGAATATATTTATTAACAAATTCAATTATATCAATATTAACAATAACTATATTTACAATAAAATATTTTCAACTTATTATTTTTCAAATGAAAACTATAACAAATACATCATTTATTCATTTTAGTTGTATATTAACTGATATACTATTAAAAATTCTTCTTAGTTTTGGTGATTGGTTATATGCATGTGTAGCCATTGAAAGAACATTAGCTGCTACACAAGGAATACATTTTAATCAGTCAAAAAGTAAATATATAGCTAAATATGTTATACCGATAATATTATTATTAATAAGTATATCTTATATTCATGATCCAATATCTCGTCGAATATTACATGATGATGATGATGAACAAAGAACATGGTGTATTCTTGAATATTCAACAACTTTAAAAAAATATGATAAATTTATAAATTTATTTCATTTTTTAACACCATTTATAATTAATATATTATCTGCTATATGTGTTACTATTCAGGTATTCCGAATACGTTTAAAAACAAAGAAAAAATCTGCATATAAAAAACTTCTTTATACTCAAATTCAACAAAATAAACATCTTCTTATATCACCATGTATTTTAATATTATTATCTATTCCTCGTTTGATTATTTCATTTTTATCTGGATGTATGGATTCAATACGTAATCCATGGTTATATTTAATTGGATATTATATTTCATTTATTCCACCATTACTTATTATTATATTATTTATTTTACCTTCAAGAACATACAAACAGGAATTTATTTCTATTATACAAAAAATAAATTTTTTCTCAAAATAAAAATAACATTTTTTTATTAGCTTGAGAAGACCCTCTGACCATGTCGGACCTAAAGAAACAGTTAAGCTAACAAACTTGAAGCAGTTTATGAAAGCAAGAGAAAGATTCAACGGATTGCACTAAGTTGGCAGACAGACATGCTCTGTCTGAGTCACACATGGAGAGAAGGAAAATGCAAGCAGGAACAGGAGAAGCACGGTTATCAAGCATTACTCATTTGAAGTTGTTATTGTTCTTTCTCTTTTTTCCTCTTATTTTTCATAGTCAACATTCATCTCTTCCTTTTTCGGTTCTCATCTTTTTTTTGTCAACATGACCTTTCAAAGTAATATTGCTCGGATACTTAAAAACTTTCTAGAAATTGAGCGAAGCATGTTAGTCCTCTTCATTATATACTGCTACTGAATCTGAAGTACCGTGGGACATCATCCACTCGCGTGCTTTCTCTAATATATTAACATGACATACAAATCTTCTCGATTTATATAGACATTGTATACGTTTCCTCATTCCACCATAAATTTCGAATATAAACGTGCAGAATATATTCTTTAAATCAATAGTCGAATGTACTTATGTTAATATTATTAACTTTTATTCTTTTCTTTTAAATAAAATAAATTTGAATTTGATAAATTCTATAAGTACTTGATTAATAATGGATAGTATACTGATTGATGTTCAAACAAAGATATGGTATTAATAGATCTATATAGGAATAATATTATTATATTAAAATTTTCTAATATAAATAGAAAATTTTCGATCTTATACAATCATTTTCAACCTATAAGTGATAATACAAAAAAAAAGTCTCAAAATATTATATTTTTCATACATTATTACATTAAAGTAGTGTTCTAACTTAAGTAAATTGTTATTATGGTTTGTGTTTATTAATAGTTGAATTTCAATATAGACACACATAAGAGGTAAATGAGATACTCTGTATCTCGCTCTCAAAGTCGTTCATTGTATCGAAGTGAATTATTTCTCTTTCATGGATAGTAATAAAAGAAATTTTGGATGAACTATTCTCTATTTGTGATAGAACTCTATTATCCGTTTGTCTGTAATTATTCTCTTGTACAGATAATTCATCTTGACAATATGAATAAGAATATCATGTTGTTCATATTTATTATTATTGAAGATAAAGAAAACATGAGAAAAAATAATAATAGGTAAGTATTTAGAGATTTGTTCATCTATTAAGTGATGAATAGAAATCAACAAATTCAGTTCAAGTTCGAATCGAAACAAATCTTGAAAATATTTTCTCATCTAAAATGATTCACTTAAATAGCTCAGTTGTATACGATCTATAACAGACGATTGTGATTCTAGACATGTTAAGAGAAATATAAGTCAGAAGAATTCAATTGTAAAAGGATTTATTTTTAAATAAGATGAAAAGAAAAAAATGACAAAAAAAGTAAAGTGTTTCATTAGAATTTATTTGATTACAAAAAAATAATTTCAATTAACATCAACATCAAACTTCACTATTTGATTATCCTGACTATCAGCGATATATAGATTTCCTTCTCCATCTAATGATATAGCTTCGGGTGTATTGAACAGAATTGGTGGGTGTTCGGAATTTCCTCCATTCATAACAATGTAACATTTTGTAGACCCTTTTGACCAGCGCACTATTCGCCTATGGTGAGAGTCTGACACATATACATTACCAAAATGATCGACAGCCATTCCGCACGGATAAAATGTCGGTGAGTGACTATATTCTGGAATTTGTTCCTTTGCAACAATAATCCTTCTTTTGCATTTTTTATCCATTTTGTGACACGACCATATTCATGATCAGATACATAAATCGAATATTGTTCATCAACAAAAATATAAGTAGGATTATTTAGTTGATCCGTGTTATATCCACACCCATTTTCACCTGCTACAGTTGTTACCTTTGTCTCTCCTTGTTTCAGTCGTTTAACACTATGTGTCTCTCCTTCTGAAACATAAATATTTCCATCATTATCGATTGTTACACCGTTACATTTAATTTCGTCGATAATTATTTTCGGATCTATAAGTTTTTGACGAGACCATTGTACTACACGTTCGTTTCCTTGATCACAAATAATGAGTAAATTATTTTTTTTATCAACAGTTACGTCTGATGGATTGTCTAATTGATTTAATTTATTTCCTTGTTTGTTTCCACCAGCAACGACTTCACCACTTTTTTCACCGAATTTCCATCCAACAATCCGGCCACTATTATATTGAGTAATATAAATCGTTTGGTTATCATCATCAATATAGATTCCTCGAGTTAAACTAACTTGATTTAAGTTAGTTCCATACCCATTTCCACCAGCGACAATAGAAAAATCTAATTTCCATTTAAGATAATTATTATTTGACATAGAAGTAAATGATGATTCTATTAGAAAAATAAATTAAAATAAATATTTATCAGATATTGACAGTCATTCCTCTTTACTAACGATTGTATCTATGAAATATCTTTCTAATTCTTAAAAAATATTGTAACATTCTATCGATTATTTTCTATCATATGTCAGAATATAGTTCAAGATATATCGTAAAATTCGAACTCGAACTATAATTTAATTGAACAACACATGAAACACAAATTGATGGTATTGATTTAGTCAATAAATTATCTTTTCTCTAATGTTTATCGCACAAAAATTTACCTTCTGTTGCTGTTGTTGTTGTAGTTATTATCGTTGTTGTTATTGTCGTTATTTGTGATGTATTTTTATTTTTTATCATAATAAAAGGTAATAAAATAGTTATTGATACTATAATTAAAATAATAATAACACCAAATGTAATCCATACGAGTTCTTTTCTCTTTAGAATATTTATATATCTAAACAAAAAAATGACTTTTATTTTTTTTTAGAGTTCTAAATTCACATACGATATTCTTGATTGATTAGTTGATGCTGGAGTTATTTTATCACTAATCGAATGAAACTAAAACAATCAAAATAATATTAGCATTATAGTTTGCTTTGTAAATTACATCATCATTCATGATTGATATTGTAATTGAATTTTCTTAAATGATAATCTATAAAAATTACAATATATAAATGATTCTTGCAAATTATACTCAGACATTTATCGAGAGAAAATAATTCATTTCCAAATGTTCTTATATTAATTTAAGATAATAAATGAACGATACAAGAATATTTTATTTTATATTTTTTATCCAATAGAAATTTTTTCAAATATTATTATTATTTTATCGTAGATTAACAGTTGTTATCTAGAAAAAACAACATAATAAATAACATTTATTGTTCATGATATTTTATCTCATTAAATCCAAATCTAAAGTACGTCAAATTTCATAGGTTAAAATTCGTTTCTACTTCTAGTCTAGCATTAATTTTCAATTTTACATTGATCAATTGATTGATTTGATTCATTTTAAACTAGAAAAGACCAGGAAAATGTTAACACATCGTCTAAAAAATTGGTCAAACTTAAATCAATATACTTCTATATTATTTTACAATTAACAAGAAAGTGTTTTCGAATTAAATTAGATACATTTATCGGTGATCTTTAAGGAGAAGATAATTAAATATAGGATTTTTTACTAAATATCATTGTAAAAACCATATGATAATTCAATTTATGAGAGTTAGTTTTAGAGATGAAATCAGGATCTTTAGTAGTTTTTAAAAATGCATATCAATCATTTAACTAAAAATAGAATTGATATTACTATTCATTTCAAAAATAAAGGCAAATGGATATTTCTTCAAACTGAATTAAATACATCAAATTTCTATTTCAGAAGTATATGAGCTAATTTAAAACGATGAAAGTTAATTCTATGCGTATCGATTTAAATAATGATAATCACTAAAATTTGAATATTTTTTATTTTTTGCTTTACAAATTGTCTATCGTGTTTAAGCGAAGTAAAAACAAGTTTAGTTTGTCAATTAAATTGGTAGACATATTTCTTATATGTTTTTGAAAACAAAATCATTCTTGAAATAACAATTTCATTGACGTATATTATTGAGTGCATATATTAATAAAAACAAAAATTTACTCGTTGCTTTTTTCAACATTTGTCTTGAACAAAATGATGCCATATGTGACTTATCATCTGCTGCAAATAGTGAATATAGAAGAAATATTATAATCTCCTATGTAAAATGCGGAAACCAATATCCTTAACTAATATTGAATGTAATTAACGTTAAAAAACATTGAAAATTAATATTTTTTAGAGGGAAATGCAAAGTTTCATGAGAGAAAAAATATTGTATTAGGATAAAGTAATTTCTCATGCTTTTTCACATCGAATTTCTACGAATACAATTAATATTTATTTTGATGATGATTAATTTTACATTGTTTTCTCAATGAAAAAGAAAAACATTCTCATTAGAAATTTTTTTTAATTATATTATTGAAATGAATTAATCAATAAAATAATACCGATGAATAACTGATCTTTGTTTAATCTTATTAAAAGAACGTTCTATCTGTCAATGGAATCAAGATCGATCTTTCAATACAACTCTACAAGAATAATATCGATATATTAGAATTAGTTAAAGCGTAATTGTTGCTCTATTATATTATTATAAGATGTTAAAAATGAAACTTTTTTCTTATTCATGTTTCTTTCTCTTTCTTTTTTGTATGGAGATGTAAACGGAGTTCTAGAACACTTCACATATGATTCGAAGAAACCGATGTAGAAGAAATGCTATAGGATTGTCTGAAAAGCTCGTGCAATTGTACTTTAATTATATGAATGAAATGCTTAGTTTATATTGATATGGAAAGCGTGAATTTCTAATATGGTAAAGATCTTCTCGACTATTTGCTCATTTTGTGGAAGAAAATTTGTTTTCACGACCGTATCTATTCATAGGAATTATTTAGTTTAGCAGTTAAAAATAGAATACGAAATAAATAGTATCCAACTGCAACCACCCCCAAAATATTGAAGCTGTGGAACGTATTATAATACATGATCGATAAATTTCTGTTCGCTACGTAGCCAATACGTTGAGCAGTCACTTAGCTATGCGTAAGATCTATATTTATTGGCTACCGAAATTCTTGACTCCACTTCAGTATGTTAACCAAAATGGGTGCGAGTGTTCTCCAGAGATTAACAAGTGACACCCACACCCTCAAACAATATCTTTCGTAGTCTAAATCCGAGATTAAAGAATTATAAACGATTATTCATCAAAATATAAAACAAAAGCTATAGTTCGTCAAATCTTTAATATATCTAAATTTATTAATACACCACGAATAAATAATTATTCTTTTCTTATTTTTTTTCGATCTTTCCTCTTTTTCAGATTGTTTTATTCCTCAACCACTATTTAAGATAATATTTTTTTCTTATTTTTTTTTATTACACGTAACACTCTCGTAAAGAATTAAAACTATAAATATGTCTGACAAGGTCATTTATACACGTACGTATGAATATGTGATCTCTTGTCAGTCGGCTGTGTCCATTACGTATTTATTATTTATAAGTTGTTCTTTGTACGCGCGCTTGAGACACGAAAAGATAGACTTAATTTAAAAAATAATTGAACAAAAGATTGTTTCATTTATTCATTAACTATTTTTTATAATTTATTTTTTACAGCTGCAATACTCTCGTTTACAATTTTTATATGAGGATGAGTTGGAGGTAATGCACGTTGGAGTATGTTCAGAGCGCGTTCATAATATGAAAGTGCTTTCGAATAGTCGTTCATATTGTAATACGACGTACCGATGAAGATGTATGAAGGTGCTAAATCTGGATGATTTGGAGAAAGAGTTTTTTGTTTAATTTCAACATCTTTTTCGTGAGCTGAGAGTGCTTTTGAGTACTCTCTCATCTTATAAAACATACTGCCGATGTTTCTGTATGAAGTTGCCAAATCAGGATCATTTGAAGGAACCATCTTTTCTCGAATTTCAAGTGCTTTTTCGTAAAATGAAAGTGCTTTTGAGTACTCTCCCATGTACTCATATACATTACCGATGTTGCTGTATGAAGTAGCCAATAAAGGATGATTTGAACGAAGAGTTTTTTGATAGATATCAAGCGCTTTTTCGTGAGATGAAAGTGCTTTTGAGTACTCTTTCATCTCGCCATACGCCAAACCAATGTTATTGTATGAAATAGCCAATGAAGGATGATTTGAAGGAAGAGTTTTTTGATCAATTTTAAATGCGTTTTTGAAAAATAAAAGTGCTTTTGAGTACTCTCCCATGCTGTTATATACACTACCAATGTTGCTGTATGAAGTACCCAAAAGTGGATGATCTGAAGGAAAAAGTTTCTGATAGATTTCAAATGCTTTTTCGTGAGATGACAGTGCTTTTGAGTACTCTCCCGTATTGTCATACGCCAAACCAATGTTATTGTATGAAGTAGCAAGATCGGGATGATTTGAAGGAAGAGTTTTTCGTTGGATTTCAATTGCTTTTTCGTGATATGAAAGTGCTTTCAAGTACTCTTCCATCTTGTTATATACACAGGCGATGTTGTTGTACGAAGTAGCGAAATCAGGATGGTTTGAAGGAAGAGATTTTTGGAAGATTTCAAATGCTTGTTCATAATATGAAAGTGCTTTCGAATACTCTCCCATGCCGTTATATATCGTACCGATGTTGTTATATGAGGTAGCCAAATAAGGATGATTTAGAGGAAGACTTTTTTGTTGGAGTTCGAGTTCTTTTTCGTAATATGAAAGTGCTTTTAAATACTCTCCCATATTGTAATACAAACCACCGATGCTGTTGTATGAAGCAGCCAATGAAAGATGATTTAAAGGAAGGGTTTTTTGTTTAATTTCAAGTGCTTCTTCGTAATATAAAAGTGCTTTTGGGTACTCTCCTATATTGTTATACACTAAACCGATGTTGTTGTATGAAATAGCCAAATGAGGATAATTTGAAGGAAGGTTTTTTTGATAGATTTCAAGGCCTTGTCTGAAATACCAAATAGCCTTTTTGTAATCACCTTGGTGATTTGTGGCATGTCCCAGGCCAAGATAATACGGCGCTTTTTCACCCTGATCAGATGTCTGTTCTAGTAATATGTTATAGAGTTCCTCAGCTTTATTAAATTGACCAATTCTAAGCAATAATGCACCCAATTTCTGCCGCCCTGTATCACCACTAGCTTCTTCTCGTATCCGATCAGTAAGTAATCGTAGTTGTTGATCATCATCCGATGTTAATTGTAATTCAACTTCATAAAGTTGATTCTCATTGTCCATTTGTTGAATTGCAACCACTCGAAAGACGGTGTGCATTGAGAAGAGGATTTCATCTTCGTCCTTAAGAGCACTCACCTCCTTGACGGAAGCGAATGGTGCTGATTTAACACAAGGATCAATGGACATCTTAAAAAGAATTCCCACCTTGTCCGATTCTGTTATAGCAATGCGGGCATAACCGATGGATAATACTTTATCTTTACTGGTGGACACGAAGTTGTTAAATGATATTAATCCGCCTTGTGTTTTCTGAAGTTTTTCGAAGTCTGATTTCAATAGACCTTGTCCTCGATAAACTACAAAGGGCTTTTTGTCATAATTACTGACTTGGTGTTCATATAACTGTTGAATCTGTTCGTGTACATCACGTAGAAGAAACCCCATAGTAATAATTTTATCGGCGTCCAGTGTTCGAAGCCCATAATTGAGCATAGAATAGATATTCGATGGAAAAGTATACCACCAAATAGCTAATTTAGCATGGTATTCTTTCTCAAAACGGTCAATATTTTTTTTCGACATGTAGTCATGATCTCGACAGTAAGCAATAAACTGTTTGATGGCTCGTTCATCATGTTTCAGATTAAGAATAATTTCTTTGAATAACTGTGTATACATAAAAGTCGGATCCAATCGATTTAAATTATCAGTTGACTTCATGTCATTTACTGTAACGAAGCTCATAGCAATCGAGTCTTGATGATATTGCTTAATATCCGATTGCAATCCTTGACATATATCATCAATGTTGGCATGAATGCTCTTGATTTTTTTCCATTTTTTTGTCATTTCTTCATGTAGGGGTTTAAAATCATTGAAGATATAAACACCAATCAGCTGCGGAATATCATTGATGAGAGGCATTATTTGTTGAAATATAGTATCTTTAACAACGAGAAAAGACTTGATGTCTTCTTGAGCATCTGTAAGAAAGTCGATGCATGCATCTCGTTGCGTAAAGACATTGACATCACCAGTAATAGTTTGTATTTGTTTTAATGCATTTTTATAATCTTCGTTTGTATGGTCGATGCTGGTATCTACCCATAGGAAAAGGTAGCTTTGTGCCGAACGTTGTCGTGGTTGTCGGATATTGGATGATGTCGTTGATTTGGGTGATGCAACAGCATTTTGATTTGATTCTGATTGGCTCATTCTCATCTTTTTGTGATTTGATTTTGATCCGCTCATTCTGATCTTGTTATAATTTATTATAGAATGTGAAATTGCAGAAGATATTGTTGTTTGAATGAAAAAAAAGATCACCGTTCTTCTTTACATTAACAGTGACTTGTTTTTTTCCCGATTATTTCACGACTTCGAATACGTGTGTTTTTTTCTTGTCCCTCAAGAACAAACTTCACCTGGTTACTTCCGAAAATAATGTTGTACAGAGCAAAAAAAGAAGGTAAAGTCAGACAAATTCATCGATGCGAAACGTACGACGGCAATTACGTTTTCAATGCTATTAACTAATCCAAAAAAGGCACAAATTACCTATTCAGATCCATAAAATACCCAACATACTCCTTGTTCGCTATTTCTAATCCTCATCTGAGAAACCGTGAAACATCAGATCTGATCCGAAAAAATCCAGAAAAATTCCGGATTCTTCAAGTTTCTCCGGTATATTTTCGGCTTCCGAACATCCGGTCAATTGTTGGAGTATGAAAATTAAAATATTAGATAAAATGTTATTTTTATCTAATTGTTTTTTAGATTTTGATTAAAATGAAAAATAATTGACACAACTTTTCTAACAAAATATCTAATAATACATTTAATATGTTGTTGATATGCAGTAAATATATAAACGATTATTAAAAACAATGACCATCTTAAATTATTTTCAATGACTAAAATTGAAAAATTTTCAACTGAAAAAGAAAACCTATTTGCGGCTTATTATTATCAGATAATGAAATGAGGTTCGATCTGCTATTTGAAATGGATCTAATTAAAAATATGTTGTGCTACTATATTGAAAGAAAAAACACTAATTATTCATTTTTTTCGATACAACTTATGTAATATAAAAAGCTCCAGCATATTCACATAAATATGTCATATATTATCTAGTGCATGGATTATTTTTTGTATGTGTTCGATAATGGATCAACATTTTTATAAAAGTAAATTTCATTTTTAATGTCTCATCTGTTTTACTAACTGATTGAATGATATTTTATCTTAAATTCCACATGTGTATAAAAGATGAAAAACAGATATTATTGATTTACTCGCGATATTTAATCCATTATTTTTTGATTTTTCGCCTGTGAGATTATCGCCACCCTAAATTACAACTTTTCACAACAAATACTCTCTATGATGAGATTCAATTAGACCTAAATTTTCGTATCTTAAGTATGATGACAGTGATACAAAAAGAACATATTATTCATAGCAATGAGGCATGAATAGAGAAAAAATGTACAAACGAAGGTTTATCGTAAGAATTATGTCAGTAATATATTTTTAGATTTGAGTTCAATGTTGATTGATGATATAACCATATGTAGATATTTTGAATCCTTTAATGACTTAAATGCTTTTTGTAGTAAGGCAGAAAAAATAAGTTTTGATTTATGTACTTGGACAAATAAATATTTGTCATAATAAAAAAAGAAGTTACTAGATTTTTAACATTTATAATTTATGATTGAATGGATAAGAGCAAGATATATATCAATATGACAATGACTTTTCTTTTTTTGATATTGTATAAAATAACTTTAAAAAATTAATTAAAATTACGCGTACATCTGTTTTTTTAACTATAATATACAAATGTCAACATATGTCATCACCATGGATTTTAATTTAACTAATAAAATGTTTGATGATGTCAATAACAGTGATAATAAATAACAGACAAGCACTATTATTGATCGATGATGATAATAAATAAGCCGAAGAGATGCATACGTTGACATATTCATGTTCATGGTTATGTTTCACTTGCGATTTTCTTTTTCTTTTCCTATGATTATATTACTAAGAATAACAACAATTATATCGACAACGAAAAGAACAATTTACATGATAAATATCAAGGTAAATATAATTTGTATGTTACTATTATGAAAGAAAAATTTATTTCTAAAGTTTACCAGATCTAATTAAAATAGGGGAAAAAATAAAGATTTTGTAGAAATGTTATATACTACACATGGTTGCTTTACTAGAAGAATTCATCGTTTACGATTGCGTCATTGATTATTGATGGATTCAAGATATTTATGGGTTATTGTATATTGTATTGATTCTACAGACCAAGAAATAAGATCGGAAAAAGAGAAAAAGAGAACAAACAGTGAGGTTCATTTATCTTTCTCGTTACATTAACTGTACATTTTTTTTTCCTTCACTATTTATTTGTCTGTATCTATACAAAGATCATTACTTTTCTACAACTCTGATAAAACATAAAAGTTTGTCTTCTTTTACCCTTATATATATAATACTTAAATATAACAAAACGACAAAAGCATCTTATATGATTTTTAGTTTAGAAAAAGAAAAAATATGAAGTGATCGATTTCATACTGTTGTTACATTATCTTTCTCATATTACTTTTGTTAAATAATGGTAACAAATGATTTTATGTTATTACCATCGATACTATTAACAAAGACATATTATGTTGTACGTGAAGAAACAACATATACATATGACAAGAACGATAGTGACGAGTTATCTGAGACAGGCAAGTGAAAAGTAGAAAGTTCTTTTTTTTTTCTTCTTCATTTGCTTTATTTGAAGAACATATATGATAAATTTAGACTTTAATCCTATTCAATAGACATTGTCATTTGAGAACATAATGATTGTATGTATACATATATGTTTAAACAATTACTAGAAGAAGAAAAAAAAGTAGACAAGTGTGTCAAAAGGTTGACTATGTTGTCTTCCTTTTTTCTTAGTCTAATCTTTACTTCTCATTTCTTAATAATCCTCTTTCTTTCTCTATTAGCCATCTGCTTATCATCATCTTTGATAGTAATAGAAAGGATCTACTGCTGAGCAGATACCATTCGACATATCATCTGATATGATAGCAAGAAATTACCTTGCCATTCTCTATGTTATACCAAAGGTTCATATTCTCTTTCTTTCTTTCTTTTGTTGCTGTTGTTGTTATTATGATGGCAGCAATCAGTGTACAACAATGTTGCTTCATCACTTTTTTTTTCTTCGTCTATATACTTCTTATATGTTGTTCGATCGAGATATTCATGAAGAAAGAAAGAACAGAAGAGTAAGACAGAATTGTACAGTGGTTGGAACAAGCATCTTCTCTTTTTTCTTTCTTTCTTCGGTTTGTATACGAACGATCATCTAGCTTTTGCTTCTTTCTATCTGTCTGATTCTCGAGTAGTATAATCTGAAATGTTTATTTTATACGGTAAAGCTCAGTAAGAAAAAGAAACCAAAGAAATTCTATAATATGTTTATAAAAAAAAGCAGATATACAATACTATGATCCGGTAGTTTAATATAGATAATAAAATCTTAATTTTATTTTCCTAAAATAGAATACAGAATGGGTAAGGGATTTAAAAGATAAAGCTATTGTCATTCAAAAAAAAAGAATCTTATTCTATATTTCTTCTAGACTCACCCGAACCTATAAATATCAATCAATCGCAAACCATGAATCCTTCAAATGAATCGGACAAATATCTTCATTCAACACATGAACATTCTTTTCCCAATCAAAAATATATGTTATCATCTTCTCATAGTCCAACATCATATCAATATCCATTGAACACTACTAATCCTCTCATATCAGATGATTCCGGAAATGAATCAACAACAAATTTTCATAAAAAATCCAATCAACATTTTGTTGTTGTAGCAATTGATTTTGGTACAACATATAGTGGTTATGCATTTGCATTTACACGAGATATTGATTCAATTTTAATGATGCGAAAAGTTGATGGAAATGATCCCGGTTCGTATTAATTCTATTTTCTAGTTCATTGAGAAATCAATTTTTTTCTTTGTAATTAATAGGTGTAATTAATCAAAAAACGCCAACAACAATTTTATTAACACCAAATTTAGAATTTCATTCATTTGGTTTTTTTGCAAGAGATTATTTTCATGATCTCGATCCAGATGAAGCAAAACGATGGTTATTTTTTGAAAAATTTAAAATGCATCTTCATTATGTACAAGTAAGAGCAATTCGTCTTTTTTTTTGTTCGAGACAAATTATTAACTAATATTATGCAAGAAAATAGTAACATTCTTTCCATAGATGATCTATTACATCATTCAAGTAAAATATGATCATGATTGACGATTGTTTAATATAGCGAAAAATGATAATTAATATTTTTGTAATCTAAATAAGAAAGAAAATAAATATACATATGTTACTTTCAATCCTATATATTCTTATTTTCTATACAAAATATTGATTGAACTAAAGTAATAATGTAGAAGTTGATGTGAATATAATTAAAGTAGACAGTTGTGTCTACATGTCTATTCAATTGTTTTTATCTTTATATAGAGCTTTTAACACATATATTCTTTCTTTTCGTAATATATAATTATATTTTTAAGGACCTTAATACACAAACATTAATTACTGCAAGTAATGGTCGTAAAGTTCCTGCATTAACAATATTTACTTATGCTTTACAATATTTTAAAGAACATGCTTTACGTGAACTCTCAGATCAATCAGGAACAAGATTTGTTAATGAAGATGTTCGATGGGTTATTACAGTACCTGCTATATGGAAACAATCAGCTAAACAATTTATGCGTGAATCAGCTTATCAAGTTTGTAATCAATGAATTTTTTTCGTTGATAAACTAAATTTTATTGTAGGCTGGTATTGCATCAAGAGAATTTCCTGAACAATTACTTATTGCTTTAGAACCCGAAGCAGCATCAATATATATACGTAAACTTCGAATGCATCAATTTGTTTCTGATGACACACCTTCCTATTCTCGTAATTCAATCAGACATGAACATGGTCTATTATCATCGTCAATTTCCAATCAATCATCACCAATTTTTTTCGATTCTGATAAATGTTAGTATTAAAAAGATGAAACGAAGAGTAATGATATTTCAGCTTTTTTTTATCATAGAAAAAACATGTCTATTATAAAGACAGATGAAAGGTAGAGAACACATTGACCGAATATTTTTCTGTATACATATATAAATGAGTAATTAAACAAAGAGAAGAAAAACATGAAGTTTAGATTATGTCTGAAGAATAATACTATTGAGTATAGAATGACCCTGAACAAGTCACTAGTGGCTATATGTCTCAGATTATCTGTTCGATTAAATTATGATAACTACCTTATAACATACATCAATCATTATGAGTAAGATGAATTTGATTTGTTTATTGAATTAGTATCAACTGAACACAGTGAATATCATACAAATACTCAAACATTTGAAGTTGTTCTTGATATTGGTACACGTTATATTGTTGTTGATTGTGGTGGTGGTACTGTAGATATGACTGTTCATGAATTAGATAATAAAATGGGAACATTAAAAGAATTATATAAAGCAACTGGAGGACCCTATGGATCAGTTGGTATGTTTAGATTTATCTAAATAGAAATATTAATTTTGTTAATTATAGGTGTTGATCAAGAATTTGAAAAATTAATGAGTTCAATATTTGGTAAAGAATTAATCGAAGATTTTAAAATTAAACGACCGGCTGGTTATGTTGATTTAATGATTGCATTTGAAGCACGAAAACGTACAGCTAGTCCATTTAAAAATAGTCCATCGAATATTTCATTACCATTTTCATTTATTGATTTTTATAAGAAAAAAAAAGTATATTTATTTATTATTACGAACTTAAATAATTCATTATATCTATCTTTATTTCATATAGGGTTCAGCAATTGAATCTGCTATTCGTCGTTTTAATGATCCAGATATAAAATGGTCAACACAAGGCATGATGAGATTATCATCGGAAGCAATGAAACGACTTTTTCATCCAACAGTTGAGAAAATCAAAAGTACAATTGGTGATGTTTTAAATAGTCCAGATGTCAAGGGTAATTCCATATCATTTCTCTACGTTAAAATAAAATGTATTGTAATATTAATTTTTATTCATATAGGTATTCACTATCTTTTTCTTGTTGGTGGTTTTGCTGAATCGCCTATACTTCAACATGAAATTCGTCGTGCTTTTTCATCTATTCTTAAAGTGATCATACCTCAAGATGTTTCATTAACTATATTAAAAGGTTTTTTCTTTAAATTTACCTTTAAGAATACTAAATTATTTTTTTCAGGTGCTGTTCTATTCGGCCTTGATCCAACTATTGTTAATGTCCGTCGTTCACGTTTAACCTATGGAGTTTCTGTACTTAATCGTTATGTTTCCGATTATCATCCACCTGAAAAGAAAATTGTTAAAGATAATATTGAATGGTGTGCTGATATATTTGATAAATTCGTTCTTGTTGATCAATCAATTGGTCTTGGTGATACAGTTGTAAGAAAATATACACCAGCAAGACATAATCAAGCACAATGTATCATTTCATTTTATTGTTCCGAATCAGATAAACCAATGCTTGTTACAGATACGGGTGTAAGAAAAATTGGTAATTAATTAATTTGAAAAAACAATTTTTTTTAATATAGTTTTTTTTTGAATTATTATTATTAGGTACACTCGTTCTTGATATGTTTCATGATGGTTTTCCATTAAATTCTTCGACATTAAAAGATCGTCGACGTGAAATTCAAACACGTATGGTTTTTGGTGATACTGAAATAAAAGTGAGCGCATTGGATGTTACAACAGGCAAATGTGTTCGAGCAACAATTGATTTTTTAAATAAATAATATTGTCTATATATATACATGTTGACGAATAGTCAAATATTTGATCAGTAGGAAAATTTATCTGAAGTTATTTTTTGTTTTATTTCAACTTGGTTTTTTTTTGTCAATTTTCAATTTCGTTTCATATGTTTGAACATATAATATACTTATTTCTTTTTCTTTTATATAATGTGAGAAGAAAACAGATTCTTCTATATTGTGTATACATATATATATGATATTTAGTTTATATTTATATACAATTTATTATTAATATTAATTACATAAATTCTTATAAGAAAGAAACAAACAATAACAGAAATGAAAAGAATGAATAATTGGGAAATAGGAGATTTATTATATACATATTAATAGTAGCGCATAGACATCGAAATATGTAACTGCTAAATGATAATTGAGATAACATCTATCATAGCTCAAATTTCTTTCCATCTATTACTTGTTACATATTTGATCTCGATATAATCAATAAATAACCGTTCCATTTTAGATCATATTTCAATGATATAGATGCCTTTCAATAAGTGAGCTATTGATACAAGGTTGTGTCATTAGTTTTGCATTAGATTATATTATGCTCATAACGTTAGGTTTTGACTATAGCGCCATCTGTTACCGACTTTGATTATTATAAGAATCAACTTGAAATTTGAATAAACTCATATCACAAAGGTGATGATTATCTTGATTTTAAGTATTTGCAAAGTAGTATTTGATATCTAATAAGTCGTTACTAAGTAACAAACCTTTATAAAATTACAAATGGCAGATACGTATAGAATTTTATGAGCGAATACTGTAGTTTTTTTTGTTGATATAGTAATAGAATATGGCTACATTAACGCAGCTACAATCTGCTACGCAAAATTCTACAACCGAAACAATAACACAAAACCGTTTTCCTCTTGTACATGTTTTAACATCAAAACCAGAAGATAATGTAGATAAGGTTAGATAATTTTTTCAAATGAAATTGTATTTCTATTTGAATATTTAGAAACAAGAACCATTCGATTTCGAAAAAACTATTAAATTTCTAATCGATCCTCATGCAGTAAATATGATTCGAAAATCAGAATTAATTATAATTAAATTTTTTTTGCTTTATTAGTCACATCTACTCGATCGACGAATTCGTCAATGTCAAAAATTATGTCGATATTACAAAAATGGATATGTAATTATTTTGTTTATTTTTTAATAAAATTCTTTATTTTGAAATTTCTAGATTCTCAAGGATTTACATTATCTTATGAAAATTTTCAATATACTCGCCGATCTTTGTCAAGATCAACCAAATTATATTGATCCATTTATAGAAATTTTACAAAATTGTTCAAAACCATTTCTATTAGATAAATCAACAGATGCAGAAATTTATTCAACAGCACTTACAGCTTTCTATTCAGATTTTGGTAAAAATAAAATATATATATATATATATTTTCATTGAAATAAATTTTTTCTAGGATATTTACTTCGTATACCAATAAAACGTATTCAAAAATGTATACTTGAAACACTTTATAAATCAATTCAATCATCAAATAAATCACCATTACCATCTAATAATTATGATGGATTAAAACCAGCTACAATGGATTATCTTCTGAGTATTCAATGTAATAGTGATCTTTGTGAAACACTTGTGAAAGTAAACGAAAGAAAAAAAGTTTTAATTTTAGTTAAATTTTTATTTTAGACACTTTCTCTTGTCGAAGAAGATTTATCCTTACGTATGTTAATTGTAAAATTATTACAAAGTTTTTCATCAAAATCAAGTATGAAAAATATCCTATAAAATATATACGATTTTTCTGTTTTTTAGCTGAATGTATAGCAAAAATGTTAACACATGATTGTGTCAATCGTTTAGTATTGAAAATAAATGATACTGATTCAACTGGAGAGTAAGTTTCATGAAACAACAATTAATTTTAGACATACAAAGTACTTAATAAGCACTTTATTCTCTTTCTCATAGAGAAGAGCCTTGCAAACATAAATTGTCTCTCCGCAGGGTCAAAAAAACATCGAAAATCGATTTTCAGAGGTATTTCGATGCGGGGACTTCGAATCTGATGTTAGTTTTTTGAAATTGTATAAGCAAAATGCTCACTAGCATTGTAGAACACGATTTCTATGAGAAAGAGCTGAGCGAGTCCCTAGACGAGTGTTACTTGTATCATTAATTTGAATCATTTTTAGATTTTTATTTCGTACAATTGAAACACTTTGGAATATACTTGAACATGGTGATGAAGAACAAATAAGTGATCAGCTTAATTCTCGTGTTACCATTAGGTATATAAAAAAAACATTTTTCTTATTCATTTTGTTTATATAATTAATATTTAGTCTTTTACAAGAAGCATTTCTTGGTCAAGTAACTCAATCTCATAGTCAATATCATCGTCAATTAAGGTTTAATATAAAATATATATTTCTTAAAGAAAATTTTAATCGAATATTTTTTTAGAAATGATATTCTTGTTGTTTGTTCTCTTATTATTGGTCTTAAACCAGATGCTCCATTTGTTGAAACTGGTTTTGCTAAACAATTACTTTTATTTGCTTCATATCCAGAATGTAAAAAATACACATATATAATAAAAATTATTTTTATATTTTTTTGTTTAGTACGAAGCAATAGTCCATTAGTAAAAAATTTTAAATTAACAGCAGCACAAGAAGATTTTGAATTTAAAAAATTACTTTTTAATACAGTTGTTGTACTTAGTAGAAATCCTGTTATGAATGAAGTAAATTGTATAATTTTATTTTATTAAAATAATTATAAAACTTTTTATTTATAGTTAATGATTGATAGTCGAGTATTACTTGCTTTTCTATCCTATATTGAACCATTACCAAGAAAAGCTCAACCAGGAAATAATTTTGAATGGTCATTAGCTCAAATTGAAGAACTTCAATTACATGCAATTGCAGCGCTTTCAATTCTATTACCACGATCATTAAATGAATATTTTGAATATCATGTTGGTACAAGATTATTATTATTCTATGAATGGACAATAAATGATGGTTAGAATTTTTGTCTTCTTCGTTTATAATCTATAAATAATGAATTGTAGATGAATTTCAAAGTCAAGGAAATAGTTTTTTTGGAAAAGGTGGTCGAAATAATAAACGATCACAATTAAGATATGTTCTTCGATTATTTCGTAGTATTGTATCAACAAGAGATGAACGTATACAACTTGATTTATCTGATCAAGGAATTATTCCATCAATTACAGGTACAGAAGAAAAAAAACAAATCTATTAAATATTTATTCGAAATTTTATTTCTATAGGATATTTAAGACGTATATCACAACAAAAAACAATTCATATGGATTATGTGGATTTAGATGTTATTTGTGATGGATTGTTTATTTTAAGTTGTCTATGTGAATTAGATGTTCATAGAAAAGTAAAATAATTTCTCCTCTTGAATTTTTTTTGTAAATAAATTTTTTTTAGGAAATTTTCGGTTCTGAAGGTATTGAAATGTTAATTCAATTACTTGTCGTTGAATCTGCATATGTTTGTGGTGGTCTTGGTTATCATCGTTTACTTGTTGCTGCTATTGATTGTGTATGGTGTTGTGTTGTTGGTAGTGTTATCAATGAAGATGAATTTATTCAAAAACAAGGCATTTTTGCTTTACTTGATCTTATTGCAGTATATTTAAATTTATTCTATTTATTGAAATCAAAATTCTTTTTCTTTTTGAAATAGACTAACCCAAAATCATTACAAAATATTGTTCTTGGTTGTGTATTAGATCTAACAGAAAATAGCAAATGTCTTCATTTTCTTATGGCATGGCAAGGACATAAACAACAACAATTTACACATGTTCTTTGTGAATTATGGCGAGATGAAGAACGTGAAATTTATGTACGTAAAAAAAAAGAAATCCCTATATTCTCTTTTTCGCAGAGAAGAGTCCAGTAAAAATTAATTGTTTGCTTGCTTGTCTGTCCGCAGGGTCAAAAAAACATTTCTAGAGGTATTAGCGAGTGAGGAGTTCGAATCTGAGGTCTGTTGGGTGACCATGATGAGGGAAGGATGAAGAGGGATCAAAGAAACATCGAAACCCGATTTTTCACGATTTTCAATTGTTTTTCCAGTAAATGTGAAGAAGATACGTTTCTACGAGAAAGAGCTAAGCGAGTCCTCGGACGAGCATTACTTGTTCGATTTAAATCAACTTTTATTTTTTCGTTCAAAGGTATCTCGAACAGAAAAAGGCGTTATTCATGATCATACAAAACCATTAATGGGTATTCTTCAACAAACAGTTCCAATAACACCACTTGGACGTTTAGAGCCATCACGATCAATATTAGATTTAATTGATAATATGAGATCGAAAATCTATGGATTTTTTTGTAAATTAGGTTTTACTGATTTACCTGGTTTACATGAAGAAGATTATGTAACATTATGTATTATTGAAAATTTTCTTGATTTTAAAATGGGTGAAGTATGGCAAGAAATTGTTGCTGAACTTGATATGGAAGGCGTGAAATTAGTTGCACCTGATAATGAAGCGGCAGATACAATTTTACGCGCAACAGAAGAACGTGGATTAGGTAATAAGATAAATTATAATATTATTATCATCGTGTTTTTTTTATTGAAAATTGTTTTTAGCTGTTGCTGCAACACAAAATTATATTCTTGAGGAATATCATAAACAAGATTTACAATATGAAAAAGCATTTTATGATGATGTAATATAGAAGAATATTATATTTATTCATATGTATATATGTATTTTATTTTTAAGTTAATACGAAATCATATTTATAAAGAAAAACGGACTGAACAATGGAAATCATTTGTTTTACGAACATCAAAATATCCATTACTTATGGTAAGAAAAATTCGTTTTTTGCAATTGATTTTATTTATTTTTGTTTTCGCGTAGGCTGCGAAAGATTATCAAAATCAAGCTGTTCGTCAATCACGACCAGAAGAAAAAGATTATTCAGATTATCATACTGTTCATAATCTAGAAATTCCAAATCTATCAATAACAGTATGTTTAAATTTATTTTTGTTATTATAACTATCTAGAATTTATTTCTAGGCATTTGCTGGACCATTTTTACAAATTGAGAGTACACCTATTGAATTATTAAATAAACAGCGACAAGTCGAATTAACATCATAAACAAAAAAGAACTGAAGAAATTTTTCGATTGATTAACATTATTTTATTTTTAAATAAATTTAACTAACATACAGAAGAAAAATTAATAATTTTCTTCATAGAAATAATCAATGTTTTGTTTAAATGGATTGAGAATGATGAATATTCTTATTATGCTGATATTTTCATAAGTACTAGATAAGAACAACATGAAAATATTAGTTTTGACTAAAAAATTAGTCAGTGGTAATCGTAGTTTATATATTGACAATACTGTACATACATTTGTTATATCTGATCAATTATAAAAACAATAGAACTACAGTAACTAACACAAATAAGATTCTTTTAGACATTCACTAACAGACTGGCTCTATTAAAACAAGTATTTGTTATTCATTTATATATACTCATCTATGAACAAAAAACACATGTTCGAATAGGAATACTAACTAATATAACACGAAAACTTTACAGGAACCATAGATTGAAAACTAGCAACAAGTTATTAATCTTTTTAATTACAGAAACAAAACTAGATTATAGCAGAATAAGATGATTTATTCTTCATGAATCAGTATTGATTTGAATGCTTATTTAAGAAAATTGTGCACGTTCAACAAATATATATATTTAACCTTTTTTCTTTCTCCGTCCTTGAAACTTTACTAGGAAGAAAAATGAGTAAAAAATAAACTATAAAAGTCGTCATAGTATAAAATAACAGAAAGAAAAATAACAGAACAGAACAAAATAAGATTCCGGACGTCAGTCGGTATATACTCATTGTATATTTGCTCCAATCCTTTGCTTCGATTCTTATTCATATATATTTAAACGTGTGACAAATGTTTGCTGAATTTGCAAAATATTTTTTCACTTGACACACAACAACATAAAAACAAGGAAGAAATACGATCTATGTATCCTAATCAACAATATCCTCAAGCAGGTAGAGGTACTGGAGTTCCATATCCACAACAACCACCATATGGTGGTGCTGGTCAAGGATATGCAGGGTAAAGAATCTACATAAAATTCACTGAAATTTTTATTATTATGTTTAGTGGTTATCAACAAAATGCACCATCACCATACGGAGGTAATCAATTTGCTGGTAATCCGTATAATCAAGGAGGACAGCCTTATGGACAAAATAGTGGATATAATCAATCAGCCTATGGTGCTAATCAATATGAACCAAGCCCCAATGCGCCTGGAGCTCGTTATCCTCCACCACAAAATGCTGGTTATGCTTCTAATTTTGGTAATTTTATGTCCAATGATCAACGAACACAAAGATTAAATCAAGTGATTCAACAATATGAAATTAATCAACAATTTGCTGCACGTTTACAAACACTTGGTAATTGTGAAATTGTTTTATTATGTGATGATTCAGGTAGTATGAATACACCAATTCAAGGAACTAATCAAACACGATGGGATGAATTAAAATCTGTATGCTTCAAATATAAGAAAATCTTGCTATTTGTTTTTATATATTCATATTTATTAATTTTAGCTTGTTAATATTATTGTTGATATTAGTAGTATAATGGATTCGAATGGTATTGATGTTTATTTTTTGAATCGAGAACCAATGTTAAATGTAACTGATACACGTTATGTTCGACAAGTATTTAATACACCACCACAAGGTTTAACTCCACTTGTACCAGCATTACGAAGAATTCTTGCATCTAAACGTAATCAAACAAATGAAAAGAAATTATTAATTCTTGTTGCTACTGATGGGTATAAATATAAAATAAACTAATATTTTATTTTATTTTTGTTTTACTAGAGCACCAACAAATGAATATGGACAAGTTGATATTGGTGCATTAGAAGGTGTTCTACGTCATGAACGTACACCACAAACATATGTTACATTTTTGGCTTGTACAGATGATCTTCAAGCAGTAAATTATTTATCAAATTGGGATAAAATGATGCCTAATATAGATGTAATTGATGATTATCGTTCGGAACGTGCTGAAATTCAACGAACACGTGGAGGAAATTTTCCATTTTCATTTGGCGATTATATTGTTAAATCGTTATTAGGTGCTATTGATCCATGGTATAGTTTTTATTTTTCTTGAATTTAGTTATCATAAAAAATTTCGTCATTATTTTAGGTTCGATTCACTGGATGATCGTGCTTAAAAAATAAACAAATTATCAAAAAATTGAATGATTGACTTTTACTTATGCTTATGCTTATTTAATATTGAGAATTTTTGAATAAATATTCTTACTCATCGAAATGAAATACTCTCATTACGAATATAAAATCAATTATAAAAGAAAAGAAAAAAGTAGTTTATTTTGAATTTTCTCATTGATAACTCTTCTATGAAAAATATGTAACAATGATTAGAATAATTTAATAAAATCTATGTACAGGTACTTTAAGAACACATCTGTAAATCAATAATATGATTAATCATGTTACTATTGCGAAAACATTTTACATCGACGAAAATAACAAATATTTAATTCTTTTAATCTCTATTTGTTCAGCGGTATTTAATATTATATCATGTTATTTTACAATCCTTCCAATGATAATAGTGATTTTTTTTCTCTCTATTGTTCGTCTTCTTCTTTCTTCTTATCTATTGACAAACATAAGATTTCACTTAAAGGTAACCAACTATCTTTGAATAAGTATTATACAAGTTTAACATACCATTCATGTACTAGTGTATAAACGAGCACGCATTATCTTTTATATCTAGTAACTGGACTATTCGTCGTACGGACAATTCGTTGCATGGTAAATAAGTTATAGCGAGGTTAATACACGGTGAGAGAGAGAAGGGGAAAACAAAACATCGACTTTACTGTCAAGAGAAGTATTATCTTTGATATTTCGAAAACTTTTTTTATCGCGACAAAAAATGATATCGAAATTTCGCAGGGCGATTTTTTTCTATGATTATAGGACATATATTTTCGAATCTTTGTCTATTATACGAATACTATTATAAAAATGATCTTAGCTCTTTATTCGATTAGTAAAATCACATAATAATAATAATTTTATTCTAATGACTTAGCCCGTTTCCATTGCAATTTACACGATTTTTATGCGCAATTTCAAAACTTTAGAAATATGCATTCATATCGTATCCGTTCAAATGTTAAATGAGATTAATATTGAACTGATCATAGATCAGTCATTGTATCTTCCTTGTAAGTTTTTGAGAATTGTCACTCTTGACCTTCTGACTCTTGATCTTAAATCGTGTTGCTTCTTTGTATTTTTTTCTCTAAATACAAACACAATATTGATTTTTCCTTGAAAACCTAAGATCACAGAATAATGAAATATATTGCAACATGATGTCATTTCATATATTTTTAACAGGACGACTATAAGGTAGATGTTACATAGATATTAGAAGAGATCATGGAGAATACATATACAACGAATTAAATCAAATGTAGAAGTTAGAAATTTCATTAAAAAATATATTGAACCATCATAATAATATATTATATAATCTGTCGTTTATTTATTTTGTTTCTTTCTCACGTCTTTCTCTTCTTTTCCCTTTCTATTATTTATATAATACCAAACTTTTCACTTCTCCACTATCAAGTTATATATACCTTCATGAATGTATGTCTATAACACTTATAATCATTCACTACTTTCAATTTCTCTTCTCTTCTCTTCTTTTATATTTAACGCCTCAAGATCAAAATACGTAGCAAGAGGTGTGACAAAGATCTAATCGTAACTAATTTAATTCGCTTTTTTATGAATGTATATCTTGATAACCCTTAGGGGATCAATAAACTAATATGTCAAAAAAAACAAAAACAAAAACATATGCAACGAATTGTCTGTGATGACTTGATCTAGTATACATTTTTTTTTCTTTTTCTTTTTGTACTTCTATTTCAAAAAACCTTAGTATTATCTTATCATCAATTCATTTCTGATTGATACAATAGTATAGAGTTCAACTGTTTATAAATATATTATCAATTGGTTATTAACAGTACTCAACAGTATGGTTCAATTAGCAGGATTATTTATGAACAGGTAAGATATTGTTAACAAAATTAACAAAAAAGGTACAGTATAGAAAAGCTAACAAATTATAATAGAAGTTGAATGATGATAAAACTTTGTTATAACACAAAAGTAGACGATGTTGAGTTATTGAAAAATTATCGCGCAAGAAAAAGAATTTCGATTGCCTCTTTTAAATTGAATATTAATCTCAAAATTAGCTTCTCATATTCGTATTAGAATTAAACATCCAATAAAGTTAACTCACCTTCTAAGTTCTTCGTTATTCAGAATAATTTGTATCATTCATGTTTAATATTGATTCGAAATATTTGCACCGTATGAACGATTTTTCTGATAGAAGATTATAGTAACATTTATCTCAATCGTAGGATGATTTGTATAATATATTTTTCATTGATATCTAGCACCCTCTATATAATTGCATTTGATTGTGTAATATTTTCTAACTAATAAAATTACGACGAACAAACCTCACGAAGTATATTGTCAGCTGTCTGCATAGACAGGCAATTCAAATTATGCGTCATCATGATTGCGGATAATTAATAATGATAAAAAAATTAATAAAAATATTTTTGCCCATTTTAAAGATGTATACATCAAAAGAGCAATATGAGCCACTTCTATCTTCACCATCACTTAGTAGTCTAAATGATCAATCAAATGATTACAGTCGACTTTCATATCCATGTCATTCAGTTAAATTAAGTTAAGTTTTATCGGATTTATTTATATTACAATGAATAGTGAAACACTACGAGCATTGCTCACTCGTGCACATATTGTATTACTTTACAAAAAAGCAACCATCTTTCGAAGACGAAGGTGGATTAAATTTTCAATTATTTTTTATAAATTTATTAAATATTTCGATTATTCTTTTATTATTTAGGCGCCGAACAGTTATTCTTGTACTTGCCTTGGTTACTGTCCTAGTCGTATCTGGAGTTATTGCTGGTCTTGTTTATGGTTTGAAAAGACGTAAGAAAAAGTTTTAAAATAAAATTGATTTCACATAAAGATGTATTTGAACTATGACACCTATTTAAGCGCTAAGTAAAATTTGTATATACTCAGTAAGTAAGTTGAATGCTCATGTGGAATAATATTTCTCTATAATTAAAAAATTTTCTAAGTGTATTAATTAATATGTATGTTAAATTTCTAATTACTAGGTCAATTTATCGGTAAAAAACATATTTTGGTAAATAGAAAACATAAGTTTGATAAGTAAAAACAAATGACGAACAAATTATTATTTTCAGTTCGTTCCTTTTTACATACATCACATATACCTGGATTTTTTTCGTTCCAGTCCATCACATATGTTCGATTTTTTCCTTCCTTTTTCTATTTGTCATCTTTTCATATGTATATTATGTTTGTTGAGATTTCTTCCAGCTGCTCTACCTCGATCACCCCATGGACATTTCCTAAGAATGTACGATTCACTCCCCTATATATAGCCTATGATTTTTACAAATAGATAATGTGTGATTCAAGTATACTGATATTCAGTCTTATCCAACTGACTATCTGAAGGTACTCATGTGACACAAGTTTTATATATACATATAATGATCATTTTTTGAAGGTGGGTGGTTGTGGGCATTGTTTTCGCACCACACCCACACCCTTTTTTTACTTAGTTTTCATTTGAAATTATTATCAGAATGATTAATAAATATTTTCCTCTAAAATTCTGCAACTGAATATCGTTTTTATGAGTTTTACCATCTGGATTATATCACATCTATCATGACAAATGAAAACAATACATGAAAAACGTCTGGTTACTATCCGATATTCCAAATAATTTCTCTAAAAAGTAGTGCGAGCTCATTGATTCTCACCGAATAATTTATCAGGATAAATGAAAACCATACTGTTTTACTTTTAAGTTATCCTACAGAGAGAAACAATTAATGATGTCAACATGAATGTATCATTTCTTTTTTATATTTAGCTTTTCCTACTGCAGATATTGAATTTTGTGGTGCCAGTCATGAAACTTACAATATAACTGGTTCATCTATATTAGGAAAATATTCTCGAGCAGCTGTTGCTGTTGATAGTGCTGAATGTTCAAAGATTGGACGTCAAATATTAGAGAAAAATGGTACAACGATGGATGCTGCATTAGCAGCAGCTATTTGTAATGGTGTTATGAATGCTCATTCAATGGGTATTGGTGGTGGAACCACAATCTTAATTTATTCAAAGTAAATTAAAAGAAATTTTTTCTTCTAACATTCATTTTTATTTATAGAAAAAGAAATAAAGCATACAGTCTTATAGGAGTACGTTAAAAAAAGATAATACATTTTATTTTAATACTTTATTTTTTTATAGAGAGAACGTGCACCATTAGCTGCTTATTCAACTATGTTTATTGGTAGAGAACATATGTCAACAATTGGTAGGATTTAAAACTGAAGAATTTTTTTTCAATAAATCTTTATTTTTATTATATAGGTGGTTTAGCAATTGCAGTTCCAGGTGAATTACGAGCTTATAAAAAAGCATATGATGAATTTGGTGGTGGTGTTCCATGGAAAGATCTATTTCAACCAACTATACAATTATGTCGAAATGGTTTTGTTATTAGTATATCACAAGCTGCAGGTATTAAACAAGTAGAAAAACATATTTTGAAAGATCCTGTATTGAGGTATATATATACTTTTTAAAGGAATTTTTAAATAAAATTAATTTTTGATTTTATGGTTTTTTTAGAGAACTTTTTGTTAAAAATAATGATACAAATGAATTATATACAGCCGGTGACATTATAAAACGACCAAAATATGCTGCAACACTTGAAATAATTGCAGAACAAGGTGTTGATGCATTTTATACAGGTATATTATCTGATAAAATTATTAAAGAAATTCGAGATCATGGTGGTATTATCACAAAAGAAGATCTTGCTAATTATCAAGTTGATTTTCAAGAAGCATTAAGTATACAAATGAATGATTCATTAACAGCGTTTACAACACATGCACCATCAAGTGGACCTATTCTTTTATTTATTTTAAATATTCTTCGAGGTATGAAATTTAAATTTGTTAAAATCTCTTTTCACATTTCGTTTTTAAAGGTTATAATGTAAGTGCAGATGATTTAAAAGAAACATCTACTGCCGCATTATTTTATCATCGTCTTATTGAAACATTTAAATATGCTTATGCAAAACGAAGTGAACTTAGTGATCCATCTATAATAAATATTACTAATGTATGTAGAAAATAAAAATATTTCCTATGTACAATATTCTATTTTAGCTAATTTCTGATTTAACATCAAAAACTTATGCGGATAGTATTAGAGGACAAATTAAGTATGTATATTAGATAAATAAGATTTTATTATTTTCGATTGATTTCTGTTTTTAGTGATTATAAAACCTATAGTTTTGAACATTATGGTGGAACATGGCTTGATAAAGTAAAACCAGGTACTGCTCATATATCTGTAGTTGGACCTGATGGTGATGCTGTTGCACTAACATCAACTGTTAATATTTAGTAAATAATAATATTTTGTAATTTTAAAATAAATATTTTTATTTTCTTCTAGTTTCGGTTCGACAGTTATTGGTTCTGAAACAGGAATTGTTTATAATAATGAAATGGATGATTTTTCAACTCCAAATACAACAAATTATTTTGGTGTACCATCTAGTCCAGCTAATTTTATAGCACCAGGCAAACGACCTGTTTCATCAATGTCTCCATTGATTTTAATGGACAATCATAATCAACGTATACAACAAGTATTAGGTGCTAGTGGTGGAACTAAAATAACAACAAGTATTGCTCAAGTTGCTATGCTTAATTTATGGTTTAATGAACATATAAAACAAGCGGTTGATACTCCTCGACTTCATTCACAATTATTACCACAAGAACTTTGGGCTGAACAAGGTTTTGATTATGTAAGTGCTTTTAATTTTGACAACAGAAAAAAAACAACTTACGGAATATTTGTTTTTTATAGAATATTTTAAAACAATTAAAACAACGTGGTCATAATATAACATGTGGTGCATTTGGTGGCTCAGTTATTCAAGGTATCGAATGGCGTGATGAAGTAAATCAATATTGGGCCAACTGTGATATACGTAAAGGTGGTGCACCGGACGGATTTTAAATTAAATAAGTTTTGTTGAAGTTTTTTTTTCTTTTACTATTTTTAATGTACAATATGTAAAACATCAATCTGATATACCTCTTTGCTATCTGATTATTTCAAGCATTTTTCTTTCGTATAGAAATTCATTTTATTTCCAATAAAAAATAAATAAAGAATACATAATTAAATCTCGTAATGCTTTCTATGTTATCGAAGACTATAAAAGAAATTCAGAACATAACATATAATTTTTATTTCTATCAAAAATGTCCGTATGGGTAAGTAAAAAAAACAAAAATTTTGATAGATCTCAAGGAGACATACAATTTCTTTAGGATGAACAAAATATATCATCATCAGAGAATCTTAATAAAAATGTTCCTACGAATTCACAATCTGCTTTAACATATTATGCATCAAAACTTGGTTTAAAAAATAATTTCAGACAAGTTACACCTGTAGTTAGTTTACAAAGAAGATTAACAAATGTATTTTCACCAAAAGATACTCCCGCTACGTTTACTAATTCACCTATAGTCCGTTCAGAAGAATGGCCAAATGATGAATATATTAGATCAAATAGAACTCGTCGATCATCACAATGGAAATCATATACAACGTAGGTTGAAAAATATCTTTGTTTATTTTCGATAAACTTGCGACGCAAGATCGTTAGCTGTTCACATTGATTAGACTCCATCTTGTGACTATCAGTAAGCTTCAATTGGAGTATAAAAAATCTCAAAAATGATTTATTCCTCCGTGTCTTTATTTTCGAGATATACTTATGTTACTGAATCTTCGGTCGAGGACATGGTATTCCGACTATTTTGCGAAGACAGTATTCGTTTTAACTGAACCGTCAGGGATATTCTAGGTGTGATTAGACCTATTATTTGATTAAATTAGAGTATTTTTATTATCCAGTGATGAATATCGTACTGACACAAAAAGGAAACCAAATGTTTCTATAATTATGTTTTTTTGATCACATATCAAATCCTACTAATGCAATAATAGTTGAATATAAATTTTTTTCTTAATTCATTGTTATATGTATTCAATATATATGATTAATGTATATCTTCATTAATCGAATTCATTCTTTTGAAATCTAATTCATGATACATATAAAGTACTATAAAGAACATTCACCTTTCGAAATGCGATATTTTTTAATATGAAATAAAATCTACAAAAAACTTTTGTTTCAAAACATAGATTAAGTGAAAATGGAATTTTTCTCTGAAGATTTGTATATCTACATATTATCTCAACATTCATATTGTCTTTTAAAATCTCATCACAAAAAATAAACTAGTTCTGTGAACGCAGTGAGAAGGATCTTTCTTTCCTTTTTTCCTGATCATATACGATTATCGACATGAGCAAAACCTATTGAACTATATCTAAATTATGAAAAATGATGAAACACGCATCAGAATGTATAGAAGAATCTTGTTAGGTCTAGTTAAGGTTCTTAAAACTTTCAGATCAATAGATCAAATTTAAGAGAAGACTCAGTCAATCAGATGGAGAACATTCTTAATAAACAAATAAACTTTCCGTATTTATAAGCTATTATATTAAATATATATATCTTCATTTTATAGATCAGTAAGATGTCGATTTACTGCATTTGGTTTTATATTGGGACTCTTATTAGGTTTGGCTGCTTTAATTCCAATTATTATCATGTGGCAAACTTCTGGTAATAAAAAAACTACCATTATAAATAAGTCGATCGTTTTCATTTATATTTTAGCTTCACAAACAAATTCAAATACAGCTGTGGTATAAAAATAATCTTTTCCCAATTTTTTATTTAACAAAAAATCTATTGTATGTTCTTTTAGTCTAGTTCGGTATCGGCAACATCATTTCTTACAGCTTCGATTTTTTTTGACTCATGCAGTATTTATTATTGTGCAGAAGGAGTTAACTTTACTACAAATATGACATTAACAGCACTTTCATTAACTATAACAATTCAACTAACAGAAAATCCAACATTACAAGGTCCTTATGATACCATTAATCCATCTATTATGTCCTCCAATTGTACAACGAGTACTAACTCGATAGTTTGTACATTTTTAATTCAAGGTGTACAATTACCAGCAGGAAGTTATGGATGTGCTGTTAAACTTGATCTTCCAAGTGTAAATCGTATCACAAGTGCTGATACATATTCAGTTACAGCAACTAATACATGTGGAACTGTTTCTTCAGCATCAGGAAGCTTTTAATAAACTTTTGAAATATGATTTTTATGTTACTTTAATTTATACAGTATAAATCAATTTCAATAAAACTTTCTTTACATTCATATGTATCATGACTTGAAAAAATGTATATCTCAAGTATTTTTTGCAACTAAACTACCAGATAAAAAATCATTTGACATTCATCCATCTGTCGTACAATATCTATTGTTTTTTTCTATTAAATAACTATGCGAATATTGAATTATTAGTAATAATCCAAACTAATCGCTAGTACAGATTTTTGAATGATACCACTTAATCAAACTGCCATTTTATGCAAAAATGAAAGACAAAAATACAAAGAAAAAAGCAAACACTTTGAAAATAAAAAGAATTGTTTTATCCATGTGCTAAATTTTGTCGAAAAGCAACAACAACATAGAGTGCTGTGCAAAGAACAATAAAAAAATCATCTAATAAACCAAATATACCAAGTACACTTTCCGGTAATATATCCAATGGTGATATAACATATAAAATTACTCCAATAAATATTACTATTGTTCGTAGACGATATGCTAATGTAAGACCTTGTGCTGTAAATATTTGGCGAATAAGATGAGGAACCAAAACCGGGATATCATGAAAAATTTCAAGCCACTAAAAAAACGAATAAATCATTTAAAAATCAAAAATTTCGAATAAGAAATATCTTACAGTTCGTGGAGCACCAGAAAATCGTTTATTAAAATCTTTAACACTAGTAACAACCATTTGACGATCAGTACTATCTGCTGATGCTTGTTCTTCAGCAGTAAAACATGTTAAAAGTACTGTAACCTATACATTTAATTTAAATAAATTTAAATTTGAAATAAATAATCTAAATATTTACTTGTTGTCGACACACAGGACATTTTAATCCACTCATCCAATTAGATTGGAATTTCCAAAATGTAATAATACATTTACCTAAATTATTTAAAAATTAAATTCTTAATTTATTATAGAAAAATACAAACCACAAAATAAATGTCCACAATTTGTTTCGACAGTTAATGCAGTTGGTTCACTAAGACAAATAGGACATGTATCTTGTCGAGATCGTCCTGCACGTGATGCTGACGATGAAGAAGTTGGTCTATTATTTGTATCTCCTTGTTCTTCACTTCGTTGACGTATTAATTCAACATCTTGTCGATTTTCTGGATGAATTGTATTAGAACGATGACGTCTATTTTTAGAGAGAGAAAACAAACGAAGATAGAATTAGAATAAATCTATAAATTTTTAACCTTGAATAATAAATCCAAAGGCCAATTAAACAGGCAACAAAAAACAATAATAATAATATATCATCACTAATACCATCAATTAATGATGAACGATCAGGGGTATGTATTTCATCATGTTGTTTAAATGGCCAAAACCACGGCATTTTATTTTTCTGAAATAAAAATACGAATTTTCACATACAGATGTATCAATGAGTATTATATCTAAAATATTCACACATAATGAGAAAAAAAAATATATAAATCACGTGTTGTATTTTGTTTATAAACGGAATACTAAACTGTATTACACTCGTTAATGATTTACTTAATATAAACGAGGTAAAAAGAGAAACAAGAAAAAAAATTTACTTCTACTATAAGGATCAAAAAAAAATATATAGAGAAAATTAATATAATATCATTTAATTATCTTTTGGTTTTGGTCTGTAAAAGGCAATCTTTCGAGATTTAAGTGATGCCCATTTAACACGTTTCCAATGGTATGATATAACAACCAAAGGAACAAATATAAGAACAGCTTTAATAGCTAATTTTTTACGTTCATCATGATCACGTTCGGCGGTCCATTTAAGAAATTCGGTAACATCTTTAGCTAATTGAGCTTCAGTAGCTTTTGTTCCATCCGAATATTCAAGTTGATCATCATACAATTGTTTAGCCATAGCAATCCAACCGCCACTAAAATATGGATTGTAATGAAGGTTTGGTTCACCTTTAACACCAGCTGGTGGATCTTGATAACCAGTTAATAAATTAAATATGTAATTACAACCATCCTCACGACCTAAATAAATATTATTTAAAATGTCGTCGATACTATTAGTGATTATTATTTCAATACATACCAAGTGAGATAAGTGAAAGATCCGGTGGTAAAGCTCCTGCATTTCCTGCTTTAGCTGCCTAAAATAAATAGTTGAATTTTTATTATAAAATAATTTAAAATACTAACTTTATCATTAGGATAAGGTGATGGTAAATAATCAGTAAGTTTACCAGGCCGTTGAAACATATTACCTTGATCATCTGGTCCATCAGTAATTTGATCTTGTGCAGCAATTGTTTTAGCTTCTTCTTCTGTATGTGTAACACCAACCAAATGACGATAAGCAACAAATTTCAATGAATGACAAGCTGCACAAACTTGTTTATAAACTTCAAAACCACGACGTACAGAACCATGATCAAGTGAATCGAATGGACCACGAAATGACCATGGTAATGGAACTAAATGCGCTTTATTACCTGATGCATGTACAGCTTGTGAATATGCCCAAGCATAACCTAAAGCACCGGCTGTTAAGAGACTACCACTTATTTGATAAGCTAAACGTTTCCACCGGATTGTTGATTGACTGGAAGATAACGATGATGCATTACGAAGAATATAGAATAATATTTGATGATTTCGTTGTGTTGTTCGAGCAATTATTGCCGAATTCATCATTTATTTCAATTAAGTGCTATTGCAGGCAAAAGACAAAATTTGATGAGACAATTATGTTTACAACATAAAACCAATCAGATTTGTGTCGCTAATAGAAATGAAATGTAGAATATTTCAATATTTTTTTTGTATTATTTGAAAGATTGAATAAGAAAACTAAAATTTATGTTGAATTATATAAATAGATGACAGTACAGAAACGTTTTTTGATTGGTTAAAATATCTTCCAATAAAAATTCTATTTATTGTCTTTGACACATCATGATCAAATCGATTTTCCCTTTTTTGGAACAGTTTCATAAATTTTATTCTGTTCTATACTAAAACTAATGTATAAACTTATTTATTCCTTGATTAATCATAAATATGTTGAATAAACATTCGTGAAGATTTGTTTATTAATTGCACTAGTAAATAAAAAGAATATTTTTAGATCTATTATTTGTTCGCTTTTCTACAATGCATTATCTAGAAGATTATTTAGAATGTAAGTTAATTTTTTCTTTTCTTACTATTATCAAATATATTTATCATTTATATCAGTACTCGACCCGTTACCTGAGATTATGCGTGAAAAATTAACATTAATGCGTGAAAATGATTTAAAAATGCAAGCTGAATTCGCCCAATTAGAAGAAGATACATCACAATTTCTTAGTAGTTATCGACAATATCAACAGCAATCTTCACTTTCACCAACACGATCAAAAATTAATACACAACGTTCAACATTAGTAAATAATACAAATGAAGAAACAACAACAACAACTGAAACAACGGAACAACAGTTAACAGTTGAACAATTAGCTGCACAACAACAAAAACAAGTCGAATATGATAAACTTGTTGAAAGACATCAACAATTAATAAAAGCTACAACAACTAAAATTAATTTAGCTACTGATTCTCATGATATTGTTGAACGTTATTATAAAAAACTTGAGAATGATTTAAATAAATTTAAAATGGAACTTGAAGCCGATTACTCAGGAATAACAGAAACATTAGAAAAACGTTAGAATTTTATTATTTTTTTCTTCAATGGAAATTAATTTCTTTCTTATAGGTTTTGCAAGTGAAGGTTTTAATGAATATGATAATACAACAGGAGAAAATAGTAAGTCATTTAGAACATATCCCGATCAAAAATTTTTTTTGAATTTTAGGTAATTTCGACCCATCGCTATTGGATATGGAACCTCTATTTGATCCATTAGATGAAATGACAATATCAAGTTCATTAACTGATGATTATACAAATCAATCTACATTAAGTTATTTAATGTCATCACAATCTCGTCGTTTATCCACCGGTAATAATCACTTTCTTTTTGTTTGCTTATCTTTATTTCTTTTTGCTGTTAGGTTTACTTCCATCAAATTCTTCTTCATTATTTAATCGAAAACAACATCCACAACGTCTTCTCTCAAATGCATCAACATCATCACGTGGGCGAAAACGTTTACAAGGTATATCATCAACAAATAATATTGGTAAACATCGTAAACGAAGTTCAATACGTAATCCATTTCTTAATGATTCATATCAATCACATCCACTTCATCATATATTACCGCCAAGTGATAGTGATGAATCATCATCCGCATCGAATTTATTATCAAATAATCCACCAACAACTGATTATTTTCAAATAAATAATCAAACAGCATCACCAAATCTATTTGACGACGAAACAAATGGTGGTTTTGATTCAAGCAATGTTTTATCGAATTTTCCTGGACAAGCCATTGATGAACGTCGATATTGTATTTGTAATGAAATGAGTTATGGAGATATGATTGCATGTGATAATCCAACATGTCGTCGGGAATGGTTTCATTATCCATGTGTAGGAATTGTGACACCACCCAAAGGTAAATGGTTTTGTTCTGAATGTGCTCAATTACAACAGCAACAACAACTACAGCAATCGTTAATATCAACAACGAAACGAGCATCAACGAATTAATTTTATACGAATGCTTTTTTCTGTTCTATACATTATCTCTTATTTGCGTATATATATATATAAATATATCGACCCAGTGCATATAATAACATCTTGCTTTTAAACGTTCAGACTAACATTGATTTTAACAATGTATTTTCTACAGTTTGTTTTGCAACAATTTAATTTAATATATATGTTGTCGTTTTTTTTGTTGGATCGGATAGAATACTATGTTGTATTTCGAATTATTAAATAACAAATAGATTTAAAAAAAACATTAGGAAATTTTCTTTACTATATATTCTATTTAATAGAAACATTTTGAATGATGATGATATTCACTTTACTATTGCTTATATCTGTATGTAAAAAATACAATAATGCTTTTGAACTATTAGCATATATGTTAAAATGATCTTTTATATAATCTCGAAATAATTATGATTCATTATGTAAAAACAAAATAACAATATATGGATAATAGGACAAATCGTTCGTGCGCATCCTGTAGAACGAATAAAAAGTATCTATTCATATTTTGATAACACTAAATAATAAAAGAAATGAATTTTCAGGAACTTATCAATGCGGTTAATATAAATCCTATATCGAATGATATTCTTCAACAAATGACAGTACTATTCAAATATAAAATTGATCAATCATTATCATTATTTATTTCGGAAGAATATCAATCATTATTTGTTTTAGAACACAAAATATGGCAAATACTTAGTCAAGATTGGTCTAATCATCCACGTTATTTAGATTTCTTTCAAACATTTGCATTATTTAATAAACAACTTATTTTTGAACAAGAAACTATCTCGCTTGATATTAAAACATCACTTCTTATTCCTGAAAATATTGATTTAATTAATAATATATTCGAACAAATTGAACAAAATACTGATGATAATAATTTATTAATTACGATAGCTAGTCTTTGGTTTGATAATCTTTCATTTTTTGTAAATGAATATCCTTCAATTGGTCATATACCTGTTATTATTCATATTAATGAATGTATTGCAAATAAATTTATTCTCAGTGAAAATTTTCAATTTTATCTACGTCAACTTCAACAACCACAATTATTACCATTAATATTTTCAGCTAAACAATTATTCTATGTTAAAACATGTACACTCTCTTTGAGTGCATGTTTTAGCATTAATTCGAATAAGCATCATTATATTTCAGGACAAGTTCTTAAAAATATTGGTCATGATTATTTGAAAATAATACAGATTCAAAGTTTTACTGTTGATTTATGGAATAAAGAAATACTTGCTTGTATAGCTCATCTCATTGGTTTTATGCGTTTATTTCTTTGGTGTGGTTCAGGAAAAGAACTAAAATTTAAAGATCTTTTTCCAACAGAAAAAATATTGTGTGCTTATATACAAGACTTAATTCGTATAATTGATTATAAACCCTATTATAATTGTATTATGGCACAATGGCATAATGATGAAACAATTCTAATTGATTCTATACTACTATCTTTAATGAATATTATAGAATTACAAAATATAAATTGGTTCTTTCGATCAATGACACAATTACCAGATATACTTCTAACACTAGCTGAAACGTCTAAATATTATCGGATCTATTTATGTGCTTATGGTATATTAGGCGAAGTTCTTACTGATGAACATTTAAAAGCATTGAAGATTACCGATAATATACGAGATTTTTTCTTTACTATGCTTGAAGAAGCATGGTATGATCCATCAAAAGAATATAAAAATATTCCTGTTGCTTATTTCTTAAGAGGTAACATTCATAAACTAAATTTGTCTTAAAGTATTAAATTAAAA